GTTGTGGGAGGCTGATTCTCGATCAACTGATTATCTTGCTCTTGTGGTTCAAGGAGCCCAGGCCCCTCTACCTGCTCCTCCTCAATAGGAGTAAAGCTTTCTACAGGATTACTGACTGGTTGTGTGTCGGCTTGTTCTGGCCCTGCTTCGAGTGGGCAAATCTTGTTAACAGGTCGTGTTGTTATTCGACCATTTGGCATTTGGAGCTTAACGCTCCTTATAGGGCCTGGATGACCATTTAGCCCTATAATTCTGGCTAAAAGCCATGCATTTCTTGGTCGCATGATGTCTTCTACTAACACTACTTCTCCCAATTTAGGAGTTGAGTGTGTCTGAAGTCTTGGGCCAGAGTGCTCCCATTTAGAGCGATCACGCAGAATAACCAGATATTCTCTCTTCCACCGTTCCCAGAAGGAATCAAGATTTTCTAAAGTGCTCTTCCACAATGTAAGGAGCTGGTCGTGAGGGAGAACATGTTTGTCCCTTTTGATTTTCTTGAACGTGAGGTCATAACTGAGTGTAGCTCCAGGTTGGATGAAATCCACCGGGCGTAAAGGAAGAGGAGCTCCTTCCTCATCTGATGTGTGAGTTAAAGGTCTTGAATTTAGAGCGGCTTCAACCTCAGCCGTGAATGTTGCGAGTTGATCATATGGGAGTACTTGTCTTCCCATCGTCCTTTTAAAACAAGTTTTTGCCATGCCTATGAGCCTCTCATAAATTCCGCCTGCCCAAGGAGAGAGAGCTGGAATAAATTTCCACTCGATTTTGTTCTCTGCTAGGTGGGAGACGAGAGCAGCGCTCAAGGCTTTTTCTGCTAAAACAAAATTACGTCCATTGTCACTAAGTACGCGATCTGGACGTCCACGCCGGCTGATGAAACGGCGAAAAACATTGAGAAACGAGGCGGCTGTTAAATCCAATGTAGGCTCAATATAAACTGCTCCTGTCGTGAGGCAAGTAATTAAGACTAGCCAACACTTTACGAGGGAGCCTTGGACTTTAGTGAGTGTCGGACCAGCATAATCCACTCCAATTGACTGGAATGGCAATCTTTGCTGGACTCGGTCTGCTGGAAGTGGTGGCATTGTTGGTAAAGCATATTTGTAGGAATTCATCCTCCTACAAGCCATACATTCTGATATAACTTTGCGGATAGCTTGGCGAGCTCTTGGCTGCCAATAGTTGTTCAAGAACTCTGTAAGAGTCCAATCTACACCTCCGTGACATAACCGTGTGTGGATGTCTTTCATTATTGATTTCCCAACATCTGAATGTTTTGGGAGTAGGACTGGATGAATCAAACCCTCGGGGCCCTGACTATTCGTCAGGCGAGTTTGAAGATGCATGATCTTATTATTGTCGATTATGTGGCGGTATTTACCGAGTTCCTCGCCACACTCTTTCTGTTCCCATCTTATTAAATATTCTTCAGAAATTTCGTAGTCGCGTGTCGAGGGGACTCCATTTAAAGAAATGGAATCCAATCTGATGGATTGTGCTCTCTTCTTCCCGAGCACTATTTTGATAAACCGAAGGATGTATAACATAACGCGCCTTGCTTTACCCCAGGAACTCACACGTTTCAATAGTTGATGAGTTCCCTGAGAGGTCTCTGGAGCCGCAAGGCATATTTGAGTATTAAAGGGATTTTCTTCAAGTTCCTCAAATTTATTGAGGTCGCAATTCGTGAATGATTGGAATGTGATATCCTCAGGCCAATTAGCCTGTGGCTGAATGAGCCAGTCCGGTCCTCTCCACCACCTTAGGTCGGAACGGAGCTCGGTGGGAGTGGCTCCTCTTGTTGCTGTATCTGCCGGATTTTCATCGGTCCTTACGTAATGAAAGTGTATATCTTCGTGCTTCTTAATTTCGTTTAGCCTTCTCTGGACGAAGGTTGGTTGATTTTGCGGTGATTTGACCCATGAGAGCGCTATTTGAGAGTCGCTCCATAAATGAACTTGGTCAATTGGTTTCCCTATCTCCTTATTAACGTAAGCCAATGCTCTTACGCCAATAAGTATAGCTATAAGTTCCATTCGTGGTATTGTGAGTGTTTTGCCACCCTTTTTAGGTTTAAGGCGGGTTTTGGCAAAAATAAGGTTAGAGGAGGCTGAGCTATTAAGTTCTCCTCTCAAGAAAATCGCAACAGCATATGTGCTTGCAGAGGCGTCAACAAACGCGTGGATCTGTATGTTATCGTGTGATTTAAGGACTTTTCTGGGCAGACGAATCTCCTGAACTTGCCAACCCTGGAGGAAACTCTCCCAAAAGGATTTTTCCTCCAAGGCAAGTGGAGTGTCCCAGTCGTGTTTGTCATCCCATAATTGCTGAAAAAATAACTTTGCGGGCAAAACAGCTGGACACAATAGTCCCAATGGATCGTAGATGCCCGCTAAAGTGCTTAATACTGTACGTCGTGTTGGATTGGGACTGATTTGACTACTCGGCCATTGAAATCCGAGCTCGTCATTTTGTATATCCCACTGCATTCCTAGTACCTTAACCTCTGATTTGTCTAGTCGGTCTTCGTCAGGAATAGCAGAAATTGTCTCTGGTGAATTCGAGGTAAATTCTCGCAAGTTCATCTTCGCCTCCGAGAATATCATTTTGGCTTGATTGCATTTCCTGATTAATTCTTCTGGAGAACTTGCTCCTAAATGAAGGTTGTCCACATAAAGGCTACTAGATAATTCAGTAGCAGTAGTCGTGCCGTATTTCTCTAGATGGTGACGTATTACTCCCGCCAGAAGGTAAGGGGAGCAAATAACGCCAAAGGCAACTCTCGCAAAACGATAAACTTGTATATTGTCGTTAGATGGTGGCTTATCCGGATCCTTCAGCCAAAGGAATTTGGCTACTTCCCGGTCTTCTTCGTGTAGGCCTACCATAAGGAAAGCTGCCTCCAAGTCAGCAATCGCCACAAATTTTGGTAGGCGAAATCTGAGGAGCAATCCTACTAATTCTGGTAGGAGCACAGGACCACGGAGGAGGCAATCGTTTAATGAAGGTTGCCCCCTTGGATGTGCACTTGCGTCGAATACTGGTCTCACCTTATGAGTAATAACTGCATGGTGAGCCAGATAATGTTCTTGTCCTACTGGATTCTTTCGTGCTGGCTCGATTATCCCTCTTTGAAGATAATCGACAATGATTTGATGATATTTGTCTAAAAGGTCCTTTGATCGTGCAAGCGAGCTGTAAGTTGAACAAAGTCGACTATAAACCATTCTGTAGTTGCTTGGTGGTGTTATCTTTGGCTCTCGCCAAATCCAGCTTACCGTGTAACGCCCTTCGTTATCTTGGGCAATCGAGGACTCTAGCTGTTTAACAGCGATTTGGTCATCGTCAGCTCCGGGATCCTCTGTAATCCCTATCCCCTCCAAATTCCAGAATTCTTCTATAATATTGGAAGGAGGCATTTGGTCAATATTAGACTTGCCGATCGCTATCATAGAGTGTGAAGGTCGTCCTCCATATGGACTCATATCAGACTCCCCTCCAACTACTGGACCAAAGGCAGTCTGAATGACATAAATTCCTGGAGCGACTTCAGTTCTCTCCTTGAAAAACTTCCAAAAGTGTCGTGTTCCCAGCATAATTCCTGGGACTTCTGATGATATCTTGAGTGCTTGCTGGACTTCTGGGTGATCTAAATCTTGAGTGGGCATTTCTGTCGTCCATTGAACCATCTCGAAAGGGGTACTTATCTCCTTGGTCCAATTGAGTTCGAGCTCTTCCCAACCACCGTCCTCTCTTCTGATTGAGACGGCATATGTTGGTGAGCGGATTCTGATTGGATCTCTCATTGTTCCGCCAAATCCGTGTACTTCGACGTCGTCGATTGATATTTGAGGTGGACGAATTTTGTCCACTAGATCCTTGGTGATGTAACTTAGCTGACTGCCCGGGTCAAAGAACACATAAGCAAGTGTTCTGCTTTTCTTGTCTTCTGGCGATTCTACTGCCAATTTTCGTGTCATTAGGTACGCTGATAACTTTTTGCGCAAGTGAGGAAATGCCATGGCTGCAACTGTCTTAGTTGGATCACTCTCCGAGCCGGGAGGATCCTCTTGTGTTAAATTAGCTCCAGTCAACGGAGTCTCAATCGTGGTTGTCATTTGGGTAAACTGCCTATTCGGCGCAGTCCCCTTCTTGCTCGTCTTGTTAAGTCGTGTATGGTTCCTCGTTGTTGATGTGGTGCAGACGAGAAAACTATGTTTGCCCTGACAGATTCGGCATAACATAGGAAGGTGGCATTCCTTAAATGAGTGGCCCTCGCGCAGACACCTTATACAACGGTGCTGCTCCTTTAACCGGTTGAAACGCGATTGTGGCGTCGGGTATTTTGGACATTTACTTGGGAAGTGTGCTCCTTGATGACATAGGGAGCATTCTCTCTGTCCAAACTTCACAAATGGTCTATTCTTGTGTACGTGAGCAGGAGCAATGAATGTACGAGATTGCTCTTGCGCTCCTTGTCGTGCTTGGTAATTTCCTCTTCTAGAGGAAATGTGGTTCTCAGTCGTCTCAGTTCGTGTTTTGGGCGCTTGTGAGGTTGTACATCGCTGAACCTCTTCTTTGATTTCGACAATGTTGATAAGCTCTTTTCTGAGCTGAGCGCAATTCCAACGAGATTCTGCCCCTCGCTCTTTCTCTACTAGTTTAGAGACAATAGAGCGGGGCAACTTGGACTTGATGGCTGTCGATATAAATGGAGATTGATCGACAATATTGAAAGCTTCCAACTGACGGCAAATTCGTTCAATCGAATCTACGAAAGATCGAATTGAATGGCAGGACTCATTTGGCGGGCTCAGATTCATGAGCTCCGACTCTAGTGCTTCAGTGATGGCTCGATTATCGCCATATCGTGATTTGAGCAAATCCAATGCTCTCGTGTAATTCTCGTTGGATAAAATGAATCCCGCAACTAAATCTTTAGCGGGACCTTGGAGGAGGGTGAGTAAATAACTCATTTTCCTAACATTGTCCATTTGGCGTTGGTCGATGTTGATTGAAAATAATTGCCAGAAAGCTGGCCATTTCTTCGGATCTCCATTGAATGGCTCCATTTTGAGCTCTGGTAAACGTGTGTCTGGTAATAAAGGAGTGTCCTTGACCTTGTTTTCTCCAATGCTTTGTTCTTCTTGAGTTCGACTTTGAATGCGTTGTGACTCTCGTGTTCGTTCACTACGCTCACTAGCCTCTGTAATTCTTTCCTCCATTTCCAAAAGGAGGAAGTCTAACTCGCCTATAATTCCTCGGGCCTGTTCTGCGAAGTCCATGAAATGGACCCACACTTGTCCTTCCTGTACATTAGGAGGAAACGTATTGTACAGCTGCTCCTCAGCTTCCAAATCTCCTCCATCCAGGAGATCAATAAATCCTGTCCACTCGTGATCGAGAGTTTCTATTCGCTCAAGTGTGCGAATCAACTGATGTCTTTCAGCCCGGAGGCGTGCCGGGTTTTGTGCTTCTTGTTCATTACCCAAAAGGGTGGTTGCCGCGATAATATGATCCTTGAGGGCTCTCAGAGCTAGCCCAATTTTCCTTCGAATATGTCCTGAAGATGGCATTGTGATAAGCGATTATAATAATCTGCTTAAAAGCGTTGGACTAGCTAATTTAGTCCAAAAACGCAAAAGCTTAAGGAACTTGTGCCTTTAAGCTAAAAAAATAAACTCGCTGAAGACTGACTATCAAAGTCAGAAAATTGATGAAAATATGAGAAGAGAGCACTTTTGGTATATTTTGTGCTAAATTGATGTTTACCGCGACTGGTAAGTGGCAGCACAAAGTTCTCTTCTCAAAAGAGAAAAATAAACGCAGATGTGTGAAAAATGTAAATAAACACTAAAAATGTAAAGTCAGTCGCTCTGACTTAACCGTGTAATTGGCCGACGGGTTGGCCAAAACAAAAGAAATGACTTGCTCACAGAGCGAAAAGTCAGTGTTCTTTAAACTCGTGTTGCCGCGCTCTAAAATGCGCCAATCGTGTGAATGGCCAAAGTTATGGCCAAACAAAAGAAAAGGCTTTCGTGTCCCTTTTCTTCTCAAAAAATGTGCAAAAATGCACCAACTTGTAAACTTGTTGATTGGCCGATGATTTGGCCAAATAAATTCCTTTCTTGTTTTTCGTGTAAAATTGTGCAAAAATGTGCACAACTGATGAAATGTGTTAAGACCTAAGTTTTGGTAAACAAAGGAATGACTTCTTTCAAGAAAAATGTGCAAAATAAGCACAAAAAAATTGCTAGCAAAGAGCAAAGATTGAAATTGTAGAAAAGGGGATGAGCGGGTTTGTTCGCGGAAAAAACTGCGTCCTTCAAGGAGCGTGAATGTATGTCGGTCCGCTTGAGGGATCACGACTTTGCGCACTTTGTTGTGCGGGCTTGTGGGGTAAGGCTGTGAATCGGATAGTTTCCGACTTAAGGATTACTCTCCAGGAGTAATAGATGATGAACTCGTGAACTGCTGACTTGTGAGAAGATAAATGTTGACTTACTCTCCAAGAGTAAGTATTCGTGTGCTGCTGGCTGATGAGCAGATAACGGTTGGCTCTGGTGGCCAAAACCGCGTGTTCAGGATGAGAACACAAAATTTAGCCTAAAAAGGCAGACGTGTTGATTGGCACAATTGCCTGAAGAAACGGGGGCAGTGCGATTGGACTGCGGACCCGTACGGGGCTCCAATTTTTATATGTGCCCAAAAGCCCTTTCGGGTGGACACACAATTTGTACGGCCTCCGGCTATGGGAGGGACGGACGCTTATAAAGGGAGGACAGAGAACTCAAAAGTTCTCTTAAACTTATAAGCGATGATGACGACGACAGCCTACCCAAAATCCCCAAAAATACACACACCAAAGAAGAAAAGATTTATTTAATTAACAAATAAATTTAGCGGTCCGATAACAGCTCGGGATCCGCGGTGTGAATAAATTGGTGATTAAAATATGTGGTGAAAATGCGAACAAATAATTTAAGTTAGTGCTCCGCTCTCCTGCTCCCAGTTGAAGGGAGAAAAGTTGGTTTAATTGATTGGGTTTAAAGGAATTAGAAAATTATAAGATTTTGAGAGAAGTTGGAAATTGAAAGAAGGATTGAAAGAAGTGATTTTAGGGACAGCCGAGCGCTAACTTGACAGCCAAAGGTAGGCGTGGTTAAAAACAAAATAAATTGCGGGCGGTAAAATTAAATAGGTGAGAGAAATGGAAAAAATAGTGGAGGGCTTATGCCCTTTTGGGCACAGGCCCAAAAACGGCTGAAAATTTTTTTTAAATTTAATTTTTAAAAATAAAAAAAATTTTTTTACGTTATAGCCCCTCCTCTAGGCCATTCCCTCGATGGCAACACTAAATATTGTTCTCCTTGATGTGCCCAATTAATTACTGGTCTATTGTCATTTTGATCAACCAATTCTATTAAAATAACAATTTCTCCAATATTTTGTCCAGGAAAGTCTACACAACGAGGAACTAGACCAATAAATGGTTGTTGTTCTCGATCTAGTTGTTCAGCATTTGGGGCAGTTAAAATAGTCCATTGACTTGCTGATTGCTTCTAATATAATATATTTTGGATTATGTAGAAAATAAATGACTAGTTTTAATAGCACTTTTAACAGAGACTAATTTTTCGACCGGTTTCAAACAGATCCGGATATTTGACCTTTTCGAGTAAATTTAGTAAAAAATTGATCATGTATTTTTACGGTAAGATATCTCATCTCATAGGTCATAAGTTAATAAAAATGGGTAGATTTACTATAAAAGCCGTCAATTCTTAAAACTTCACCCAACCTCTCCAAACAATCATCACAACTCTACAAACATCAATATCGCCTATATTCTAAACAGCAACACTCCATGTTCGTCCGCTGTCATCTCCCAATGGAGCTTGACACCGGCCCTGGGACAAAGAAGTCGTCAACGCTGTGCTCCTTGGTGCTGCTGCTGCTCGTCATCGCAACATTCCTTGTGCGTGAAGTGCCTGGACAGATGAAGGAGGAAATCGTCGGACTCGGCAATCACAAAAGAAATGGCGACAAGGTGGAGCTCAACCCGAACACTGTCAAAGTCACTGAGAAGGACTTCAACTTGACAGAATACAAATGTCGCTTTCGGGATGCCTGTGATATCAAGATCGAGAAAGACTACATGTGAGTTTGCATTGTTTCTTATTTGTAAGAAAAATTTTATTTTCAGTGAGCTTCAGTACAACGAGGACGGCAAGGGTTGCATTGTGGATTTGCTCAGCACGAACGAGACAAACGTTAACAGGATCAAGTTAACAGCTGTAGTGAGGAACAAGCGAGGAGGGATCAAAAATTGCCTTGTTCCTGGTAAAAAAGTGAAGGATAGTAGCTACAATAATAAGTAAATTTTAGAATTCTTTAGTTCGTTTAAGCTAGTTTCAATTTTTTAAATTTTACAGTATGCCCTTCGTCTACAGCGTTAGCAATGAAGTCATCGAGAAGCTCAACGAAGAACTAAATGATGATTCCATGGAGGCGTGTAAAAATTGCACGTCGTGCATGCCAAGGACATCTCTTGAAGTTTCGTGGAGCAAGCATAAAGATATAAACGCAAATTTGATGTTTGCTCACACCTATCTAACAATAAGTACGTAAATAATCTAATTTCCTATAAAATTTTGATATTTATTGTAGTTGGAAAAGCGCAACGTGGTCTGACTCATGAAAAGGTTCTCAAAGATGGTGAAGTGACCTTCGATTTGGAGATAACGGCGACTAACAAGTTCACGATGAATTTCGAAGAGCACGAAGTATTTGATCTGAAAGACACTGTTTGTGTTCCAGAGACAAGTCAAACCGTCAAACCAGAAGCATGGACCATCAAGAACACGGAACTGCATGATCAACATTTGCTCGTCTTCAGTCTGCTTTCACGGAATGCTACTCTTGTATTCGAAGGGAAAGAAGTTACGGATAAAAAACAGTCTGTGCCATATTGTGAGCTCTTCGTTCGATTTGTAAGGATTAAACAAAATTTAAAATAATCACTAATTTAATTTAGAAAAGACCGGACTACGAGCTGTTGTATGTTAACCCTCCTTCGCCACCGAATACTACAACGACTACAAAAAACTGTCCAGCGGGTCCAGGAAAAACTCCAGAAACTACAACGTGTACTCCTTGTCCAAAACCACCTGCTCCTTGTCCACCAACATCTGCTCCTTGTCCAGCAGCATCGACACTGTCCAGCGACAACGAACTAATGACAACAACTACGGCCAAAAACATCCAATCATCAACGGATCCTGCGGAAAGCAAGTGTCCAGAAGAATCCAGTGGATGGCTTTATATTGTGATTGCCGGTATTGTTGTGTGTCTAATCATCATCGGAGTTTTGGCATGGTTCTGGAAGAAAAGGGATTCGGAAAAGAAGGAAAATCTTAAAAGTGAGGAAGACCTGTATGCTCTGTACAAAGCTGAGGAAAAAGTCATAGGCCCTCACAATATGAAGCGATTTGACATATGGAAAGAGCATGTAAGTTTAAGAATAAAAAATATTTATTAAACAAATTATTTTCACAATTTTCAGAGAAAGCAGAACGAACTGGAGGAGCTTCCGATTGAAAGACTGGTTGCTATAATGTGGAAGAGGACGGAGAGGAAAACCCGCAAAGATAAGATTCAGGCCATTGTAGACGAGTGCTCGAAGCAAATTAACAAGGAGCTCAAAGAGAACGAGTATCCGCAGGAAATGAAGAAAAAAGGACTTCGAGAGACCTTCGAGAGATGGAAAAAGGTGAAAATGTTTTTTGATGAGTAGTTTCCTAATGCCAGATTTATATTTCAGAGAAATAACATCATTACTGCGTTCACCGTGATCGATGGAACAGCAACTGCAATTGAATTTGATCGGACAAGGGACGGTGAGGAGGTGATCGTTGAGAAAGTTAAGGAGGTAAAGGCTGATAAGAACATTGAGGAGGTGAAGGCTGACGAGGACGTTGAGGGGGTAAAGGCTGATGAGAACGTTGAGGATGGCGTTTCGGTTCCACTATCCGAAGGAGGAGTTTGACATTAGGGATATCTTGTGCTCGGAAGGTCCAAAGGTGAAGCTCGAAAGATAAATATGAAATATAAAAAGATAAATATAAAATGCTCCTTTGTTGTATATAAAAATATTGTTCCTATTGTTCTTATCTATATTGTTCCTTATTCCCTATACCCATATGTTCTTTCTATCATGTGTAATATATATATATTCTGTTGTATTGTATTTGTTTGTAAAAAATAAATTGTTGTTTCGAATTGTTTTTTAGTTGGGAAAAATTTGGGAAATATTTACCCCAAATAAATGCTGAATGTTTGTGTTAACTTTTAGTGTATTAATTTGAGCTTGAGTTAATTTGAGGTGGGAATTCACTAATTTGTTTTTTGAATTCAGAAATGAGAGCCAAAACAGGAAATTGTTTACCCTTTTTTTAATCCGAAAGGAGTTTCTTGTTAGTCTAAAACATTTAAACAATCTCAATTGAAAGTTAAAAATATATTGGTTGGAAATAAAAACTTTTAATTTAAACTTACCCCTTTCTTTTGCTTTTCATTAATAAGACTAAATTTATCTGCAAATTGCCCATTTAAATAACAATTATGTTTATGGGAATCTGGATCTAATATTTCAAATGAAGCTAGTTGTTTATTTGGGGGAGAATTTTCTTCAATTTTTACTCGAACAATTTTTGGTGAAATTAATAGATTTTTAGAAGAGTTGGCACTAAAAAATAATTTTAATTAAAATAAAATTTAAATTTTTTTATTTTTTAATTGGGTAAATTAGTAAAAATTAAAACAACAAAAGGGTAGCTTTAATCGAAAATTAAATTTTGAATAAAACTCCTCAAACTTTTCCCAGTTTTTTTAATTTAATTTTGCCAAGTATTGGGTAAGATAAGTAATTCGTATTTGTTAATTTTTAAATGAATTAGTAGTTAACCTCCAAAGATTTTTAATTATTTAAATAATTTATTTTTCCTTCCTTTTACCTTTTTATTTCTTCTTTTACAACCATTTCATTTTCTTTTAAATTAAATTTAATTTTTGGGGGAACATCATCAATATCAATTAATTCAAATTCAATATTTGCCTTAACAGATTTATCACTTTCTGTTGAATTTGCAATTAAATAAAAACGTTGAAAACGTGGAGAATGTTCGAAATCGAGTTTTTTGGATATTTTTATTTCTCCTTTTTTTAAAAAAATTTTTAAAATTAAAATAAATAAATTCAAATATTTACCAGTATTTTTATCATATTCAAAAGATTTTGAATTTTGTCCTTCCAAAAATACAGAAACTGGGGCCCCTGTGAGTGGGTTAAAAGCAGGTAAACGAAGCAATGGATGTCCAATCTTTTTTTAATAAATTTTTTATAATTTCTTAAGTTAATATTTTAATTAAAATTTAAGTAAAAATCTTTTCAAAAAACTTTTGAAATTTTAATTATTATTTAATTCTTTGTCTGCGGTTTTCTTAAGAGGAATTTAATTATTATTAACCCAAAGGAACAGAATCTGCAAATAATCGTCGGAAAATATATAAAAAATATTAACTTTAAATTAGGAAAAATTCAATTTATTTTCCTATTTAATAATTAAAAATTTTGTTGAAAATTTTCTAAATTTTTATTTTTCTAATCCTAAGAGGTTATTTTTGTTAAGGCTTTGAACAACGGCTTTTTTAAATATTTTTTACTCATTCTTGAAAATATTTTGAATGATAAACTGGATATTCCTTTCCTTACATAGATTAGGGTTCTTAGATTCAGAACTGAATCGAAAACCCTGAGGATTTTTCGATAAATTCATATAATGCCTGATAGAAATTAAATAAGTATATCCAAAAAATCCTAGAAATTCTTTTTAAATTAATTAATTTACCGGTAATTCCTCTGCTATTTTTGCTTTAATTACTGTTGCCTCATCTTTCCAGGGTACAACAAAACGAGGTCTAGATAATTTTTTTAGACGCTCAATTAATCTTAGAGGATCAGATTTAATAGAAATTGTTAATAAAGTTGAAAATTTATCTTCTTTATTTAAAATAAATTTTACATGAATTGAATTAATTGTTTTTAATAAATTGAAATTTAAACGAATTGTCCCATTTTTTGGAAAATATATTAAAGAATCCTGAAAATTATTTAAATTAATTTATGAAAAATCAATTTTTGGGGTAATAAATAAAGTTTTTATTTTCCTAAAAATAAAAGTATGTAAATAAAGTCAAGAAGCCTAACCAGAAAATAGCAAAAGTTTTAATAATTTTGTAAAGGTTATGAACTACGGTCGTCCCCTTTCGAGTACAGGTTTTCGGGATAAAAGCATGTCCTTTTCAGGTCTTAATTGTAAATACGTTAACTCATAAATAATTATAAAGGGTAAATCTATAAAAGGTAATCCAAAATATTTTTTTGAAAATTAAACAAAAAAATATTTAGAAAAACAAGAAGAGATAAAATATTTTTTTAAGGATTTGATTTTTTCCTTTTATTTATTTTAAAAAATCTTAAAAAAATTTTTCTTAAATATGTATTTCTTTAAATTCCCAAAAAAATTCTTTTATTTTATTTCACACTCAAAATTCTCTTAATTATTTTAAAATTATTTTTACTTTTTCCAAATTAATTTGTCTAGCATAATTATCCCAAGCTTCAATAAAATCTATTTTTGTTTCATTCCCAATTTCTTTTTCTTCAAATATTTTAATAAATTTAATTAAATTATTTTTTAAAATATTTTTATTTTCTTCTTCCTTTCCCTCTTCCTCCTCTTCTTCATTTTCTAATCTTTCAATATTTAATTTAATAATTGGTGAAGAAAAACAATTTTTTAGATTTTGGGATTTAATGTTATTGTTTAAATTATTTGAAAGTATTTCTAAATTTAATTTAGATTCGGCTAAAATTAAATGGTTTTCTCTGTCGATTGCTGCTATTTTTAGTGAAATATTGCTTGGTGGAATACCTTCTCTGAAAAGTAGAAATTTTAAAATGAAAAAAATTTTTTATGGCGATAATTCACTAAATTTTGAGAATTTTTTGAAAAGATGAAGTAGAAACTGAATAAAAATGATCATATTTGAGAGATATTTCAAGTCTCTCTAACTTAGATAAATACTGTTTTAGATATATAAATTGGGAAAAAAATAAAAAGTCGGGGGGTTTCGGGTAACTCGCCCCAACCCTGATGTACACACAACAAATGACTAATAAAATTTAGTTAGTTACACTGTTACGGTAGTGTTTCTGAACTAAAATTTTTCTTTTGGTCTTACCATTAAATTATTAGATTATTTCCTTCACATAAATTTTTGAAAAAAAATTAAAAAATTTTTAGAAAATTTTTTTAAATCCCTTACTTTGGTATTTTATCGACAAAAACATTCCCGATAAAAGGTTCAATAGCTAACCAGCCAGGATTTCCATCAACAATTAAATAATTAATAATCATTCCTTTTGGGGGTAAAGGAGAAAGTTGAATTTGAATTATTGGAATACCTTTTTATTTAAATTTAAATTAAAACTAAAATTAATTATTTACCAGAATGTATTTTATCAGAATTTATAGAACGTTCATAAATAATTTTAGCGAAATTGAATTTTTGTTTTGTGTTCTGAAAAAAAAGAAATTTTTAAATTAATTTAAAAATTAAATAATATTTTCCAAAGACTAAATAGAGAAGAGGGTTGTTGGTTTGAATAACCAAATCTTTGAGGGATCAGATCTTTCTGGTTTTTTTACAGCAAAACTTATTTTAAATCAAAGGATTTTTGGTTCGGTTATTCAAAGATCTTCCATGAACCAATAACTCTACTCTGTAAAAAATTTTTTCAACTATATTCCTCCAAAAACATTTAAAGGAAAGATTTAATTAAAAATAAAATCCCCGTCGAATTACACAAAATTCCACTCAGAAAGATCTGATCCCTCAAAGTTTATCTACCTAAATGTTGCCTCAGGCCCTCGAATAATTAAAATCCAATTTTTTCAAACTTTTAATTTTTAAATTTTTAAAAATTTATTTTATCAGAAAAAATTTTAATTTACCTCAAAACGTATTTTAAATAAATAAACATCTCTACTACTTCCATCAACATCTTCAACAATAATTTCCAAATTTTCACATTTATAATAATTAATTAAATTATTTTCTTCTTCATTTAATTCAGAATTTAAATTTAAAGAAAATAATTCGAATTTTTGTTTTTCTTTTAAATTATTTAAACGGTCAAGTTGAAATAATTTTGAACAATTTTGGTTATTTATAAATATATTATTTTGTCGATTTTGTGGAGAACTATTTAAATTAAATAAATTAAGTGGTAAATAAGTTTTGATTGGACGCCGAACTTAAAAGGTATAGGCTTCTAAATTGGTGAATAAATACTTGGATTTGTTAATTATTATATACACTAAATTTCAAATAAAATCACAACTTAACATGTTACAAAGAATGAATTTTTTATTTTAAAATGTGGGGGTATCCTAAATAGAATTGAGATGGGTATATCAAGTTAGGGTATACTTTATAGTTACTAGAAAATTTTTTTACAAAATATTTCGTTTTATTTAACAAGAGATTACGAAATTGATTCCTAAAAAGCTAAAGACAAAAAATAAAATATTAAACTGGCACACCTCTATACACTCAGTTGCAAAAGTAATGATCCCTGGATATGAAAATTTTTAAAAAGTGATTATTTTGAAATGGAAAGGGTAAATATTTTACTTCCTTTTTAATAATTAAAATTCACAATGTTAAGATACTTTCCACGGAAAAATTTTTTTCTCAAAATTCCAATCCCGTGAATTTCTCTCAAATCTAAATGGATACCTCTATTTTTAGGGTGGCAAAAGTAATGATCCCTAGCGTGAACCAATAGTAAAAATATAGGTAAAAATTTGAAAAAATTCCAGTGAATACATATATCGATATTAGTTACAAAAACCAAAAGATCGAGCACATTAACTATATACAACACAGTAATCTCGACAATCTAAAACACTTAAAAGTCAACGTATAATGGGATTAGAGTTGTTTGAAAAATATTTTCGTCACCTCACATAAGTGATTCAAATTTTCTTTTATGCTTGACTGAAAGCCAATAAAATTTGCTATAAAATACTTCCAATCAACTTTCCAGAAAAAAATTTATCTAACAAGTTGTGGAGCAACGAACATGCAAGGCGGCAAAAAAGACCATTTATGGGGTAATATGAGAGATTTTTGCCGCCTTGAATGTTCGTCACTCTTCAACACGATAGATAAATTTGTTCAGAAAATTTGAATGACTATATCTTGTAGCAAATTTTATTGGCTTTCAGGCAGGCATAAAAGTGTAACCAATTCCTATATCAAAAAGATAAAAATAATTTTTGAAATAAATTACCCCTATTTCTCGTTGAAATCGAAATGTCAATATCTCGAAGAAAAGAGTAGATATTGGACCAATCTTTTCATAGGTTAACTTCTTATTACTAGTCATCTTTACTAAAATTTTTGTGGATTTTTTTCTTAATGGTTAAACATATTTTTTAAAAAGGGATCATTACTTTTGCCACCCTAAAAATAGAGGTATCCATTTAGATTTGAGAGAAATTCACGGGATTGGAATTTTGAGAAAAAAATTTTTCCGTGGAAAGTATCTTAACATTGTTAATTTTGATTATGAAAAAGAAGGTAAATCATTTACCCTTTCCATTTCAAAATAATCACTTTTTAAAAATTTTCGGACAAAGGGATCATTACTTTTGCAACTGAGTGTATATTAATTTTATTTATATGGACATTTTAGAGTTAAAAGGCCATGGACATTTTTTAATTAAAAATTTTAATTTCCCTAAAAAACTATTTACCTATCATTATCTAAAATAGCCATAGTTTTAGGGCCTCCTTCCATTATTTGTCCATTTTTAATTAAAATTTCTTTATTATTTTCATCATCAATTAATTTAATAATTGGTTTATTATCGTTTATATCTTTTATATTAATTATTAAAGAAATTGGGGAAGAGGAAGGACCTAAAGAATTTAAATATTTTGCTGTAAAAACTAAATAAAAAGTTGTTGGAATTAAAGAAGAAGAAGATTCTAAATCTAAACAAGTTAAAGTTTTTGTTAAATTGTTTTTGTTAATTAATGATGATGATGGACATTTTAGAGTTAAAAGGCCGTTATTGTCTATATTGAAGTAATTGGAGCCTTGACCAAATAATGAATAAATTAATGGATTTTGTGTTGTTGAATTTGTTGAAGACTAAAGAAAATAAAAAGAATAATAATTAGAGTTGACTAGTTTACACCCACTAATTTAAATTTTCTTTGGTTGGTCACTGGAGGGAAAGTTGCCTAACATAAGCTCTATCTCATGGTCTAGCCACGCCGGATTTTTAAAACCGGAAGACGGAAGCAGAAGAGATCCCATACCTACTTTCTATATCCACATATTCATAACACTATTTTGGTAACTTTACTGCTAATTTCTGTTCTGTCATCTAAGATAGGGAGGAAAACTCCTTAGCCTTACAATATCAGCTTAAGTTATGTAGTATACTAAAAGAAAAACATAGTTAACGTTGTAACGGGAGTATATTTTTTAAAGTCAGAAGTACAGATTCCCCCTTTTTCCCAAAAAAAAATATAATTGTTAACCTCCTCTTCCCCAAAAATTTTTAATTTCCCAATTTCATATCCATCCAATTCATTTTCATTTAAATTAAAATTATAATCATTTTTTTCAAATTTTGGTGCTTTTTCTGGTTCTCCATTTAATTCCAAATTTCCATCAAAAATTAAAAAAGGTTTGTTATCAATAAATTCTTTTCCTTTTTCGTCAACTTTTTGACCAAAAATTTTAAAATTTAAAGGAAATAAATGAAAATATTCTTTTAAAATTTTTGTTGGATTTAATAGCCATAATTCTGCTAAATCTCCGGGAGCTAAATAATGGGGGCGAATATCTAATATTTTTGGAAGGGAATCTGTAGGTGATGTTGTTGTTATCCATATATGAAGTAATTTGTTTGTTAAATTCTGAAAAAAAATAATTATTGAATTTTGAAATTTCTCTCAATAAATTATATTAAAAAATTAATTTATAATAACTATGTATACTAGAGACTGGACCGAGACGACAGCTTGAACAAAAATCCTGGTTAACGAAATCTATGTTTTCGATATATCTCATACGACCCCCTCCCCTTATCAGTGCGATTCCTTATCTATATGTTTGCCTAATTTAAATTAAAATACTGTAGTTAAAGTTTTTTGTTCGGAAATATTTAACAAATAAAGCCCAGTTAGAAGAGGCGGACTATAGGATTAATTATCAAACTCAAAAATCATAAAATAAATACCCAAAATTTATTTAATATTTTTTACTTTTTAATATTAAACTTACAAAATTTTCTTCTTCTTCATTTAATTTATATTCCAAAATAAAATTATCTATTGGCTCATTAATTAAATTTGGTAATTTTGAATATAAAATATTAACATTTCCTTTATTTATTAATTTTTTATTAATTAAAATATTTAAATTTCGGGGAATTAATTTAATTAAATTATTTTCTTCTTTTGTTTTATTTTCTTCATTAAATAAAGAATTATTTTTAATTATTAAATTATTAATTAATATTTCCTCTGTTAAATTATTTGTTTCCTCATTTAAATTAATTAATTCTTCTTTAATTATATTTTCTACATTAATTGTAACATTCTTCTTTTCATTAACCTTTTCCTCTTCAAAATTATTTTTTATTTCTTCTTCCCTTCTTTCCACCAAAAAAGAAGAATTCTTCAACTCCTCCTCATTAATTCCCTCAATTATTTCAATATCCGTTCCATTCCCTTCCATTTTTTCAGAATTTTTATTTTTTGGCATTCTGTCTAAATTTTCTTTTTCCTCAATTACTTCCCCATTCTCCTTCTTTTTAACTTCTAAAACGTCTTTTGTTGTTGTCCCTATTGTTGTATTTGTTATCAATTCTTTTTCTTCTTTCTCTTCTTTCGGTTCCATTTCCAAATGCGAATAATTTCTCATTGGCAAAACTTCAACTTTAATTTGTGCAAAATTCTTTAAATGTCCTTGACGACTTTGAACTTTAAATTTGTAAATTCCATTTTCTGTAGACGATAAACTTATATTTGCTTTTCTTTGTCTCAATATTGGAATTTCAGCAAGTATATAATTTGGGCCCGTCAAAAATAAAAGAAAATTAATTTAAAAAATTTAATTTTAAAAATTACTTGTGTGGAGGCTACTTCTCCTACAGTAAACCACCCAAGTTTTTCTCCTTTAAGTTCAAATTGGGGTGGTTGGGCATTTAAATGTCCAAAAAATGTTAAAACAGCAACTAATGCATCCGCCTTAGAAATTTAAAAATTTAATTAATTTATGAAGGTTTTCGTGTATATAGAAGGGAGGAATGTTAGAGATTTACAGTCTTGTTAATAAGTAGGATATCTTGCTGCCTTAGACATACATATATCGTCTTCACACGATATATGTCAGCTTTACATGGACTAGGATAAGTCTTCATCGCCGGTATCTTACCAATTCGTATGTTTCTACAAAAATTTAAAAATATGCGAAACTACTATTAAATATGTTTAAGGCCAGAGTTAATCTTAAATTTCAAACAAAATTACACCTTAATTGGTGGCTCTTCAGGTACCATAAATTCATAAATTTCTCTATCAAAATGAGGCATAAATTCAAATTTTTGATATTTTTGTTGAGAACGTTGCTGTTTTTGTTCGTTTGGATGAACAATAAAATTAGCAATTGGAACAGATTTTGGCAATTCTATTGGGGGATTAATTAAAACAATTGAGGGTGCTGATGTTATTTGTTGATTTTCTGAAGGGAGTAATGTTGTGTTTAAATTATATTTCTCTAAATTTTCAATTGAAGACTCTAATAATGAAATTCCATTTTCTCTATTTTTATTTTCAACAGCTTGAAAGCGAATCTCTCTGAATTTAAAAAAGAATTTAGAGAAAAGAAACAAAACAAAATTCAAAAACACCCCAAAGCCTCTTCCAAAGCAGCCTCTGCTTGATCTTTTGTTTGTTTTCCATTTGTATCAAATTCTTCAAAAACTTGTTTTGGTGTTATTCCAATGATAAAAAATAAAATTATAATGTAAAAATAAATTGATAACATTTTGAAAGGCTAAAAAAATTTTTAATATTTAATTTAGATTTTTATGAATTTTTAAGTGTCTAATACTAAGACTAGAGTTAAACGTTTTCAAATTGCCAAGCCTGGTATCCGAGTTCATTCTTTCGAACGACATGGGCCGGCATTTCCAGAGACCCTGGATTTCAGCAAAATATCAGTTCGGGCACCAGACTTAGAAAAGGGTCTGGCAGGTGTTGAACTCGAATTAAAACTGAATATTAAATTAAAAACTAAATTAAATAGTATAGCTATTTAATTTAAAAGAGTTTATGTTAAAAATATAATTGTTAGGAGAAGATTGACTAAAAACTACTACATAATAACGACCGCGTAAATCTTTCCTTCCTTCTCGAATGACCCAAATAACTTTTGTTTTAAGAAAAAAACATTTCAATAAATAAAAGAAAATAAAGAATATTTTTTTCAATGTCCTTGAAAGGACAATTTATTTTGATTAATTTAAATTAAAAAATTCAATCGGAGTCGAATCTCGATATAAAATTTCCTCAGCTGTAATTAGGCAGATCCATATTATACCCTCTGATAAGCCCAGCAGGCGCTAAAAATGCCAGGTCTTGGTTAGACCTCGAGTCAGGTTTTGAGTCAAAAAAAAGTCCAGGTATATTAAAATTTTATTAAAATCTAAATTTACAATAAAAATCTAGATATAAAAATACAAAATATTTTTTTAATGTTTCCCTTAAAAATTTTAATCTCCGTTTCTAGTAGGCCAGGGGTGTAGCGACACTTGCAGACTTGTATTTGCGGATACCCACCCATAAAAAATTTCTTTAATGCTACAATATTGATAGCTGTTTTCCAAAACCCGTCGACCGTATTTTGCAATTTAAGTTGAGTTTAGATTTGCCCGCAAATGTCAGCGAGGATACAAAATTACTAATGTGATTGATACAAATATTAAAAAGTTATCATCCTTTCAAATAGGGTTCCTTAGTAGATTATCTCTCAAATTTCCCGACTTTCGGGGACGAGGAACAAACCTAATTGGAAACCCAGGGAAATGAAAAGACAGTCGAACTTTAGGTTTTGACAATCAATTAGTTAATCTTTTCTATTTCTGAGAAAATTGTTGGTTCGACTGTATTTAATTAAGCAAAAAATATTTTTAAAAATTGTGTTTACATCTTCTTTCCCAAATCAAGTTTTTGATATTTATTCCAACGCTGGCTTCAATTGCTTCCTTACTGTTCTGCAATCGGATATCGTCTCTGTAGGCGTTCATCTCTTGTCCACGTTTAACCATTTTCTTCAAGCTCGTCCTTAAGTTCTTTAAACTGAAAAAAATAAATTTTTGAAGCAACATAAAAAAGAAAAATAAAATAATAATAACAAAACGTAAGGAATCTGTGTTGTTGGTAAGAGCCCAAGCTTTGTAATTAAGATTTGAGTGTTAACCGCCCAGACAAAGTTACTATTGTTTATCGATTCTTACCGAGTATTTAACAACTTCTACAAGTTACGTATTAAAATTTGAGTTACAGTTTTTAGAAAAGTTAAACAAATAAAACAACACAAAACACAAGCCTGAGAAGTCAGAAAAACCATTTCATTTTAAACTCACTCATTGTCAGCCAAAGTTTTATTTACCAAATAAATAAAAACAAACCTGATAACTGGAGCGTAGTGATACCATTCTTCACATAATTTAATAAGATCATTTATCGAAAAAGATGATTATTTGGTGGAAATCTCCTTTCCAGTAAGGTTAAACTTTACTTACTCATAACTTTTACTCATGAAATTTGCGGACAAAACTTGCTTGTTTAAAAAATACAAAAAAACTTACATTTGGCGAGCTGCCTGTCATTGGTTGGTGTTGACATTGACTGTTGACTGGTGTTGTTGTTGTTTGATGTCAAACTACATGGAGGACTTGAATGACCCAAACTAACAAGTAAAATGGGTGAGGACGATGCATCCTGAACTGAATTGTTAGTCAGAATTCACCTGAACTGACCTGTTTGTCAGAATTCCTCCTAAACAAGTAATTTGCAGAATACTCCTGAGCTGAACAATTTGTCAGATTTCTCCTGAACTGAACTTTGTCAGAATTAGTCCTGAGCTGAAGTTTGTCAGAAGTACCTGAACTGAATTGCTTGTCAGAAGTACCCTGAAAATTGCTTGCTAGGATTCCTCCTGAGCTGAACAAGTTGTCAGATTCCTCCCAACTAACAATTTGTCAGAATGCATGAAGAAGTCTGAACTAAACTGTTTGTCAGAATGTAAATCCTGAACTGAACAGTTTGTATGTGGATAGGACCCAAAATGAAGTGGGAGAGGATTACGATGCATCCTGAACTGAATTGCTAGTCAGAATTCACCTGAACTGACTTGTTTGTCAGAATTCCTCCTAAACAAGCAATTTGTCAGATTTCTCCTGAACTGAACTTTGTCAGAATTACTCCTGAGCTGAAGTTTGTCAGAAGTACCTGAACTGAATTGCTTGCTAGGATTCCTCCTGAGCTGAACAAGTTGTCAGATTCCTCCCAACTAACAATTTGTCAGAATGCACGGAAGCTTGAACTGAACTGTTTGTCAGAATGTAAATCCTGAACTGAACAGTTCGTATGGGGTAGGAGCCCAAAACGAAGTGGGAGAAGGGGGCGCAAAATGAAGCCCTCCATACGCTAAAAAATAAATTAAAAAGGTAAACCAACGCTTTGTTGACGTAGAAATCAGTTGAACTGAAGATGTAGACGTCGACATTACGTTGAGGACTGAAAATACGATTGTTAAATTTGGCCTTCAACATTATCATTAGCAAGTTTTGTCCGCTCCTACACTACCCCCACCCCTAAAAAGGAGGAAAACCCATCTTTGCTGTTTCAGAACATTAGAGCACCGACCTAAAAGTAAAAAAGTTTATTACAAAAATAAAAGCAAAAGTAAACCAAAAATACGAATGTGGAATATTAACAAAACGGTCAGCCATTGCAGCAACATAAGATTTAAAAGTATTGAAGGTAACTCTGGCAGCTCCTTTAGGATTTTCATTTTTGGGTCGACATCAATGCCTGCATAGCAAACTGAGCCATAAAGACTTCCGAGAACAAAGCTAATTCACTAGCTTTTCTTGGTCGTGGCACTCCACCAATAAAAATCTGAAATAAAAATATTTTTTTGGATATTTTCAGTGTAGCCCCATAAACAATATCAGGATGAGATGATAGATCCGAACCCTTGACATTTCTCGACCCGAACCCCGATCTCAAGAAAATATTGAACCAATAGGACGAAAAATTTTTACTCAACCAGGCCCACTCCAAGTTCCATAATGTTTCTAGTTTCAGACTTATTGTTAGTTGATGTAAGAGTTTAGCTACCGGCAGGAATGAACCTGCGACCAGGCTGGCGCTTAAGTCTCTGATTGTGTTCTAGAAACTGATATGAGAGCTAAACGGGCTACAACGTTAGACGACTATAACCCCGCCTAGGCTCCTTATAAGTATAGAAACAATTAAAAGAGCAAACCGTGCGACGAGGATCCAAAAAACTTGAAGGTCGAGGCATATAGTCCACATTTGTCAAACGCCATGGTCAAATCTGCACGGGTTTTTCACGGACAGTTTTACAAGACAAGAGCATATAATAACGGTCCCCTCCACGATAACATTTTGAAATGAGTTTCAGCACAAAGACTTCTTCAAGATAAATCAAAAATGCATAACCAGTTACTTGTTTGCCTGAAATTATAAAAGAAATGTAAGAGAGATTCTGCGATTTTTTTACTTCTTGGGATTTTTTGGACTCCAAGCCACAGGAGCCGGACCTAATCGGACTCAGATCGGTGTATTCGGAAAGTATCAAGCCCAGGTTTGTCCTTTTTAAGATATTCTGTTTTTTCCTGAAATAGACCGACGAGACCCGAGCCGAACTTTAAGGTGTTTTTAAGGTGTCTCCCCAATTCTTCACGATTACCTCCCACTTTAACGATAAAGGCCGGTTAATGCTAAGCTTACATAAAAAACGCCGGCGTCATTCGGCAGAAAAGATGATCGGAAATGTGAAGAGAAAATGACGCCGCGTCTTGCCGAGTTTTTCGCGTGCTTACATAAACTGCGTCTTCCGCCGGCGTCTTACGTTTTAATGTGAAAAACACAATCATCGAGTGGTTAAAAAAAGAGTGAATAAAATAGAGAATAACAGAAAAAATAAATAAAAACAGAATGCCAAAAAAAGGACGCTGACAATAGGCGTAAATTTGAAAATTTGTTTCTCTAATTAACGCTATATCCGAAGAACTTCAAAATATTAAGTGATTTAAAAATGGAAATAAAGTAAAATATCAAACTAAAAAAATATCAAAACGAAACTTGGGTTTGTAAGAAATTTCAAGTTGAAAAAAAACTTCTCTAAGCTTTGATATACTTGTGCACAACAAAGTGAAATAATTGTTCGTAAACATACTCAGAAAAACAAAGATATTAATATGTATTTTTACAAAAAATCGATAAATTAAAAAAATTGCGTTGAATCGTGAAAATCTGAAGCCACAAAATCAAAAAGATACGCAATTGCGTCGAGCCCTGATAAACAAATTTATTCTGCAAAACGGACAATAAATGAGTCGCTACAATTGCAACATCATGAAACGAGAATTTTCTTCGAGCCATTCGAGTTCATAGACCGAGATTAAATTAATTTTCATTCAAATTAGGTGTATTAAGTATGAAAGTCATAATTAAATTTTATACTTTTGTTAAAACATTTAATGTTGAAAAACATAAAGGATATTTTGTTTTTCTTTTATTAAATATCTTAAATAATCTTAAACATCTGGCTTTAATGTAATTGAAGGGTCAATAAAATATTTAAGAAAGTAGGACCGAACTCTAAGATTGTTGATTTTAGTTATAAGAAAACCAAAAATATAAAAAATTTTATATAAAAATATAAAACTTTTAAAAAGCCCAAAACTAAGCCTAAAAATTTGTTGTTTATTAATTTATGTTTACCTTTAATAATTTTTTAATTTATGAGAATTCAAAGCTGAAGGAAGAGATGAATTGGGCAAAATAAAAAATTGGACAAAATATAATTTCAAAATCAGACCTTGATTTCATAAATTATAGTAATCCCCAAAAATTTATTTACTTGGGCAATTCAGTAAGGCAAGGAATTTAGAAAGTCATTTGTTTGAAAACTAAGTTGGATATTTAATAAAAGAAAAGTGGAGGATTTAAGAAAATAAAATTACTTGGAAATGATTAAATAAATTTCCTAACAAAATTTTAATTAAAAAATTTTTAATTTAATTTTTTCACAATTTTGGTAAATGTCCGGTTGGTGTCCTACATGTCCGCAAAGAGAATGTGCATTTTTCCTTCCTTCCCTTGCATTTTTTCCTGCAAGGAGTGGCGCCCATTCTTCCCTTATGTATGGTATGCCTTTTGGAACGTGGAAGAAAAGAGGCTGATTTTTTCAGTCTTCAAAAGCCTTGTAGATATTCAATAATTAACATTTGGGATTTTTTCTTTGATTCAATATCGAGTTCTCTATCGACGAAAATTGGAATCCACAAATTTTCTCCTGAGGAATTATTTGTGGGGGAATTATTAGTAAAATAAAATATTTATTTGTACTTTATTAGTAATAAATTTTAATTATTTTTCCTCTTTTCTTCCACGTTCCAAAAGGCATACCATACATAAGTGAAAAATGGGCGCCACTCCTTGCAGGAAAAAATGCAAGAGAAGGAAGGAAAAATGCGCATTCTCTTTGCGGACATGTAGGACACCAACCGGACATTTACCCACAATTTTTTACTTGAATTCATTTCTGATGCAACTACACGGCTCAATGCGATTTCCAAAAGTGTTGGTATTTGTTGAGATTTTTCTTTTGATTGAAGCTCTTTATTGTTTAAATTGAGTTCACTAGATTGTGGAGATATTTTGATTTCTTCTTGTTCTTTTTGTTTGGTCTAAATTATAAGTTAAGTTGGTTTTTCAATATTTTTAGATTTTTATTTTAAAAAGAAAAAACATTTTTTAAAGGGAAAAGATTTTTTCCATAGAACCATTTTGAAATTGTATTTAGATTCGAATCTAGAACCTATTCAATTGCAATAAACACCCTAACCATTATACCACAATATCATTACTTTAAGTTTCAAGGTTCATTAATTAAGTATCATTAAGTTTCAAGTTAAATTTTTTAAAACTATTTTTACCTTTTTCGGCTTTCGTCCCCTCTTTTGCCCACTAGTATTTTTGTCCTTAATCTCAATTTCATCAGAAGTAACTTTTACAAAATCAACATGAGAATTTTGTCCATTTAAGTCTCTTAAAAATAAATCATCAAAAATGTTTTTCAATAAATATTAAAGTCAGCCTCAGACATTTTTTAATCAACATACTATGCCAATTCAGTAGCAGAACTGGTTTAATTACACTTTCTTCATAGGCTGACGTTAATAACAAATTAAAAATAACTCAACAGGTTCGAACCCTCTCCGTAAAGACAAACACACTAACCACTAAACTACAACACAACTAATACCTCTCGCTTGTAGAACTAGCTATAACTGCTCCTTTACGTAATGAAGAGATCAAAATAGGAATAAATTCTGGTCGAAACATGTGAGCAATTGGAGCTAAAAATTGAAAAAAAAATTTATTTAAAAAATATTAAATAAACCTTTTTTCATATTTAATTTATCCTGCTTTTGCTTTTCACGAGATATCGTCTTTAATCGTTCGGATGAAATCTTTAATAAATATTTTTAAAAACAAATAGAAAATTAAAATTTAAAATTTCAACCCCTAGTAATTTTAATTAATTACAAATTTGGGTCCCTTCCCATGCTTGCCATATAACTGAGCAAAGAACTTGCGGACCTTTGGTACACTCCTTCCCTTGTTCCCAAATATAAATATGTATATACCTGAATTTCTTCTTCAACAATTTCATCTTCCATAAAATCAAGATCAACAGCATTTTCTTCTTCATAAACATCTCCACAGTAAATATCCTCTTTAGTTGCACTTTTTCTATAAAATTAAAAAAAATTAATTTTCTCTAATTGAAAAATCAATCTTTACTCGTCATAATCAAAATCCTCAAAATTATCGTCTCTTTCCAAATCTTCGTTGCTAATTTGTTCCATTGTGATATCTGCAGCCATTTCTTTATTTTTTCCTTTGGATCCAGTTTCATTTTTATCTAATTTAAATTTATTTTTAGATTATATTATTTGAGAAGTTTAATTTAAAATTAATTTATTTGTATTTGTGTTAGTTTGGGAGAATTTTATAGACTTATTAATTAAAAAAACTTCAGAAACCCCAGAAAATTATCAAAAATTAAGACACAAAATGAATAAAAAATAAAATAGACTATGCTTTACACAGGCCAAAAATAGGAATTAATACTAATATAAGTACTTATTGATAGTTTAGAAGAGTTCCTCGTTAGATAAAAAAATTAATTTTCAATAAATAAATTTCTATTAAATCCCAAAAAGGAAATTAGAATCCCAATATATTTAAGATACCACTCTCCTCCCTCACTAAATCCTTCCCAAAAATTTAACAACAAAAAATTTCTTTAATGCTCACCAGTGCAATCAACTTCTTCCAATTCTTCACCCAAAACTGCAATTTTCCCTTCTTTAGATGATTTTTCCTTTACTTTTTCACTCTTGAATCGTTTCTCGGCTCCATTTCTTTCTGGCGACAAAGACAGTCGTCTTTTAGCAATTCTTCCACTTCCTCGAAATGCCAAATGTGGATTACGTCTATCAAAAGCATTGAGCAAATCTCGTAGTCGGTAGTAGTCATCGAGCTAGAAACATTTTGTTTTGTCTTCTTTTATTTTTAATTTTATTTTTAAAAATTCTTCTTAAATTATTTTTAAGAATTCTTTCTCTTCATTATAAACTTCTTATAAATTTACAAAAAAAAATTTTAATTTCTTCAATTTTCTGACTAAAAAATTTCTATTAGTTCCTTCTTTTGTTAATTAAAGTCTACGATAAACTTTTGAGAAAATTTCTTTCTTTTTTCTGTTTAATAAAATTTTGGGGTTCTCTCAAATGAAAATAATTAATTCCTCTTTTTCTTGACTGGAATATCCCATTATAATTTTAGAAATACTCTTCTTATTTTTAAAATTATTTTTAAAGTCATCCTCCTCTTGATTAAAATATTTTTCTGTAGATATTTAAATACGTTTTCGTTCCTCTTTGCCTCCATCATTTGAGAAAAAAGTTCGTCTCTGTCTTCTACAACTTCCTCAGGTTTATCTGGCAATTTGTCTTCTGCTGTTCTGTCCGGAGAAACTTCATAAGTTGGCTGATAATAAATTGGACGACCTTAAAAAAATAACACTTTTTTAATCAAAAATTTAAAAAAACAAACCAAAACTTCCAATAAAATCAGCTCTTCGCGAAACCCTCGAAACACCTCGAGTTATTCGTCCTCTTTCTGAAGAAAATGAATGTTGATGAAAACCAGATGGTGAAGAGGAACGTCGATCTAATTGATTTATTTGAATTATAATTAATTTTAAAATAAAATTTTTAAAAAACCATGAAATGGAACTCGAGGAAATCTACCTCTTGTACTGAATCTTGATATTGCAGAGGCACGATAAGCACGAATGGAAAAAGGTCGAGGACGAGATGAATAAACAACACGAGGTCGAAAGCTGCAAAATAAAAATGTTCTGATTAAAGTAAAGGAACATAGATTTTATTTAATTTAAAAATAATTTAGTCCCAAAAAACCCCAGATTCACGGTATTCTGAAACTAGAAAGACCTCACATAAAAAACTAAACGCCCATTCAAGAAAATTTTTAACATAAAAATTAAAAACCTCGAAGGACGTGAATAAGCAGACGAATCACGACGAAAAGCCATTGGCGGAGAAGGTGAACGCCTAACTGGTCTTCTCGAATCATTTTCATAACGTTGCGATCCACTGCGATGTCTACTAAAAGGCATTATATTAAAATAAAAAAGCAAAATTTTCAGGACTTTGAATACCACAAAAAATAAAAAAATAAAACAATTGTTTCCATAGTTTTAAAGAAAAAATACCTCTCTGCAGTTGATCGATGACTTTTTTCATATTCAGACGAGGAACTCCTGCGTTTATGTGAGTGGTGACTTGGCATTTTTCTAAAAAAATTTCTTAAAAATAAAATTAAAAATTAATAAAGGAGGTAAATTGATTAACAAATAAATTGAATAAATCAACAAATTGATTAACAAAAAAAATTTTTAAATCAATTTTTAAAAATCAATAAATATTTGGAATAATATAACAATTGATAAAATTATAAATCTTTTTGGAAAGGCAAAAAAAATTTCATGGAAAATACTATAATCTGGTAATCGAAAAAATAAATTAATGTGGACATATTTTTTCAAAACAAAAATATCTATCTAAAATAAAAAACAACTAAAAGGAAAGTAAATAACAAATAACAGATGGTTATTAATTTTTACTTTTATTTTGAGTGACAAAAATTTACAAGAAGAATTGTGTAACAAAAAGGACAAAAAATTAAAAAATCACTCAAAAATAAAGAAAAACAACTGCAATAATCCATTACATATTTGCGATAAATAGGGCCCAGATTTATATGGAAAAAACTAAAGTTTCTTAACATTAACTTAACGTCGAATTATCACAGAAAGAAACCCCAGAGAAAGATGTGATAAAAAATATAATTGATCAGTTATTAGTGGTAAGACGTTTCAACGATTTCTTCAATATAAATTAGGGCACTAACACTAGATGCATTTAAGTATTTGAGAGAATTTTCTTTGGAGAATTTTTAAGATTTTTGAAGTTCAAAAAATTTTTTTTCTAATCGTCACTACCCGCATTGTTGAATTGAACCTTACCACACTCAGTACAAACAAAGAATTCTAACTCTACATCTTCAAACGTTTCTTTTTTATATTTTAGTCCAACATGAATTGAGGTTGGACCTCCGCTATTATTAGATAATATGAGTTTATTTCTGGAAAAAAACTTTTAATAAATTGTAAAAAAATAATTTAAACAAACATTATATCAATTGCGCATGTACGAGTCTCGCAAATAACAAAACAGTTGTCCTCGTACACAAAATAATTTTTGTTACCCAATAAACTTCTGCTTTAAAAAATAACATGTCAGAAATTTTAATTAAATTTTAAACCAACTCTTTCCTTGGATGTTTTCCACTATGCATTTCTGGTGTAATTCTAATTGTTTGTTGACTTTCAAGTTTTAATTTCTGGAAACAATCTTGCAAATCCTTTCAAAAATATTTTATTTTTAATAAATTTCAATATAAATAACCTCTTCAGAAATTTCTAACCAATCCGCTCCAAGTCGAACAGCCTAGATTTAAAAAGAAATTTAAAACATAAGAAGTTATTCGTTAAAAAACATTTTTAAAACTTTATAATTTTAAAAAAATTCTAAAATATTCATAATAGTGGTAGTAAATGCAAAACAGATAATTAGCTAAACTTAAGTCTACTAAACGTTTAAAAATAAATAGATGGCCCAAAATTTATTTGAGGAGACCAAAAAAAATTTTAGGGACAAAAAGAAACGATTTTGTACCCTTAATAGTCAAAAGAAGCGAGAAGATTTTTGTGAAAATGACCGTTTAAAATTTAGCTTAAAAAATTACAATTAACATAAAAATTCTCTTTAAAGTATTGTTTTCAAATTTAAATTAGTTAAAATTAAACCTACATTCATATAAAAAAGCAATTGAATAATTTGCATTGGAACAGGCACAAAAGCTCTTTTATTACATTCAACACATCTTGACCACAAATCTTCTGGGCGTATTAAAATTTTCAATTCATGCATTATATGATTAACTAATTGTGAAGGTTTAGTTGCTCCTCTTGTTGTACTGATAGGAACAAAGAAAACTCTTTCAGGATTTAATAAAGTTTCCAATTGTTTATGGCCTTTTCCGGTACTTAAAACAATAAAATCTTTGTTGTTTTCCATTTGACAAAATTCCACAATTTTTTTACGATCACCAATTAATCGAGTATCGAAGCCACATTTTCTCAAAACTTTGCCTAATCTAAAATTAATATATTAATCAATCAAAAAAATATGTAAATAACCATTTAATCCCTCTACAATAAGGATATTACTTCCTCCGCATTTTATATTTTACTTTATTTCGTTTCTCTAAAAAAAACTAGGTCACCCTTTGTTCGCCGACATCTCTTTACGTGAACTAGGGTGGACTCAAAAAATTGTTTTTAATATCCCGTAAATATATATTTTTTTCAATTTCATAAGAGGTCATTCTTTTCAATGAAATAGTAAAATCTCAACTTACCCAAAAAGCATTGAATCAACAACAAATCTGACATCATTAATCGACTTTAAGGGACTATCTGACGAATTTGTAGCTTCATCATTAAGTTCATGTGATGCCATCTAAAAAAAGACATTTTTTATTTCTTCTTTAAAAACCTGAATATTTTTGAAAAAATCATTTTCTCCTTCCTTTATTTTAACAACTTGGCCATCATCTAGAACAAAATTTTGTTGTTTCTTTTCCTCTTCATTTATAAATTTAATTAAGGCACAATTTTGCAAAGAATTTTGTTGATCTTCACGTAATTTTAAAATTAAAGGAGCAATTTTCTTGTATAATTCAACTAAACAATGAGCATCCAATGCAGCATATTTCTTCTCTAAAATTAAAAAAAATGTTCTAAAAAAAATTAATTAAATATTAACGTTCAAGTCGTAAAGGTCGTTGACTCCAATTTCCAGTCCTTTCACTTTTTTCCACTTGAATTCCAAGAAAATAATTTGCAACATCAGAAAGACCCAAATTTTTTAGAGGTTTGCCTAAAAACTTTTGTTAACCTTCGAATTCTTAATTATTTCTTAAAAGGGAACATCTTTACTAATTTAGTTTAAAACATTCAAAAGTTGACGTTTACTTATTAACTAAATGATGTTTTTCATGTTAAAATCAAAATTTCCTATTCAAATATTTTTTTCTCCTTATTTTATTAAATCCTCAAACTCTTTCTTACCTCCAAAAACGGCTTCGGAAAATTCAGGATCTAGAGCAATCTAAAAAAGAAAAAAATTCATGTTGAATATTCTCAAAAAATACAAACCTGCCCAAACAATTTATATAAACAAATAATATTATTTGACTTCAGGAAAAGCTTTGACATAAAAGAGAAAGTACTTTTAAGTACTCGAATATCATTAATAAAATCATAACCTTAAAGAAAAATTTTTCATTTGAAAAATTTAAATTTTAAAAGACCGATTTTTTTAACATTTGGAGTACAAAATAAAGCATCAAAGAAGTTGATCCATTCATCTTCAGTTAATTCTAATTCAACTTCAAGACGTAATACATCGATAATATAAACTACTTTGGAGGTGGCTATTTGGATTAACGAAATTCTAAAAAAATAATTGAACAATTTGAATAATCAACATAATAAAACAAGCAAAAATGCACAAGCAAACTTCGGGTGACCACCCTATGAAATCGAACCTCTAGCTACGCCCTTGAGTAATTGCCCCTAAGAATTAAAATAAAAATAACTTTTCATCGGCCGCAAGATAATGTGGTCTCCATTCTGCATCAATTCCCAATAATTTCTCTCCTCCATTTCGAAGTACTTCAATAACATCATCCAAAGATTCTAAAGAATCTACCAGAATAATTGGCGTTCCATCATCCAAAGAACAATCAAATTCTTGTTCAATCTCTTGATTTCGTTTACGAATTTCAAGATTCCTAAAAATTATACTTTTTGTTTAAATTATTGCAAAAATTCTGTTTACTTTGTTATGCTGTCACGAATTGAGTCAATTTCATTTGGCTAAAAATTAAAATGTTAACGAATAATTTTTTTTAGATTCAAAAACACCCGTCCTAAAAGACACGCGTTTCTGGTTAATTTATTTTTACATATCCTAAGGAATGCGATCGAAAAAGGAGGCAATCAAGTTAAATATTAAAAATAATGTATTATATTTAAATAACCTGTATAGTTTCCATAAAATAAGCCAATCTTCTAGGGTATTGAGACTCCGGAAGTTTAAGTAAATGAGCAAAATACAAAGCCTTATCGCCCAGACCTTTATCAAGCAGAAAATTGAAATATTTTTCTCTAATAAATTCACTCTGACTTAGTGGAGGCTAAAAAAAAGAATAAATTTAAAAACAAATATGTATTCAAATATTACCAATGCTAATTCTTCAAAATGAACCCAAGAATGTTTGCCATCTTTCCAACAAAAATGATTGTAAAGTAAAGCGTCGTAAGCACGTTGAATCATTACATTTGCAATGTCACTAAAAAAAAGTTAAAAATATTCAAAAATTAATTTTAAAAAACCTGTCAGGCGTTTTGTACTTCTTCGCGTATTTAATGGCAAGCTGACAAATCATTAAAAGAAAACATATACATATTAGATTAAAAATCCATACTTTAACAAGTCTCTTGTGATCAGCTATAAGTCTATTCTCATATTCATCCACTCCATTCCGGTGTCTCATGTGTAGACCAACAAGTTCGTCCAGCTTTTTCAACAACTTTTTGTGCCTATATTCAGCCTCGCCAACAAAAAGTTTCAGAGACTCATCATTTTCCAAAAGGAGAAGACGGCAAACAGTCTAAATAAAAAAAACTAATTAATCTCGACATTCATAAAATTAATTTAAACAGAAAAAATTGAAAATTTTTTCATATAAACTCAAAAATCAATTTTTATTAGATAATTAAGTTAGGATAGAAAGAACCAAACCCTAAATGATCCAGAAAGACTAAGACCCCGACAATACTCAAAAACGCCAAGAGATGACCTACATTAAACAAAAATATTATTGAAAACCTGCTCAAAAGGGTAATGATCCCGAAGATTTAGAAGCGCCATCCATTGAATAGCTTTTACAAAATCTTCAGCTATGAGAAGTTCATTAATCATATTTGAGGCAGCAAAAGTCATCGAAACATCATTTAAGTGAAATGTTTTTACAATTAATTGTAAATGCTTCCCTTTGAGAACTGATACAATTTTTAATGCATTTGTCTTAAAAATAAAATTTAAAAAATTCAAATTTAAATAAATTATACAAGTAATTCAACATCTTCAATATTCTGCGCTTTTTGAATTAATTCAGGTTTGCCTATAAGAAAATCATTGTAGGAATTGAGAGCAGTTATGACCTAAAAAATTAAACATTTAAAATATACTTTATGCTTTAGTAATTTTTTCTAAAGCATAGTCCTTTTTGTTTCTGAATGTTTCTGAACCTACAGACAAGCTTCAGAAATGTAAAGATATGTGATGAAAGGACTAGGCTTTAGAGAAAATAGAAGGCACCTCAAATTCTACTAAAATTTAAAAAGTTACAAACCAATGACAGATCATATTGTTTTGCTAATAACGTTGTAATCTTATCCAAATGAATAACTAGATTCAGAAAACCCTCAAAAACATCTTCAGGATCTTCGTCATCAAAATAACGTCTTATCGTTTGTTGGATGACTTTATATTTATCTTTATCTTCCAATACATTGGTAGACTTCTAAATTATTAATTAGAAATTAAAATTAATTTTAAAAATAACCTCATAAATTTCATTAACTCTAAGCACACAATCACGAAAAGTTAACGGCTTTAAGCCTGTAGAATTTTTTCGTTCAGGTTCTTTAATGTTTTCATTATTAGAACCTTGAGAAACATCTTCATCAAAAAACATTTTTTAATTTGATCAAAATCTAAATATGCTAAGAATAAATATATGCCCCAAAGATGCTTTTTCAACAAAAAAATGTTTTTTGAAAAATCAGAAAGGAAGGGAAACAACTAAAAATCGGACAAGCCCTTTGGACGCCAAGAAACCTTAACGTTAATACCAAAGTTCTACTGGTTTCAAGAAATCAAATTAATGACAAAATAAATAAATATTTAATGTAAATAGTATTACATTATCTGCAAAAAATATGAAATATTTAAAGCAAAAAAATATTTTTATTATTCAACAAAAATAAACGAAAACGATTAACTTTATCACATTTTACTTGCTGACGCACTAACTGAAATAGGTGCTCCTTGCGCCTCCATATTTAGCATTTGATGTTCTTGAAAACGCATTGAAAGTCTTTGGCCGGCCTTAAAAAATAAAATTAATTTCTTCCAAATATTTTTCACACAATTTCTATTAACCTTTAAAAACTTTTCCATACAATTTCTAGTACACAAATCTTCTTTGTCGCTTACTTCTCTCCTTGAAAAATCAACCACACAAGAATTAAAACAATGCTCCGTTACAGCATTATATTGTAGAAGGAACTCACGAAACTTAAAATTTTAAAAGATGAAAGACCCCTTATTTGTATACCAAAAAAGTATTTGAATTTTTTCAGATTTACAAATGTGATTTATTAAATGCTAAAATTAAGTCACTTTTAGATCGAACTCAAAAATTAATGATTTTTCACCACTTTAAGAATCCCCCAAAAGTAAATACCCACCGTTCTAAGATCCGATTCTGTTGTCATTTTTAAAGTTGTTTTGTTTGAATTGTTCACTAAATATGTAACTAAAATTGAGAAAACTTAGAAAAAGTAAAATATTTAAAAGCAAATATGTATGTTTAAAAATTATAAATTTTAAACAATGAAATTAAAATCAAATGTTTTTTTAAAAAAGCAAAATTTCTAACAAAAATTTAAAAATAAATATTTTTAAGAATTATTTCCAATCATTTTTTGCTTTATTTTTTCAGTTTCTTCTTTAATTAATTGATAACATTGCAAACAGCAAACCCAAGGAGAAAGTGAATTGTGACATTCTGGACATGAAGCAATTGGGGAAGGACAGAGCATTCGAAGAGGGTTAAAACGTCGTTGTAAAACTTTTGCTTAAAAATAAAAATTTTTAGGGCGTTTTTTTATTGAAATGAGAACATCGGCCCCAATTAGAAAAATAAAATCGTCAAATTCCAAAAACCCTCACAATAGAAAACGAATAATAAATTTTTTGCCTAATTATGCTAAACAGAGACCATCCATGAATAAAATTTGGAAATTTTTCTTAAATCACTAGAACGTTATTCCCAAATACAAATCAAACCCTACTTTTCCTATCATCAATAACCAAAAATTCAAACAAAATTTTTTTATAAAACATACGCTTTGATGTTCGTAATTTTGGCACACCACCCAACAATCGGCTAAAGAACATTTTTTGTCTTTAAATTTAAATTTTTGAATTTGAAAAAAAATAAAATTACAAATATTATCAAGAAAATGATTATCTTTCTTTAAAAAATATAAAATTTCTTTTTTAATTTTATTTAAAAATTTGTTTTAATTTTAATTAATTCTTTTCTAACTGAATAATCATTAAAAAAACACGTAAATATTTTTAATTTTATTTCGTTTTCTTCATTTTCTTTAATTGGAATTGCTTTAGCACTATAACAAAGATCTGTTGGATTGTTACTTTGCCTAGAATGGACAAGTTTTAATGTTGAATTGGTAGATTTTTGAATAATACTCGCACCTAACAGAAGGAATAAATTAATTAGAAAATGATGACGAAAAATTTTTAGGAGGGGCAAAGTAAAAATTAAAAGAGTTACGGGTGACGAGGGGAAAAACCTAGTGAATAATAGAATGATTTATCATTGTTTCTTTTGTTTAAGAAATGATTATTTTTTAATTTAAAAATTCAAATACCTCCATACATACAAGCCAAAATAAAATAATTATTTTCAATTGGACTAACTTCCCAAATTCCACCATTTAACTATAGTTTAAAAAACTTTTTTTTTAATTTTAAAATAAAAAACCTTTAAAGTCGAAAGTGGTTTATTTAAATTTCTCCAATCAAATAATCTTAAATTGTCATCATATGAACCTGACATAATTTGATAATCATCATTCAATTTATATAAAGAAGTAACACCAGCAGAGTGCTCAATCTTTTGTTGCTCGCCTGAACTAAACAAAAATTTTAAAAAATTTTTAAATAAAAAATATAAACCTAAAAGAACAACGCAAATCCCAAATTTTCAAAATTCCATCTTCTGCACCTGTCGCATAGGTCTAAAAAATTTAAATTTATTTTTTACTTTCTTTTTTAATTTTACAATAGGTTTAAGTTTAAAAACAAACTTGTCCGTTTATCCATGAGCAACACCAAACTTCACATTCATCCTTAATACTAAATATTTTTTTATTTATTAAAAAAATTTTGAAAGAATTCAAAAACAAAATAATTTTATTTCTGTATTGCTTAAACATTTCAAAAACTATTAAAAACTGACTAATCCATATTTTGACTTATGTCCACAATTAGAAACGAAAGAACCATCTTCAACATTAACTAAAAATATTTGACCCTGCGTATTTGTAGAAAGGATTCGATCGTTTAGAATAGAACAATCTAGCAACATTTGAGAGCAGACTTTGAATTGTGCAGTGGAGAATAAATTCTCATCGTTATACTTAAAAGTTAAATTTTTAAAAAATCGAAATAAATTCTGGAGGTAATAAGTAGGGATCGGATTTTTAGGTTATAACCTATTTTTTCTGCGAAATAGTCCTGATGAATTGAGCTCAAATCCGTTGTTATTTCTTGAAAATCTTTTGTTTACGGGGAGTTATTATGACCTATTCGAACCTATTTTGGCGTTTTGCAACCTAAAATAGGTTGTAACCTATTTTGGATATTTTTGTGATTTTTTCACTTTTTTGTCACCTATTTTGGGCTTTTTTCATAAAATTTCGATTTTTAATAAAAATTTTCAAAAATTTTTGAAAAAAATTTAAAATTTTTCAAAAATTTTGTCAAATTTTTTTCGGCTCAAAAAATTTTTTTTGATTTTTTGAAAAATATTATCCGCAAAAATCAAAAATTTTTCAAAAATGGAATTTTATTAACATTCTTGCATTGGGGCTGAAATTTATGAACTAAAATAGAAATTATTCGGCATTTTTGACTTTCTTGCCCATTATGTTGAGCTTTTTTTGCAACCTATTTCTTTATTTTTACTACCTATTTGCCTATTTTTGTCACCTATTTTAGCATTTTATACAACCTATTTAGGTACCTATTTTAAGGTTTTTACGACCTAAAAATCCGATCCCTAGTAATAAGGTACCAAACTTCATATTAGAAAACCTAAGAAAATTTGATGTCTAAAAGCCAAAAAAAACTTTTAAACCTTTACTATAACAAGTCGTCCATCCGTAAGTGCAAGCACACACTTATAATTATCCAAAATGAACCTGAAAATACCAGCACTCAAGTCAAGACTACACCTTACAGTTAAATCTTCAGTTCTAATTAAAAATAATTCGCCAGCATAGGATGAGACTTAAAAATCTACTTATTAATAAAAATTTTCAAAAAAATTTAAATTTTTACCAGAATTTGTATCAGAATTTAATTGGTAAGTGCCAACCAACAAATCTTCGTCATCTCCAAAAATCTGCGAAGAAGCTGGTTTTTTCTTTAATTTCGTAGTCAAACATTTCATAATCTAAAAGCTTCAAAAGTATGTAAAAATAATCAGAAATTACTAAAATAACTAATTTAATTAAAAAATATATTTATTAAAAACCACAATTATTAACAGATAAATTTATTTTATTCTTTTATTTATAAATAAATAAATAATAATATTTATAGAAAATATTTTTAAGTCAAAAAAATGCTTGTTAGTAGTTTTCATAATTTTTTTTAAATTTAATAAGTATATAATTGTGCATTTTAAATAAAATAATTAAATGCTTTTAATAAAGGATGGGCAAGGTAATAGCTCTTGAATTAACAAATAAAGATATGATGGTCAAAAAATAGGGTAATAGCCAAAGGGGACAATAAATAACAAACAAAATAATATGTGTTAGACGGAAAAGCTTATCCAACGATTGAATTTAAGTAAAGGGCACAGAGAAAAATTTCTTAACATTTCTTTATAACCTTTCTTTTAATTTGTCAATTATGGGAGACATCTATGATTCTCTTGGATAAGCCCTTGCGTTAACAAAAAACAGCCCAACAAATGGAAATTTCATACAATTTTATAAATCAACTTAAATTTTCCAAGAAATACAGAAAATTAATTTCTCATAAATCAATAAAACTAGAGACAGGCCAAAACGAGATATCGAAAAATCTTGTTCAGCGTGATCAAGATTATTTTAAATATTGATCACGTATCCCTATCGAAACTTCAAGTCCTATCTCCAATAAAAATATACATGCAAATTAATCCAAAGGTTAATGAAAATTCCATTTATTGAACTGCCCCTTATATTTATTTCCTATTTCATTTTTGCCTAAAAATAAATTTTCAAGAATTTCAACTAAAACCCGCCCAAAACCACAAAAAAGGAAATTTTATTTTCTTGAAAATTTATTCTCTGAATAATTTAATAAAAATAATTTATTTTTTAAAAAACTATTTTTTAATACTTTTTTGCCCTTCTTTTGTTTTTATTACTTTTACTTTGTCAAAATGCTTTACTGGATTACATTGAATAGTTTCTGTTCCACGATTTTTCCGAATTTGGTAACGTTTTGATACAGCAAAAAATTTCCTCAACTCCTTATTTGTTGAATTTATATTATTATTTGATTGTGCTAAAAATAGAAAAAAAATAGAAAAAAAATCGAAAATTAAAAAAACCTTTTGTCAAAAATTTTTTCAATTCCCTCTCGCCATGTGCAAAATTACAATTTACACCATATGGACATCTATCCCCATTATTAAACTTTTCACATAAGACTGTTTTGTAATATACAGGATTAAGTTTTCTTAATTTTTTAGATCCATGAGCATAAAAACAATTTTCTCCATGTCGACATTTTGGACCTTTTCCTTCTTGCCAGTTTTGCCAATAAAGGCAAATATGTGTTCTAAATTTAAAAAACAGTAAATTTCTTTAAAACAATTAATTACCTATAAAATATATGTTTATTGTCTAAATGGGATCCTCCACTAGTTCCCTCCAGTACATTGTCACTACGTTGTGCTATACTACTTGCAGGGCTATCTGATCGAATAATTCCATCATTTGTATTTTCACCATCAAAGTCATCTTCGTCACTGTAGTCTTCCTGAAGAATGGATAATATTTAAAAAACAAATTTAAGAACTAACCATATACCCATCGTCAGTACATGGACTTGGTCGATGAGACAAATACTTAAAATAACAATATTTCTTCGCAAAAAATTAAAAAAAAACCTCGGTATTGCAAGAAGTTTTTCTTCGACGAGCAACCACAGTTTGCCACTCATCGATAGATGGCGGTCGAGGAGGTGGAGATTCTACTATTTCAATTTTCTCCTCAACTATTTGAGGTTCAGGAATAACAAAATTGTCATTAGGCGTCATATTATATATTTGAAGAAACATATCCTCTTGAACATTTCTCAAATGATTTAAATATGGATCACGTTCAAATAAGTCATCAAATTGAGATTCCACCAAAAAATTAGAGAAATTCTTATTCTCTTCAATTTTGTCATTAAATTGATCAAAGGTCAAAGGCGATTTTGGTGGAATTTTAGTTTCTTGGAAATTTTATAATTAAAAAATAAAATCGAAGAAAGAAAACAACCTTCCTCTTTTTGTTTAATATTAATTGAAAGGTCTTCATTTTGTTTAACCACCAAAGAGTTTGAAGTTGGAGGAATAATTGTCGTTTGTGATTGCGGTGGTTGTGGCTGGCTAGGAGGAGAATTAGATATCGATCCTCTTAAAAATTAAAAAAATTTCAAAAAGGTTAATATTAACAATAAAACAATTAAATTCTTAAAAATTTTTTAAATTTCTTTCGCTTTAAAGAATAACTCACCGCGCCTTAACTGTCTGCATATTATTAGAATCCGATTGTTTCTTCACCAAGGTCGGAGCTTTTGCAGCAATGTTTGCGAAAGACTTTTGTTGTGTTGTTTTTACTTGAGCTTGTTTAGGAATTTCAATTGTTTTATTGCCATTACTACTCAAACTTGGAAAATCGGCATCTAATTAAAAAAGTATTGAAAAGGAAAAAAAGAAAATTCAGAGGAAGATTAGAACCCCCTGCCTAACTAGAAGAAAAAATTTAAAACAAACCATCATTGGTGTCAAAAACGGAATTTTCCTGCTCCTTTGGTAAAGGACTATACAAATTCATTGATTCAAATTGTTGAGCAACTTTGGCCATTGAAATCGGTGGACTTGAAGATTGAATGTTCTTGGTAACCTAAAAAATATTTATTTGCATCGATGATTTATTCGCATTTATCTATGCATAAAATAATTTTTCACTTCCTTTTCAGACCCCAACCAAAAATAAAAAGAATGGTCAGTTATCCAATTTTCTCAAAACTCCCTGACCTTAATTTACATAATTTAAATTTTCTCACCATTGGAAATGTCGTCGGTTTTGATGGATTGCTTTTGACAGATGTACCGCTCTCCTTTTGCAACAAAACTGAGGAAGATGGCTGATCTTGATGCCAGGTCAATGGTTGAAAATGGCAGGGTTCAATTAAAGAACCCATCGTCAACGCAGTTTGTGGCGGCGGCTGTCCCCAAAGCATTGGACGAGGGGGTGGAGGAGGAGACGGATTTGAAACTAAAAACGGCTTCCCATATGGTGAAGGCGGTGGTTTGCTCATATCTTGTTTATATCGGTCAGCGAAACGATTGTCCATTGTGTAGCAAGGCCACATTGTCGCAGATTTAATTATGTCAATGTCTCCAAACAAAAAATTTTTCTAAACGAAAAGGGATCATTAAATCACACCCAAAGATAAAAAAATATAAAAATTTGTTTAAAAGACATACTATTAACTACAACAATCATGGCACAAAATTTTATTTAAAATATCCATATATGATCAAATAAAACATTATATAGGACAAATTTGGAGAGATGGAAGGAAAACGGAAATATGTGTACAATATTATATAACATTTACTGGCAAATAAAAGTTGTATAGGTATGAATTTTGAACTTTATGAGCCCTCTTTTTCTATTTCTTCCTTATTTTTTCCTTTGATTTAATTATTGAAACTAAATCAATCAAAAAATAATTTTGGATAAAAACTCACTTCTACAAAGGAGTTTTTCAAGTTTTTCTGTTTTCATAAAAAATGGGGCCCATAAAGTTCAAAATTCCACATTACAATATTCCCATATAAGTATACCCAAAAATTCATCAATATATTTAGAAATACAACATTTGCTTTGCAACAAGAGGGAGAGAGATTAAATTCAGCAATGAGGATGAAAAAACACTAAATTTTATATAAATATATTTTCCCCTCATTTTTTCTTAAAAAATCACCGAAAAATTCCCTTATTGGCCATACAAATCACGACTGCGAGAAACCTTCAATTTCTTCTGGACTGGCTCAACCGCCCTTCTTTCCTCATCATCTACCGGTTCCTCTTTCTTTACTTTCTTGAGAAGCAGACCACGCGACAAAAGAAACTCATGAATTTGACGCTCCTTCTTTTCAATGAAATCCATCAGTGGCAATGGAAGAGCCTTAAAAAATAAAATTTATTAGTTATTTTATTGCCAAAAAGATTAAATAACCGCGTGAAGATAAGCCGTTGTCCATTCAAAGAATTCAGCACCATCAATAGGCGAATTGGAAATGCTTTGAAGTCCAACATCCATATAGGCATTTGAAACGTGTCGAAGCGTAAGTTTGCGATACATCTAAAATTGGGATAAAACTAAAAATTCAAACATTCCAACTGACCGTATGTGTAGTAACTGAGCCTGATAATGGTACATTAACAGAATATTCATCACTTTCCGTAACCGCAACAATTTGAGCGACCTAAAAATAAATTTATATTTTAAAGATCATAAATTTAAAAAGTTACCCCATATTTGGTTTGGCCAGTACTGTCATGTCCAAGCACCATACGCACAAAACAATTTTCAATAATACCCTCGCCCTCAGTACTTTGAACCAACGGGACAAGACGCGAACGGCTCAACACAATTTTTGACAGTTCACTTACGGATTTAACCTCAGAGCGCCTGGAAGCGTCATGAAGCGCCAAACGAATCTCATCAGAACGCTGCCTGATCCAACGAATTGTGGGCAGAGGTTGCTGAAAATAAACACAGAAATTTTGTCTTAATGTAAGAAATACAAACCGTTTTGAGTTTAGCATTTTTGTACCAAACATCAAATTCCTCTTGAGTCATTGGATCCACAGCGGTACTTTCAAGAATTCGTTCAGCCTGATTATCAACCCGAATACGCTTCGCATACTTTGACTTGCCAATAGGAACCTCAAAAATAAAAAATATGGGGTTTTTCGATTGAAATACCTGAGTATCAATAACCCCAATAATACGATAGATAGCGTGGAACGTCACTTTGTCCGTCTTTGTCAACATTCGAACATAGCAGTTTTTGACAAGTTCGTCAAAATTTTCTGCCTTCTCCGCCAGTCGAATGAGATTTGCACGAGAGAGAACAACCGGATCAAGTTCGTGAATAAAACGAACCTGAAATTTCGGAGAAACAATTGAAGAGGAAATTTAATTTAATTTCACCTCCTCAAATTGGTCGACGCCGCGATTGCGATCAAGAGCCAGCATATTAAGAAAAGATATAGAATAATAACCTTAAAGAGATAAAAGTTTAGAAAAAACTTTGAAACAAATAAAACACAAGAAACAAAAAAACTAAAGATTTTCCTTTTATATCTACTTTCAAAAATTTATAGACATAATGCCAAACTCAACGCCATAAATGACAGATTTCAAATGTCTAATTCGGAATCATTCGAACTTGTTAAGTTGATTGTTATCATTTCGAATTATATCAAATTGGCAGACATTTATTTCTCACCAAAGATTCATCTTGCTATCTTTAACTAAATCTCTCAAATAATTTGGTTTCATTTAGAGATCAGCACAGGATGGGATCTAGTACAAGATTTTTCGGTGTCTCGTCTTAAAATTCCAGTTTTCTCAATTTTAGGGATTGGCGGGGCTTAAGATTTTCGGGATTAACTCCGTTTATTCTTGAAATTTTTACCAAACAGAGATTTAAATTGGCAAGTGAATTTTTTATATTTAAAAATGTTTTAGATTAAAACAAAAGAAAAATGATAGATGAATTGAAGATGTCACTTATATTTTTCTTCCAAAGAAATTCCTTTTAGCGCCGCTAGCGAAAATTTGAGAATTTTGAAAGGCCAAGCAGAAATATTTCTTTTTCACGCCGCAACCCCCATTTGTTCGCCTCTTTCAGGGAAAGTTTTGAGAATTTTAAGGGTAATTTTAATTTTTTAACCAAAAAGTCTAAAAGAAAGTTCACTTTATACACAAATATATTAACTATGACAAAGCTACCGGACACAATTTATATTTACATTTTTAGATTTTCTTTTTATCTAATAACTACATAATATCTATATTTTCTAATCCTCAATAATCTTCTCAGGCACCTGCACTCTTGGTGGGAATTTGAATAATCTGAAATTTAAAAAAAAATCAGAAATGTCTGAAACTCTTTCCCCCTTAAATGAACAAAATACCAAATCGAATGGTCAAAAAATAAATTCCCCAAAAATATTCCCAAAAATTCCATTAAATACCAGAAAAGAGTTAATGGACATATTCAAAATATCCCAATTCTGTGCCCAAAAAGGAAGTTCTTAAAATTTAAAAGAAAACTCACTCAGTTGTCACATCAACATTCTCTCCCAATTCCTTCAGACAAACTTCTCCCAAAACATGTGAAGGTATAGCTTTACCAAGACATACAATCCACGGATGTTTAACTGGAACCAATTTATAATCTGGATGCCATGGATTCGTTCCTGTAAATTCCCCAAAAACGTTTCTGAACATTCTTATTTTTTGAAAATCTTCTTTTGGTAATAATCCTTTCTTTAATTCATCGAGGGATTTAATGAAACTTTTCCAGTCAAATTCTTCTTCCGAGTCACGAAGTTTCGAATTTCGAATTCCAAAGAAAAGTGCGCGTAATTTCTTAAAAATAAAAAGGGGGGATAAAAATTAAAGAATTGATACATGTCAAAAGGGATTCGAAAAATTATTTTAAAAAATTTTAGTCACAATTTGAGGGGTAAATATAGAATTAGAAAAGTCCAACCAAAAAACATACCGAACAATTCTTAACAAATTCCACAGCAAGAGAAGTATTTAACGTCCAAGAAACGTCCAAATACTGAAAAATATATTTTTAAAAATTTAACAGATCTCCAAAAATCCCAAAAGTAATAGATCCCAAAAACCCAATCCAAATTACTTACTTCAATAATTCCTCTTTGTGCCATAGACATCAAGGAATCATATAATGGTCTATCTTTGCCTCTCCAATGCGTTGCTTCACTAAAAGTACCTCCTTTGATTTTTAAAGTCAAGGAACGCAGAGCAGGCAAACCAACAACTTGATTGAAGAATTGACCAGCATTTGAAATTCTGGTTACTTGGAGGACCAAATATTCCAAGTTTGGTAATTGTAATGCGCTAAATCTGAGAGTTCCAAACTAAAAAAAAAAGTTTGGTCATTCCTCGAGACAGAAATCCAATAGATGAGAATTCAAAACTGTGGCGGGAGGTTAGTCTAACACGACTAATTTGTGAGTAAATATGAAGACTTATAATCCTAAACCCACCCATCTAAACCCATCACTTCCATCTTCCCTATTTTTACAGAATGTCAAAAAAGGGCATACACTTGTGCCCAAAAATAACATCAAAATTTTAAAAATAAAAAAAATAATTTCCAAACCTCAACAGTAACCTCTCCAAAATCCAAAGCAGTCAAACGTAGAAGAAATTCTCGAGGATAAAATTCAATATTTTCCGCACGATTACCTCTCCAATCCCAGCTGTGAAATGGAAGGACTAGGACTTTGATATTTTGAAATTGTTGCATTAGAACATGTGCTTGCTCGTTACCTTCATCAAGTACCAGAACTTTCTAAAATTGGTTTTTAAAAAGAAATTATTTAAATTTTTTGAATTTGGTGACAGATTATTAAGCGGGGTAATATTCAGTTATGTCGAAAAAAGGCCTTTGAGTTTTCATTATGGCTAGTTTTGGACACACTATTTAGTTTAGACTAAATGACCGCCAACAACCGAAATATTTAAAAGTCTAGACAAAATGATTGATAACCCTTATACTTTTGTGTATTATAAAATAAAATTTAGAAAAACTCACAACATTAGGAACGTGTTGCCGAATTGTCCGAATAATTCTGAAGAAAAAACATTTAGAAAAAAAAACTTAAAGACATTCAATTAACCTCAATTGCCTATCCAAACTCCCATCAAGATAATTTAATTGAATAACTTGAAGAGTAGAAGGAAGTCTCTCAATCTCTAATTTATCTTTAAAAGAAAGTTTATTTATTTGAATAAAACAATCTAAAATAATTAACTTACCAAAACCTTCACAGTTGACGACAGAAAGTACTTGAAGATGTTGAAGACCATCAAGCATTCTTTGGAAATCACGAGCGAATTTATAATGCTTAAAAGAAATAATTTTTTAATGTTGGGGGAATTTAGAGGAACCAAAAATCCTCGGTTCAAACCGATAAATCTAATAACGAATAAATTCAAAAATACCCACCAATCGACAGTTTTTGACAACCAAGGACTTCAATTCAGGCATACGTTCAGAAATTTCCAAAAATTCAGAGCCACTAAGGGGCGACAAATAATCCAAGCAAAGATGTCGAAGAAGAAAGCAAAGTTGAAGTAATTTAAATAATCGATCCCTTGGAACCAATTGATAAATTACAAGTTCAAAAGTGTAGCGACAACAACGCTTCATTATGAGACGGAAGTAAGCGCGACCCTGAAAATAAAAAAATCTCCGATTATCAAGGGTTTGTTTATTCAAGAAAAAACGCTTCCCCTAAATTTAGTCACTTACACTAAACAGATAGGTTTTGCTTCCTTCTATTACCGCATCCTCGGGAATTACAACAATTTTGCGCTGTCCAATCCATCCCATTTTAGCAGTATTACGAAAAAGACGAGAAACATGTTCCATTCGAAGTCGATCAAGAATGGAGAGACTTTGAAAAACTCGAGCCTAAAATTTAGAAAATTTTTATTAAACAAAACCACCAAAAACTAACCAAAATGTGGCAACCCAATTCTTCAAGTTTAGTCGTCTTAGGATCTAACATAGGCGCAACTTGTTGTTGATCATTGCTTGGCCCTTCATCTGGATCTTGCTCAAAAAAATTGCGACGCAATGGAAGATGGCGAACATAAGAGCGCCGGACCCATCTCTGAACAACTCCATCATTACCAACAGCTTGAAGCACAATGTCTTGGTTTGGCATTCTTTGTCGTCAAAAGGAAATAATTAGAAAGACTAAGGTTAAATAAAAAATAAGTACAGACTTTTATAGTACTGTACATAAAGTACTAGAAAAAGTTGGGTTAATAGAGTACTGTCACTAGAGAGAGAGGGCAGAAGAAAGCCACTAAGGTGCCCCCAATAAGATTCTGGATCCATTAAGATTATTCCGGATCCGCCTAGAACTTTCTCTGTTATTGAAACGTATCCCTCCCCCTTGGAACATTTCAAAGTTTAGCTTAATATTGTAGTTAAAGTTTTAATATTTATAGAAATACATATTCATTTCGGGATTGCGAGTTCAGGACTGCGAAAATCGCAATTCCATTTCCGGATGCGATTTTACCGGTCTCTTTAAAATTAAATTTAAATAAAATGGCATACATAATTATTTAAACAAAAAATCAGAAAAAATATTCTTGTTTTTTTCAATTTTTATATTTTAAAAAATTAAATATTGTTTTACATATATGTAAATAAATTTAAATTTTTAAAATTAATTAATTAAATTTTGAAAAAAAAATAAAAAAATTTACGCCGGTTCAAACTTTATACCATCTAACGGCCAGATTTTGTGTAGTCAAACAGACTACCATTGAGCTACAACGCCCGCTAAGAGCACCGTTTAAAAATTTATTTATAACTAGAGAGAAGGAGAGAGAGAGAGAGGGGCACTGAAAGTGAGGCCATTGAGCCCAAAATAAGATTCTGGATTCATTAAGATTATTCCGACAACTTTCTCCATTCTTGGAACATATCCCTCGCTCTCGGAATATTTCAAAGTTTAGCTTCATGTTGTGGTTAAAGTTTTAATATTTATTCGTTTCGCGATTGCGAGTTTGGGACTGCGAGAATCGCAATCCCGTTTGTCTGCTATTTTACCATTCTCTGATTTTATATCACAACTTTTTGAATTATTTAAAATTTTATTCTTGAAAATTTTCACCAAACAAAATGAGATTTAAAATAGGCAGGTGAATTTTTCATATTTAAAGATGTTTTAGATTAAAACAAAAGAAAAAATGATAGATAAAATGAAGAGGAATGTTTATATTTTTTGTATTTTTTCGAGAAATCAAAACAAAATTTTACAATTCAAAAATACAAAAAAATTCAAGAAATGTTTTTTTTCATATTTTAAAAGAGAAATAGAAATTTTGAGGCATCAAGAAGCAAAGAGAAGCCAAAACAGAGAAAAAAAATTGAAAATGTTGCATAGCCAATTAAAATTAAATACTCTCCTATTTTATGCAACAATTTTCCTCAAAATACATATAATAGGCAGTTTTATTGTTAGCGAATAAATATTTTCATTTAAAAAAGTGTTAGATATAGAATTTTATTTAAAAATGTTAAAAAAACAGAAAAGATCAGAGAAAATAAGGAATATTTTTAATTATATTCTCCTTTTTTCCAAAGAAAAAATAAGTGGACGGTTTTAAAACAAAAACACGGTTTTCTAAACAAATTTATTTTAATTAAAAACTCAAAAATATCTTTTTAATTGAAAACCCTGCCTTTAATGAGTATAGTATAAAGAATTTAAATTAAAATAAAAAGAGAAAAAGAAAATTCAAAAATGCCCGTATTGCAAGTTGTAAATCTAGAATGGAGAAAAATTTTTTTTTAATTTTAAAGAGCAAATTTTTTAAAAGAAAGATCTCTGTTGTTTTTCACTGAGTTTTAAATATATTTATGCACACAAATATATTAACGCCGAGATGTTGATTCGGTTCCAGTCGGATGCTGTTGAGACCCTTCAGGACCGGATCCAGAATGAACAAGGCCTGTCCTGTTATTTGCACCATATTGATCTAAAAAAGAAAATCTTTTTGATAGAAAATAAATTATTAAGTACCTAATTTTGATAGGTTAGTAAAGGGAGAAGCTCTGGTTAAAGGAAAAAGGTCAAGGAATAGTGGGAGACAACAAATATTATAAAAAAAACGTTAAAACTTGTAGCTGAACGCTCTAGACTGTTAATTTACAAATTTTATTTAACTAAATCCCTAGTAATTCATTATTTTGGCATCCCATATTTTAGTGTCATAACCTCCAATTATGTCAAAATAATGTTAACAAAATTTTAAGAATTATTTTTCTTTAAAGATTTTTAATTTTCGCTTACTAACAAACGAGCCATCTTCATTATATCCTTGATTATCATCTACATCAGCTACCAAAGAATCAGATTCTGATTCACCACCCCACATGTGTCCCGAAAGAGAACGTTTTTCAATATCTTCTGGCCTTAAATATTTTTGTAAAAATTTTTTTACAAAAAAATCTACAAACGTTTTTCCAAATTCTTCAAATTGTTTATCTTTTGGAAGCATTGGTTCACGCCCATGAAGTCGTTCTTTTTCTTCAACAAAATATTTACGTCCACGTTGATGTAAAAGACAACAAGCAATACAAATAAATAGCAATAGAAGCAACAATATCAATAAAATAATTAATAACCAATATAATGTTGCTCTACGAGGTGCTAAAAATATGAGTAAAAAATAATAATTTTGAGAATAAATATAAAGAAATTTTTAGTAAACAAGCAAAATGTTTGGATTTCTAATAAACTTAGTTGATTATAATAATAGCAAAGTAGGCTTATACCTAACGCACAAAATTACCCCAAATTGTGAGGAAAAGAGTAGATAATTTTAAAATATTTTTAAAAGATTTTGAACCTTAAAAACTTTATCGATTTTGGATCATGTATTCAAAAATTTTTTCCAAATTTTTTTCTCAATTTAAAACTAGCAAATTCTCAAATATTAATTTTTAAAATCCAAAAATAAACTTACAAACTCCAGTAGTTGTAATATGATGTATTCTAGATTCAGTTTGTCCAACAATATTTCCAGCTTCATCCCTTTGTAACGAAACAGTCATTACATCATATTTAGTTCCAGGTGTTAATCTGTCCACAGTAACTTGTAATGTTAACCCATCTGGAGGAGGTTCTTTTGTAAGCCATTCATCACCCGAATCCGTTTCTCGATATTTTACATAAAAAGAATTTCCAACAGGCGCTCCTACACGAGAATCATAATGTCCAGGCACGAAAGATATGTTAAAATGATCATCTCCAATTCCTTCTTTGTAAAGTGATGGTTTGCTTGGTTCAACTGTAATTTCGGCAAATGTAAATAAAAAATTTAGAAGAAAATAAATTATTAGATTAATATTAGAGAAAAACATTTTTTTAAGTTTAAATTCGTCTAAATAAAAAAAGAATTTTTTTAAATAAAATAAAGGAAAAATAAATATTTTTTAGTTGAAAAATAATATACATTTTCTATTTAGACAATTGTAAATATTCTATAATACGTTTAAAAAAACTTTTCAGAAAAAAAGGGGAGGATGATAGTCGTTTAAAATAATAACAAAAGAATTTACATATATTTATGTATATTAATATACCGTATTTCCTAAAATAGTACTCCCGGGAGTACTATTTTTCAACCCTCCTCCAAAGGGGAGTACTATTTAAGGGGGGAGTGCTAATTCAGGGGGGAGTACTATTTTTCAACCTTCCTCACTGATTTATCTTGGGAAAATTTATTTCAAAATTCTAAATGTCTAAATCAATTAGATTTCTTAATTTAAAAAATGCTGGATCCGTACATAGATTTTCAAAAAAAATTCCTTTATAATTCGCAAAAAATATCCAAATTATTATAAAATTGAGCACATGGCAGGACATTTAAACACAAGTGACTTAAAATAAGGATTATTGAGGGATATCAAGAAGTATATCAGTGGATTTGGAGTGGGGATTTAAGCTATAAGGGGATTTAAACAATTAAGAGTGAAGCATGCTTTGGACTAAGGTGGATATCGAAAATTGATACATCACTTTTGTTCTTTCGATATCCCTTCGAATCTTATGATATCCATATTTGGCGTAATATCAAGGGATCAAATTATGTAAGTTGGAGATCAGTAATTTGGATATCTGAAAATTCTTGAATTAGAGGTATCGAAATAAAATCGTTGGGTTGAGGAGGATTCATGATTCAATTTTATCTCTTAATCACGCTTAATCAACAAAAGACTACTAATATGACTCATCCGTCATTATTCCCTCAAATTCCTTTTCCGCTTTTAATCCAATGATATCTTTTAACTCGCCTGATCAATTCAGAACCCCTTTTATCACCCGATATCAATACACTTATATCCCTCAAATCCACTTTTATCCAGCCACTTAATCACAATATACCTATCTCCTTAATCCTCAACAAATTTACGGTTCGATTTCGGTTAACAGGAAGTTTCGGTTCGGGTTTTCGTTTTATCGGTTCGGTTTCGGTTAACAAAGAATTAATTGAAACCGACAACCATAATTAGAGTAAATGAAATAATTTAATGAGTCTTTTATAATTTTTTCAAATATAGGGGAAAAATATTTTAGGAGGGAGTACTATTTTAGGGGGAGTACTAATTCAGGGGGGAGTACTATTTTTCAACCCTCCTCCAAAGGGGAGTATTATTTAAGGGGGGAGTGCTAATTCAGGGGGGAGTACTATTTTAGGAAATACGGTATACTAGTTTCCATGGAAACATTAATATTATTATTTTAGTTTTTAAACTAGAAAAAGTCCTCGCCCAAAAAAATATAAATTTAAAATAATTTTTAAAAAATTAAGAGCAAAATCTTTAAAAAAAACGCTAAATTTTAGAGAAATAATGAAGGACCCAAAAAGAGCAAATAATAAAAGATTAAACAAAATGTCTAGACAAAATTCGTTAAAATTAAAGATATTAGAATATAAAGCAGAAAACTTCCTGCCCTAAAGTCAGTCATCCTAAAAATGGAAAAAACAACATTGAAATTCTACTAAATTCCCTATAAATAGACAAACAAAAAAAAGCAATGAAAGAAAATCGAGTAAAAGTTTAAAGAAACTTTTTTAAAGAATTTTTGCTCACAAAAGTAGCAAAGCACACAACAAATATATTTTTATTTTCTAATCTTTTTCCATTATCTAAACTATTTGGAAGAAAAAAAATTTAGTAGCACCTCAAGGAAGAGCTAAAATGCTAATAAAAATATTTTTTTCAAGAAAAAGACACACCAGCTGCTGTTTTTTCCTTAAAAACAAGTAAATTTTGTCAAAGGACACACCCCTCTTTCTCCAAAGAAACAAAAATTTTAAAAACCAATTAATGAAAAGAAAAGGCGACAACAGATGAGACCAAACAACTCATAATAAATAAAATAAAAATTAAAAAAGACGGAAAGAAGCTGTGTTTAATTAACAACAAATATTTTTAAATTAACCCTGGACGCAGATGTGGCGGTGGACACATTCCTCCTCCTCTCCCCACCCTTTTTTACATTACTTATTAAGATTTAATTAAATGAAATAATAAAAATGTAAATAAAGAAAAGGACATTTTTCTTAATGCAAATAATTTCTTTTAAAAGCATTTTTAATATAGAAATATTTTATAGAAAATATTTAGTTAATGCATAAATTTTTGGTTGGGAATTGTTATGGCGAGAAATATTTTAGACGCAAGAAAATGAGTATCAGTTAAAAGTTTGTCTAACATAAAGATCGCGCCTCAACACCCCCAATAGAGCCAAAATTTTTAAATTTAATTTAAAATTATTTTATAGAACCCACTATTTAAATGTAACGCTTCAGGCAATGTATGAGCATCAACAGAATTTAAAAGTCCCATTCCACCTCCAGTATGCGCAGTAAATTCAAAACGATATTTTGTATTATAACGAAGATTAATTATTCGAAGTTCAGTTAATCGTCTATTTACATCTACTGGTTCACCACAATTTGTAAACTAAAATTTTTATTTAAGATTTTAAAATAAATTTAAAGGGATTTTATATTTAGGTATGTTGAATATAAAATGGGAAAATATTTATAACAAATAAGGCTTCACTGTTACTCAAAGATAAAAATTTAAATTATTTTTTGACATTTTTAATGCTACAATTTAATTGTTTCCCCAATCCTAATTAATAAGAAAAATTTTAAAGGGATTTTATACACCCTTATACATTACAACATTTAAAATTTTTCTCAAATTAACCTCTTCACTTTCAGGATCATCTCCATCACTAGCTCTACAATGAACAACCGTATATTTAATCAATCGACCATTACGTTCTCTCGGAGGATGCCATTTAAGCACTACAACAGCATGTTCAGATGCATGACGGTTATTCATTGGATATGCACGTAAATCGCGTACAGGTGTAGGTACTGAAATTTAAGAAATTTTCTTAGAAAATAAACCAAAAATCTTGTAAAAAAATCCAAAAATTACAAACCTCCCTCTTTTGTTCTAAACGACAATTCTTGTGATGGCGCACCCTCATTTTGTCCATTTAATACAGAAATAACCGCATAATTTATAGAATTTGGTTTCAATCCAGTTATAGTACCACGAGTCACGCCCGGTGCAAATACTACAGAATTTCTTTCAAAGTTTCCACTTCCACTCGATAAATCACCGGCCCTTCTATGACGGGCTTTTCTTATTTTGTTATTTGATTCATTATCCAAAAGACTATTTTCATCATACCAATAAGTTATCTTTAAAAATAATTTTTGATTTTGAAATCAAAAAAATCTCTTACCTTATACCCACTAAAATTTCCTTGAACTTTGGAAGGATCCACTGAATCCCATTCAAATTCTGCAGAAGTTGAAGTGACTTGAATTAAGCGGAAATTTGTTGGTGTAACTCCAGGCTCTCCTTCGCCAGTTCTTCCCTCAACAACTTCAGGCATTACAGTCGAAGCACCTTTTCCATTTATTGCACGGACTTGAACCTACAAATTTTTAACTATTTTTATTTAAGGAAAAATGGGAATCTCCGAAAAATCATTAACAAAATTAATATCCGAAAAACATATTATAATCCCAAAACAAACCTCATATTGATCCCATGCTCTAGCACCTCCATCACCCAAATCAATTGTGTATTTATCAGCAAATGGATCCTCAACAGTTATACTTTTCCAATCACCCCCTTCTTCCTTTCGGCGATATAAGATGCGATAAGCAAAATTTTCAGCATTCCATTCATCTCTTGCCATTGGTTCCCAATACACAATTAAATTATCTGGCTGTGTTCCTTGTAACCAAACACCAGAAGGATTTCGAGTTGGAGGTTTCTGGGATGTCTGACACATTCCATCAATAATGTAAGGAGCACTATCACCAATCGCATTCCTTGCTATTACTTGGAAGGTGTACTAAATATAATAGAAAATTTTATTTAGAGATGATATTCAAGTCTTTTAAGGTCAATTAGTCAAAACCCGAGTTGTTTCGGACCGAGTCGGTCTATCTTTTCCACTCTATACAGGACAATTTCAGTTATGTTAATCAGAATTCCAAATTTTTTAAAATCAAGAATTAGATAACAAACCGTTCCAAACGGCTTCAACAAAATTTTCACTTGACCACGAACAAGCCTTAACGATTCCCCAACTGTTTCATGTGGTAAAGCCTTCAATGGAACTGGGTAAGTTTGCCATTTTCCTTGATCAACCTCTTGATCAACACTATATCTAATCCTTTAAATAAATTAAAAATATAATTAAAATAATCAAAATTTTATACCAAAATTCCTCAACAGGTTTACTTCGATCAGCAGGTTCATAGTGCTCAAAATCAATTGTTACAATAGGCTCGTCAATATTACAGCTCGAAATACGCGCTGAATGGACAGGTTGAGGTACATCTAAAAATATTTTAAAATTAATTTGAGAATTTTTTAAGAATTCAATCTTTTCTGTACGTGAAAACTTTGAAGTGGACAAAATTTTTGTTTTTGGATATTTTAAAAATTCGAAAACCCAAAGTGCTTCAAATTTTGGAATCCCTTCTCAAGGTAATCAAATGGTTAAACAAACAGATAATAAAAAAATATAAACCTTCGATATTAACAGTTATACTTTTTGAAATTTCATCCAATTTAGTTTTAACCAAGCAAGTATACATTCCACTATCTTCCTGTGTTGGCTGTTCAATAACAAGTGTATTATCTTCTGTCACGTGGTAATGTCCGCCTCCAATTTCTTTATTTGCTTGAGCTAAATCTCTTCCATTAATTGTCCAAATATATTGAACATCCAAATCGGGATCATGTTTGGCCTCACAAGGTAATTCTTAATTTAGAAAATTTTTATTTGAAAATTTTTTATAAAAACAAACTCATTGGAATTCCTGCACGATGCTCCATTCGTTGTTTAGTAAATGGATCAAGCAATGTTGGAACTGTAAAATTTAGATTTAATTTAACAAAAATTTTAAAAACTACTCACTTCTTACAACTAATTTTTGAGTAGCAGATGCAGAACCATATTTATTGACACCTGTGCATTTATATTCTCCATCATATCCTCTTCTCACTTCTGCAAAGATAAGAATTAATTAAAAGAACAGCAAAAAAATTTTAAACTAAAATCTAAAAATACCTTCGAACAACAACCATCCAGTACAAAATTGATCAACTTTTGTACTATAGGGAACCCCACCAAGTACAGGACTTTCCCATGTCACTGTTGCCTGAGGAGATGAAAAAAATTTGCATTGAAGTGAAAAAGGTTTTCCTTCAATTGCTTCTACTTGACCAGGTTCTTCCAATAATTGAGGTTGGAAAGCTTAAAATTATTTTGAAAGTTTGAACAAAATTCTTCAAAAAATACCCAATAAATTCAAATAAAAATTTGTCCACAAATATCCGTGTTTATTTTCTGATTTACATTGATAAACAGCATTATCTCCTGGCAGACCATTAGCACCCTTTTTCACATCATAAATTGTCAATTTAGAGCCTTCAATCACCCAATTCTCACCGGGACGAGGTCTCCGCAACTCTTTAAAAAAATTAAGGAATATCAATCATCATCAATTTAAAAAACGATAAAATCGGGGGAGTAACGTTTAGACGCCAATTGTTTGGCGTCGGATCTAAATTTTGGCCGAGGAACTTGAGAAACAAAATTCTCATCAAGAATAGTTCCAACGCCCAAACAGTCGGCGCCGAAAAGTTTCAAACTATAAATAACTCTCACCTACGCCATTCTTGTAAAAGGTAACAACCGGAGTTGGGTTACCAAGCGTTTTGCAATCAAAGACAACTGTTTCCCCTTCACTAGTGTTCACACTTGCAGGTGGAAGATCAAACCAGTAAGGCGCTGCTAAAAATGAACAAAATTAATAAAAAAAATCAAAAACTAGTCCAAAAAACCATTTAATTTAATATCAAAAGTTCTGTCAATCGAGGCATGCCTTTCAAATTTACAATCATATCTTCCAATATGTTGAGCAGTAACGTTGAAAACTAAAGTTTTTCCAAAATTTTCAAAAGAAAAGCCTCTAGAATTGTCTGAAGTAATTTCTATTCCATTGTGATACCATATTGGTGTTGGGTTTGGACTGAAATTTAAAAGAAAAAATTTTTTTGAATTTATAATTAGAGGTAAATATGTAAATGTTTTGAAAATTCCTTTTTTTTATCCTTATAAGGAAAAAATTATTAGAAAAAATTTTCATCAGTGGATACTCGCAAAAATAGCATTAATTACTGAATTTTAAAATTTTTTTTTATTTATTCCTCATTTAAAAATAAAAAATAAATGCAAAAAATCCTTCTCTCAAGATTTATTAAAAATACTCCTCTCTTTTATTTATTTACCAACCCAACTGAATTAATTTTTATTCGTGGTTCAAAATATTTTATTTTTGCAATAAATGATTTGAGCCAATTAAATTTTATAAAAGGTAAAAATTAGTTATAGTTCAATGATTTTAACTATATTTATTTTTAAATGTTTTCGGTAAATTAATTTTTTTGTATTTAATCAAATTAAAAACAAGAATATTTTAAAGATATTCCTTTTTTAATAATCATCAAAAAAACTTACAATCCAGAGAAAAAACAATGAAGTTTGTGAATATGTCCAAGTAATGCAATTGGTGAAGATTGATTGACCCATTGTTGTTCTGGAGGCATATTGCGCACTTTAAAAATAATATTTATTAAAAAATTTAAAGAATGTTACATTTTTCTGTTGCATGTCTTTTTTTGACATTAAAATTGAATTGATTGTTGCTGAACTAAAAAATAAAAATCCTGTATTTTAGTGTTCATGTTTATCAAATAGATATATTTTTTTATGAATTTTCCCTCAAAAATGCCATTTTCCAAGCTCCTTAAAATTCAATTTTCTGACATTAAAAATTTTTTTAATGATCGAAGTCGAAAAATTAACATTTAAGGATTATTTAAATTTAAAAATCTTCTCAAAATCCAAACAAAAAATCTTTTCCCATCTACCTTGTATTCCTTCAATTCCTGATTATAAGCAGCACACGTGTATAAAGCATTGTCCTTGAAATCACTTTCTTGCACATAATGAAAGAAAATTGTACCCTAAAATATTACCAACCTTATTATTGTTGCCAAAAAGGAGTTGACTAGGAAGAATTGAGATTAATAGGAAAAAGTGAGCAAAATGAAAGAATAATGGTGGCAGAAATGAAGAAATAATAAATAAAGAATATTTTTTTACTCTTTTTTTAGAGTATAAAAGGGGAAATATTTTCATTTATTTTTTTATTTTTACAACAAAACTAGTTTTCTAGAAAATCTATAAAAATTCAAAAAATTAAAAAAATTAAATTCTCGAAAAAGAAAATTTTTTGTTTTGAAAGTCTGCGCAGACTATTCCTCCATCAAAAGCCACGCATGCAACATGGAGGGAAAAATTAGGAAAATTTTTTAGTTGGTGGGCGGTCGATGGTCGCAGTACAGGTCGTTTAAGTAAATTCGTGAGGAGGTTAGGGGTAATTGACTTTCAAAAAAAAGTAAATGTAAATGCGCGGAAATTAGTCTTGGGGAAAGAGTCATAAAGGGGAAAATTGTAAAAAAATATTTTTAAATTTAAGAGGGAAAAATAAAGAGAAGGATGGATAAATCGATTTTAAAAAAGTCAAAGGGCGGATAAAGAAATAAGAAATAAAGTGCCAAATTTTTTATTAAAAAATTTTTTTCAGAAAAAATCGTCACCCATTAATCCCAGAATTTTTTAAAAATAAAAAAAAGTCCATTAAAAAAGTCCCCAAAATACAAAATATTTCAAAATATTTTGGAAGAAATAAAAATTAAATGGAAAGAGATGGAACAAGAAAATCAGTTAAATTTTTAAAAATTTTAAAACGATAAATGAGAGTTTTTATAAAACACTAAACAAAATGTTTTGTGCTCGGGTCTTATTTTATTTTTTTTCGCAGCCACCGCCCTTTTTCGTTTTTTTTTTTCAAAAATTGTTCAATAGTGAAAAAAAAGCAGATAGAGGCGAGGACAAAATGAGGTAAGAAGGGGATGTAAAGAACTCAAAGGAGCGTGAGTTATGTGTAATAGAAGGAAATGTGTTGGACATAAAAATATGGCTGGCAATAAATAAAAACGGTTAAAAGAAAGATGAAATATTAAATTATAAATAAAAGGATGGCTTTTTTAATTTTAATAATACAGAAAGGTTAAGAGTGATTGAAGAAAATCCCCGTTAAAATTTGGTAGTAATTTTATAAATTTGTAGCAAGAAAATGAGCTTAAGAAATGTTTAAGGGAAAATTATTATAGCGGGGTAGTTAAACAGTAAAAGGCTTCCATTTCCACAAGAACAAAGTAGAAGAAAAAAGAAATTATCGGCATAACAATTTTAAAAATATGCCAAGAAAATAAAAATAAAAACTAGCAATTGAGAACCCCCTCCCTTCCTCTAATTGTCTCTCTAACTAGCCATCAACTAAACAAGCATACATCAAAAGCTGGTTACTCAATCGCAGCAAAATGGCAAAAATATATCCATTTTCTCTTTTTTAAAAGCTAGACAAAGAGTTTAGCCCTTTCGGCGCACTTTTCTCGCTTTTTCCTTCTATTTTCAGCTTCTTCTCGTCATTCTCCCTTTCTCCTTTTGCTAAACAGCAGTTGCACAAACCTTTGCGTGAGGATAGTGAAAATAAAAAAAAATTTTTTTTGAAGAGGAGGGAGAGGAGAGACTAAAAATGAGGACTTGAGAGAGAAACAAAAGAGAATAAAAATATAAAAACGTTACACATTGATGGTCGAGAAAAAGAAGAAAAAAGAAGGAAAAGCCTTTTTATTATTGAATGTCCAATGCTTTTTGCTAAAAATAAAAAGATATTGTGCTACTTGCAGTGAAGAAAAAAGTATTGAATTCCCAAGTGGCGAGAACGCTCTCTCCCTTTTCTCTTTTTTGTTTAGAAAGATGCTTTGATGATGCAAAGAGACAGATGCAAAAATTGAGGAAAAAGAAGAGGACGAGACTTAAGGGACAACCAAAAAAAAATAAATTTTTTACGAATTGAAAAGCAAAATTTAAAGTCAGCAAAAAAATCAGGAAGGAAGCCCCCTTTTTATGTAGTTGACAAAAAAGACTTTAAAAAGAGGCTAAATGACTTTGACCAAAAGGAAAAAAGAGAAAGTTTATAAAAAAAATAAGGCGAGAAGATGCTTCTTCTTCGTTAGAAGAATTTATATTTTTTAGCAAGAAGGAAAAAATTATTTTTTTTTGTCATCCAAAAGGTATCACGACTTTTGCGCCGAGAACATTTGCGCCGCGACTTATGCGCCGCGACTTTTGCGCCGGGCGACTTATGCGCCGCGACTCTTGCGCCGCGACTTTTGCGCCGGGCGACTTATGCGCCGCGACATTTGCGCCGCCATTGTTTAAAAAATCCGGATCCGAAAAATGCCGAATATCCGAAATTTTCAGTTCGTATATCGGATCCGGATATCCGAAGATTTTCAACTATCCGACAACCCTACTAAAGTGAGGTCCGGCTGTGGTTATTGATATATTTTTAATGATAGTGGCGGCGCAAATGTCGCCCGGCGCAAAAGTCGCGGCGCAAAAGTCCCCCGGCGCAAAAGTCGCTCGGCGCATAAGTCGCGGCGCAAAAGTCGCGGCGCATAAGTCGCGGCGCAAATGTTCTCGGCGCAAAAGTCACGGAACCATCCAAAAATGGATAAAAAGAAAACAAAAAAATTTTTAAGAAAATAAATAAAGACTGAAGGATGTAAAAATTGATAAAAATAAGAAAATATTTTATAAAAAAATTTTTATTTAATATAGAATGGCCAGTTTTACATTAATTATTAATTAATAAAATAGGGCAAAATAATTAATTAAAAATTAATAGAGAAAATAAATAAAATATTATTTATTTTTATGGCTTGTTTAATAAAAAATATTTTCTAAAAAAATTCGAGAATCGCAAGAAGATAAATAAATTATTTTTATCAAAAAGGCTTCAAAAACACCGCTTTTCATAATTAAAAAGGCGGTTAAAAATAAAAAAAGATAAAAAAATATTTTTTTATTATTTAACCATATGTATTTTTTACGGTTAAATTTACGAGGTGATTTTTATTTATTTTTACTATTTAATTGGGTAATTTTAGAGTAAAATAGTTTATTTATCAAAAAAATTTTTTGTAGAGGGAAACCAAATTTTTCTTGCTTATCTATAAAAAATCTTTTTGAAATTTTAAGAGTGAAAACAGAGAGTGATAGATAGTTTTATTAAAGATTAGAATTGTTTAACTGGAAGAAAACGAAAAGGCAAAAATGAGGATAAATGGTGGATTAAATAGAAAAAATAGTCGAGATTGAGGAAAGATTGGAAGAGATATTGTTCTCAGAATTTTCTTTAAAAATTTCCAAAATGTTGCAAAATCCTTACCATAAATTTTATGATTTTTGGAGGTAAAAAAGAAAAAAAATATTAGAAAAACAAGAAAAAATACAAGGAAAAGAAAAATATTTTTAAGGACTATATAGATTATTTGGGTAACCTTAAAAAATAATTTGTAGACAGCCCCAAAGAGACATGATTTTTGCCAAGAAAATATATAGATTAAGATCGTTTTTTGATAAATTAAGAGATATAAAGAATACTTAAAATTTATTTAAAAAATTCCACAAACCTTTTCACTTGACGAAATATGAGAAGAATTAATTGCACTTATATGTTTAACATTGTCAGGAGAACGTAAAATCAAAAAATCATTGCTGGAGGATTTGAATCGGGGGGAGTACAATCCCGAGCATATGGTCTACTCAAAGGTATTTCAACTACATTAGGTCCTTCAAAATCAGGAAATGGATTAATCCCTTAAAAAATTAAATATAAATTATTGTCAAATTTGGTAATTATTTTAGACAAAAAAATAAAATTAGTGTTTAATTGTTTTAGAAGTTATTCCCGTTAAAAATAAATAAAAACAAAAATTTTTAAAGAATAAGGAAATAATTCTAGGGTTGTCGGATCATGGAAAATCTTCGGATGTTCGGAACCAAAGAATCCAAAAAATTCCCAGTTATTCGGTTTCGAACTGACAACTCTAAACGATTTTTAGAAGCAAGTTGATATCTTTATAGAAAAATTTTTTAAATTAATACCATCCACCTAACTGAAAAGATTAAAATACCCTTTAGAAAATTTAAAAAAATCTTTAAAAAATGCCAAAAGTTTATTTTAATTTTTTTAACCAAAAAAACTTAATTTTTTTAAAAATCCAAAAAAAACCTACAAGCCAACAAAAGTTTAATTTTCTCAGAATAAGCAGTTCCATTATCATTACTAGCCAGACATTGATATTCCCCCTCATCAGATTCAAAAAATTTTGTAAAAATTAAAGATCCATTGTCAGAATTTGTAATTATTCTATCCCTGTAAACATTGACAGGAAATGTTGAATTATCTTTAAGCCATCTATATCTACAAATTTTTAAAAGATTATTTTAATTTAGCGATAGCAATCATTAATTCCAATCAATAACTCAAAATTAAATTTATTTAAAAGACAATTCTTAAAAAATTTTTGAAAAAATACCTCTTTAAATAATTCTAATTAAGAGTTTATCAATAAATAAAACCAAAATTTCTCTAAAAAAATTTTTAAACAAAAACAAAATTAAATTATCACGTTGGGATTCGAACCCAGACATACTCTCCCAGAAACCCAAACATTTTCCCACTAAACTACACGACCTCCGAAAAATTTTTTTTAATTTTCTGCTCACTAAAAAAAATAAATTTAAAATACCAATAATCCCAACAATTTTAATAAAAATTAAAACAAAATTTACTCGGGCCGTGGAATTCCAATAGCAACACATCTAAAAACTTTTGGTTTCAAAAAATGTTGTAAATGATTAATTCCATTTTGGTGTTCATCCCTCTCATGCCGCCCATTTCCATTAGGCCCTTTATAGTCTTGAAGAGAAAAATAAGTAATTGGGTCATTCCGTTCGTGAATAAATCTTGGAGGTGTTGGAATATTAGCCCAATCAATTTGTGAAATTGGCGAAGAATTTGAGCTTGAAAATAATTCGGCAACTAAAAAAAGAAAATTTTTTTTAATTTTTTCTTTAAAGAAATTTACCAGTAAAATATATTTTGAGGTAGAACAAAACACAACAAATTAATTTGGAGATCATTTTTGGTGATTTTTTTATAAAAATATTTTTTATATCACCTTAAATTTACATTTAATATTTTTATCTAAAAATTAAAAAAAATATTTAAATAAAAATTTATGGAAATAAAAAAGAAGATTGAGAAAAATGTAAAAGGACAGGTAAAAAAGTTAAAAGTGGCTAAAAAATATTTGAAAAAAAAATCTAAAAATAAATTTAGTGAAAATATTAATTTAGAGAGAGTAAAAGAATTTTTAAACAATTTTTCTAAATTTAATGTCTGACTCAAAAATTATTTTAAATTACTAAATTCATCATTTGCAAGAAATTTAGCAGTAAAGAAAGTAAAAGTGGCTAGAAAATATTTGTGAAATTGGCGAATAATTAATGACCATAACTTTTTCAAAAATTGATCGATTTTGATGTTCTTTGTTTAAAATTATCCTATTTTCAAGCTCAGTTTTTTGAAATTAAAAATGCCTTTTTTAAATTCATTTCAGAAAAAGATATGATCAAAATATCCTCAAAATTTCGGTTCGTCGTATGTATAACCTTTGTCAGCCAAAAAAAATTTTTTTTTAAATCTCCCTAAATTTTTTTAATAAAAATAAAAAAATGTGACAAATATTTCAACATCCCCCCCCCCCTTTTTCTTTTTAAAAAAACTTTACAGGAAAAGGAAACAAGGAAATAGAGGGAAATAGTTCTTTTCTTAACAACGCTCTGCCAAAAAGGATAGATAACAACACCAAAAAAACCAGAAAAATATCGAAAGGTTTTTCAGTCAAAAACCCTTCCCTCAATGTGTTCTTTTGGTTCTTGCAAGAAAAAAAATTTTATAGAGAAAGAAAAAAATAGCCAGAGAGATGGAAAATTGGCGGAAATGAGCAACGCTTGAAGGGGTATATATAAATATATAAGAAGGACCACGCCAAGCAAAAAAAACATTAAAAAAGGGCCATGGAGAGTGGAGGGAGGGGGGGGGGGGGTTAGTATATTTTTTTAAAAAAATGAAGATGCTGAAAAAAATGTGATGCATGTAAATAATAGAGGTATATAGAATTTAATTCGAGAAAAAAACACTAAAGCCTTTTTTTTTACTATTCTTGAAAATAGCTTTTTTAATTAAGAAACAAATGGATTATTTGAATTGTTTGAGGATATTTGAAATTTTTGAAGTTAAAAACAAGGAAATGTTAGTGTCCGAGGTTGGGCCGAACACGGCTAGATTTTTCTAAAGTTCAGATTACAAATCCGGGTTTATTCTTAACCAGATTAACCCGCAAAATCCGTCGGGATCCGGTCCGGCAAAGGGGCTCAGAAATTAAATAACCAAGAAAAGGATAAAAAACAACAAAACACAAAAGATCAATAAACAAACAAATAGGTCAAAAGCAACCCCCAAAACCCAACAAAAATATTCTAAACAAACAAAAGTCAACATCGAGACTAAAACACACTCAAAAATAAAAAGAACAAATTAAATAAAACCCAAAAGATCAACAATAAAAAAGACAAAAAATAAATTTTTTTGGCATTATGTCAATAATAAAATAACGCCAAAACAACCCACCTAATTTATTTTTAAAATTAAAAGTCTTTAAATTATTTTTTGATAAATATTTCTGTTAAAATTATCTAATAAATTTGTGTAAATTGACATAATAAAATAAAATAAAAAATATATTGACTTGGAAAGTACATACTTAATTGGTTAGAGTGCAATAAAAATAAAAAAATATTTTTTAGGTGATTCGCATGACGAGAAATAATATTATCGTAAAAATATTTATTGTGCTAGTTGTTGTAAAAAATAATTATTTTTTTGGATTTTTTGACTGAAAAAAGGGTTGGTTATCTCTTAACTGAAATCTCAACATTTTTCATAAATAAAAAGTAATTTCTCCTCTAGACTGCTCAGAAAATAAAAATAACTTTAGAAACTTGGCTGTAATTTTTGTATTAAAAAATTTAAATAACAAAAATGTCTAGAAATTTGTTATAAAAACCAAAGAAAAAATTTAAATAAATGTTAGAATGGAGTGTATAGCCAAAAGATCAAAAACAAATTAATATTAGATCAGAACAGGGCTGTGCGCCAAAATTTTTGCATGGAACGCCAAACGCCAATTTTTAAAATTTTTAAGAGACGCCAAATGTATAACGCCAAAAATAGACGCCAACCGCCATGACACTCAGCCCTGATCAGAATTTATTAAAATTTTAAATAAAGGAATTTTAAAAAATACGATCTTTTGGAATATCTAATAGATTGATATTTGCATTTAATGTAAAGAAGTGAGTGAGCAATTTAGAGAGCTAAATAACATTTACAAGTATTTTGTGATTAAGAAAATATATGTATATGTGAATAATTGTAAAAAACAAATTTTTGTTTGGGGCCTGACCCGAAAGAGCAAAGCCTTATGGAGGAATTGAATAGATACCCTTAAAATTAAAATGACTTAAATAGAAGTAGGTAATTTAACTGAAGATTTAACTAGATTTTCCTCACAAATTCTTAAAAAAAACAAAAAAAAATTATTAGAAAAAACAAATTAAGTATAAAATAAAAATATTTATTAAAAATTTATTTTATTTTAAAGAAAAATCGAAAATTAAAAATACAACATTCTAGCAACATTTTACACAAAATTACAAATATAAATATTAGTGTTCGGCAAATGACCTTTTCCGGTATTCGGTATCGGTATACCGAAAAAATACCGATACCGAAAAATACCGTTTTTTTCAAAATTTGACCGGTACGGTATCGGTATACCGGAAAAATACCGATACCGAAAAATACCGTCTCAACATTTTCGGTATACCGGCCGGTATTCGGTATTTTTTAAAAATTTTATAAAATTTTTTTAAATTTTATTTTTAAAATCTTAACAATAAAATTCGAAAAATGAACATAATTTTAATATTTGTAATTTAAAAATGGTAAATTTTATTAAAAGAAAAACGATTTTTTCTGCTGTATCAGGATTCAAACTAGAGTATGTCCGAGTCCGAGTATTTGAGAAAAACCCGAGTATACGGATACGAGTGAGAGGCGAGATCCGTAGCTAGATCACGAGATCCGTAGCTCTATCCCTCTCCTTTCGATCCGCTGGCTTAAATTTTGAAAATTTCTGAAGGCCAAGAGGAACACCCAAGTTCCGGAAGGCCAGATCCTTCCCTTGAAATATCCGACTATCACTAAAATCCACCCAAGTCCATTCACATTCTGCAATATACACATAAGTCTTCGTTTTCAGCGCCGCAGGCGAAAATTTTGAGAAATTTGGAAGATCCTTAAGCCTAAAATCTTCCTTATTGCTCCGCAGATAGGGGTATCACAAATACCGAAATACCGGAAAATACCGCGGTATTTTTTCGAGGACCGGTACGGTTTCGGTATCGGTATACCGAAAAAATACCGATACCGAAAAATACCGTTTTTTTCAAAATTTGACCGGTACGGTATCGGTATCGGTATACCGGAAAAAAATACCGCGGTATACCGGGAAAAATACCGCGGTATACCGTACCGTGCCGAACACTAATAAATATACATAGATAGAAAAGAATTTAATTATAACATTAATGACGTTAATTGTTTTTTTAAAATATTTTTAAAGGAATGTTAAAAATAAATTTATATATTGAGGTATTTTTAATTTGATAAAGAAACAAGTTTTTGGTTTTTTATTATCAGGGTCCTTAATTCACTTTATTTCTATTTAAAGAAAAATACAGGATTTGGGTAATTAAAATTTGAGTGAACTGGAAAGGTTGAGATTCAGAACGGTATCACGAAAAATCTTGAGCTCGATAACTGAGATTTCTCTCTCTCTCGGTCTGATTTTTAATTAAAATAAACCTCCAAAAACCGAGAACAAAATTAAAGAGTTAAATGGATTATTCACAAAAAAACTTTTTTATTAAAACAATCGAAAAAAAAATAAAATAAATAAACTTTTAGGAAAAGCAAAAGTGTGACAATTAAAATTAATTTTATTTATTATTTGAAGGAAATAGGGGGACAGCGATCAATGTCGCCAAATGAAGAAAAAAGAAATAATTTTTATTCTGTGGTTGGAGGTCAGAGATTTACAGGGTGTTTCACCAGAAAAGCCCTTTTTGAAAAATTATTAACTTTTTTTAAAATTGATATATTTTAATGATTTTTTGTATTTTATATCTATAATTTATAAGGTTTTTTTTGACATAAAAATTATGTCTAAATTCGAACTCTAACCCGAGATAATTCCGTACTCTAACGTTCTCTTTTCCCCTTTTTCATTGCATGCTCGCCACATGTTTTCTTACTTCCTTTTGTTTTTTGCAAGCGGCGATAGACACTAGAGTAAACACTAGGCGATAGACACTACAACTTGAAGAAAAGTGGGCGGGGCTTCTTCTTTTCGCCGCTCGCAGGAAAATAAATGAACAAGATAGCACGCACTGAAAAGAGAAAGAAAAGAGAACGGTAGAGTACGAAATTAAAATACAGGGTTAGGGTTCGAATTTAGACATAATTTTTATGTCAAAAAAAACCTTATAAATTAGGTATATAAAATACCAAAAATCATTAAAATCTGTCAACTTAATAAAAAGTTATAGATTTTTCAAAAAGGGCTTTTCTGGTGAAACACCCTGTATTTTTAAGGAGAAGATGGGCATAGAAGATAAATTGGGGAGATTTTCTTTTTATTTATTTTTATTGCCCACACAATGACAAGTGTTTTTATTTTTTTACAAAGAAAAATTTTTTTTTATAAAATTTGAAAAAAAAAGAAGAATTGTGAAATTTGTTCAAAAGTGTGAAAATTAAAAAATGAAAGAAAAAAAACTTTTTTTTATACAAACGAATAAATTTAAAAAAAGTAAGGAGGGGGGGGGGGGGACATGAAATTAATTTTGTATTTTTCCTTAAAATATTTTTGGAGTTAAGGAACGCGTGATTGGCCGTAACTTGTTTTTAAGAAACTTTGACTTTCAATTTTTAATTTAAAAATAGAAAAAATATCGAGAACCACATATCAAATTTAATAGGCATAATCATAACCTCCGAATAGCCGCCTAAACGAAGTGGACGAAAACCAAAAAATTTTTAATCAAAAATTATCGGGGTCTTTTAAAATTATTTTCCTATCTCCTAAAGTCTTTGATTCGCTACAAGATCAAAAAATAATTTATTTAAGAAAGTTGTCAAATAAATAAATTTAATTGATAAACAGAAAAAAAAGGCAAAACCTGAAATAAATTATAAGAAAATAAAGTTTAGGGAAAGCCATATATTGTCCATAAAGATTTTTAAAAAGCTTTCAATTAAAAATTAAAATATTAAATAAATAAAAACTCTAAGGTCGAAATTAGGGTTGGACACAATCGGTTTTAAAACCGGTACCCTTTGTTTTCGGTTAATCCAAATTAAAAACCCCGGTTTTAGTTTAATACCGGTCCTATTTTGGGTGAATTTTTAAATAACCACTCATTGGAAAAAATTTTTTGCTTTTAAAACCTGGTAGTGCCCTACCCTAGTAAAATCAATAAGTCGAAAAATAGGGAAAAAAACTAAAAAAATTCTATACAATCAATGCCAAAAATGTCTTCTCTACAAAAATAAGAAGAAAGAAGGGTTGGGGGGTTTGTTCACAATTTTATCCGTTGACTGTCCTCTTCGGACGGTTCAAAAATAATTGAGAGAATATATAAAATGAAAATGAGCAAAAAGGGAAGGGAAAGGTTATTTGTCGTTGTTTTTGAGAAAGGCTGAAAAAACAAAAAAAAAATAAAAGAAAATTAATGTTTTGAAGGGAGGAGATATGTAGGGATAGATAGGTTCATTTTCAAGGTCAGAGAATGAACAAATGGGGGAAATATCCGGATCTAAAATAAATTATCTAAAATAATAAAAAAAATATAAAAATTAGAAAAAAAATGTTAAGAAAATTTTTTTAAAAAATTTATTCGAAAATATGGATGAATTAAATAAAAAAAAGCTAAAAATAATATTATTGTACATATTTGATTGAAATTTTTAGTAACGTCCGAGTAATCTTGCCCTCACCCAGTTTTAACTGACGCTTGGGTTTTTTCGTCTTTACTCGGGCCCGAACTTGTGTGGAGGATCTTAATAATCCCAATACTTACTCAGACAGGCTCGGTATAAACCCAGTAGTAGGGTTTTCCCTATTACTCGGTCGGTTTTTCCCCCAATTACTCGGTCTCGACGTTTCTAGTTTTTAGTGTTGATTTAAAAACAATTTTATTTATTTTGCTAGAACGATTCCTTCAATTTTTATTTTATTAATTAAAAAAATTGGAGGATAATTCCTTAATCTTTTTTAAAAATTTAGTTAAAATGACCAAAACTATTTTGATGGCCAATAAAATAAATAAATGAAGTATGTACAGGGTGTTTCACCAGAAAAGCCCTTTTTGAAAAATCTATAACTTTTTATTAAGTTGACAGATTTTAATGATTTTTGGTATTTTATATACCTAATTTATAAGGTTTTTTTTGACATAAAAATTATGTCTAAATTCGAACCCTAACCCTGTATTTTAATTTCGTACTCTACCGTTCTCTTTTCTTTCTCTTTTCAGTGCGTGCTATCTTGTTCATTTATTTTCCTGCGAGCGGCGAAAAGAAGAAGCCCCGCCCACTTTTCTTCAAGTTGTAGTGTCTATCGCCTAGTGTTTACTCTAGTGTCTATCGCCGCTTGCAAAAAACAAAAGGAAGTAAGAAAACATGTGGCGAGCATGCAATGAAAAAGGGGAAAAGAGAACGTTAGAGTACGGAATTATCTCGGGTTAGAGTTCGAATTTAGACATAATTTTTATGTCAAAAAAAACCTTATAAATTATAGATATAAAATACAAAAAATCATTAAAATATATCAATTTTAAAAAAAGTTAATAATTTTTCAAAAAGGGCTTTTCTGGTGAAACACCCTGTACTATTTGGCCACACACACATCTTCTTCATCCCCTTTTAAATTTATTCTTTATTCTTCTCTTTAATTTTCTAATTATAATTGAATACATTTCTCTTTTATTTTCTTTAAAATTTTCTTTCAAAAAAATTTTTTTTCTAAAAATTGCCAAACCATTTTATTTTTATAACATCTGTCTCTCTTCTTCCCCACTTTTTTCTTCCTCTTCTTGCGCATATAATTGTTATCGCTTCTTTTTATTTTCAAGAGCTTTTGCCAATCCTCCTCCTTCCTTCCTTCCACTCTTGAAGACCTCACAAATATCTCCCCTCCCTTCTCGGAGTCTATCGACCAAGAAAGGAAGAGTGAAAGGTCCTTCCTTCCTTTTCTTCTTATTTTTATAGACAAATAATTGAGATAAATAAAGTAGTAGTGTAATAATTGTAAAAATAAATAAAGTAAAAATTAAAAAAATATTTTTGGAATTTTAAAATAGTCTCAAGTTTTTACGAAATTCTTCATATATTCAGAAATTACCCAAAAAATTTTCTTACTTTGTTTCTGAACTGAGAAACTCTGATTCCTCATCTACAAAAATACTTATGAATACAAAAAAGCATTGACTACCTAAAAAAACTCAGATTAATTAATTAATTTTTTAAAAACAATCGAAAAATATATTTCAAAAGTAGTAGCAAAAAAATTTTCTTTTTATTTCTACAATTAAAAAATAAATATACTCCAATTCCAATCAAACTTAAAATTAATTTAGTTCCTTCTAAATTTACTCAAAAATATGTATTCATAAAAACAAAATTACTTTTATTTTTGAATAAATTAACACAAACTTTTATTTAAAAGAGAAGATAATAATCTTCTTCTCTCTCTCATACTTTCACTCATTCTTTTCTTCTTCCTTTATCCGCTTAACCCCCCAAAATTCTTTTATTTTTAAACAAATAAAGATAAAAATTATTTATTTACATAATTTATTTATTTTTGTATCTGTGAGAATTTTGTAAAAATAAGAAAAAAGAAATAAAGGCTTTTAACCGATTAGAAAATAAAGGGCGCTAATGTTAAAAAAAGAAAATTTTTTTTAAGAAGGACGGGAAAGGAAAGGAATGAATATGCAAATTTAGAGACAGAATTAAATAAATTTTGAACCTTTTTGGAAGAAAATAAAAAAGGGAAGGAGGGAATGATGAACAAATAAAAAAGGGAGAAAATGGAGAGGATGTTTAGGTACTGGGAAAGTTTTGCTGTGAGAAATTAAAATTGACAAATTAAAATTTTGGAGGATCAGTGTCAAATACAGGGGTTAGCTTATTCGTTCACAGTCAATATTGTGAGTGATCACTATATCTAGAAATTACCCCCTTCAGCGAAAGGTTGATACAATAATTATCCAGGGTAATTATTAGAGCATAGTACACGTTAAGTAAATTAAATGTTCTTCAATAATCGAGAATTTTTCTATTGAATATTGCAAGTTTAATAAATTTAAGCCACAAACGGTTGAAGGCTTTCAAAGTTTAGAATTATTTTCATTTTTAGAGGTTATATAAAATTTTTACAACAAATCAAATTTTTTACAGTATTTATAGGGTAGATTTTTTTTCTTTTAACTCATTTTTGAATTCCCAAATTCTAATTTAAATTATACACTAAATGTTAACACGCACGAGGGGTGTACTCCGTCCCCGTCCCCCAAAGTCGGGGAATTTTTAAAATGAACAAAAGATAAAAATTTTTTAGATTTTCTTATGGGTCCATGTTCAAAGGACAGTTGACTCAGGAACAAATCTTGAAACACATTTTGGGAACAAATCTACAACTACCTACGTTTATTTTCTTCACAAAAAAATATCCACTAATTAGTGTAATTTTATACCAAAATTTATACCAAAATAAAGGAAAACAATTCGAAACAACAATTTATTACAAACAAATATGTACATACAATACAAACGACAAAATATATATTACATACGATGGAAAGAATATATGGGTATAGGGAATGGGAACAATATATATAGGGACATAAGAAAAGAACAACAATATATAGACTATTTCATGTTTATATCTCGAGCTTCACTTTCAGAACTTCCGGGCACAGGATATCCCTAACGTCGAGCTTTCTTCTTATCCTCAATGCTGGCTCCGGGAAGCAATTCCTTCCCGACATTGTCTGGCTTCTCATATTCAATTTCAGTTTCGACCACAGCGAAAGTATTAATATACTTCTTCTGAAATATATAAATTATAAGTTGATACCCAAAATATTATTTTTCACCTTCTTCCACTCCTCGAACTCCCCAACAGTTTCATACCCCTTTTCAGTCAGTTCCGGCTGGTATTCGTTATCGTAGAGCTCTTGGTCCTTAAACCGCACAATCTGGTCTACAATGAATTGCATCTTGCTTTTGTCGTCTTTTTCCTTCTCCGCTTTCCTCCACATTGCAGCGCTCAATTTATCAATCGGATGACGATCCATAAATCTCTTGTTATATTCCTGTATTTTCTGAAAAGGTGGGAAAATAAGTTTGTTTAGTAAATATTTTTTAGACTTACATCATCTTTCCATATGGCAAAAGGCTTCATGTTCTCACTGCCTTTGACTTTTGCCTCAGCTTGGTAATCAGAATACCATGCTCTGTCTTTTTCACGTTTGGCTGCACGCGCCGCCCTCTTCTCAGAATTCACCTCCACCCAGTTCCATGTGAACCATGCCAGAATTCCAATGATGATTACACCCACAACAATCAAAATCACATAAAGCGCGTTTGGCCATCCACAGGATTTTTCCGGGCATTTGCCTTCCGCTGGACACTTAACCGCTGGTGATGAGATGTTTTTGGCAGCAGTTGTTGTAGTCATTAGAGCTGTCGATGTTGGACAAGGAGCACATGTTGAAGTTTCAGTTGTTTCTGTTGAAGTGACTTTTGTGGTAGAAGTAGTCGGTGTTGGCGGTGGCTGAGGTTTAACATACAGCAGCTCGTAGTCCGGCCTTTTCTAAATTGAATAAAATTGTCTGTAGTTTCTCAAAAAGTTTGTGCATAACTTACAAATCGGACGAAGAGCTCACAGTAAGGCACGGACGGTTTTCCAAACGTAATCCCTTCCTCATTGAATATACGAGTTGCATTTCGTGAAAGCAGGCTGAAAACGAGCAAATGTTGTCTCTGGAACTCCGGGTTCATGATGGTCCATGTTTTTGGGTTGACGCTTTGACTTGACTCTGGACCACAAATCCCCTTCGGATCAAATTCATGTTTTCCTGCGAAGTTCATCGTGAACTTATCCGCCGCTGTTATCTCCAAATCAAAGGTCATTTCGCTATCTTCGAGCTCATCTTTTGGACTCAGGCCACGCTTCTCTTCGGCAACTGCAATAAACATCAAAATTAAATATAAACTTCGATTATTTATATACCTAGATAGGTGTGAGCATAAACATATTTCGATGTAGTAGAACGGCTCCATGAGACTGTCCATGGCATGCATGCTGCGCAGTTTTTTTTACACGTCCCTGAATCCTTGTTTGGCCCTTTGTTGAGTATCTCAATGACTTTGTTGTTCACACTGTAGACGAAGGACATACTGTAAAATTTAAAAATTACAACAAATAGAATAACGGGAAAAAATTTGAAAATAAAAATTCAAAAATTCACCTATTATTATAGCTATTCTCCACATGTCCACCTACAACAAGGCAATTTTTGATCCCTCCTCGCTTGTTCATCACTCCAGCTGTTAACTTGATCTTGTCCTTGTTCTTGCTGAGCAAATCCACAATGCATCCCTTGCCGTCCTCGTTGTACTGAATCTCGCTGAAAAATAACAGAATTTTTATTACAAAAATTCTCATAGGAAACAATTCAAACTCACATGTAGCCTTTCTCGATTTTAACATCACAGGCATCCCGAAAGCGACATTTGTATTCTGTCAAGTTGAAGATCTTCTCTGTGACGTTAACAGTATACGGGTTGAGCTCCACTTGGTTGCCAGTCCTTTTATGATTGCCGAGTCCGACGATTTCCTCCTCCATCTGTCCAGGCACTTCACACACAAGGAAGGTTGCGATGACGAGCAGCATCAGCACCAAGGAGCAAAGCGTTGACGACTTCTTTGTCCCAGGGCCGGTGTCAAGTACCGATGGAAGATGGCAGCGGACGAACATGGAGTGTTGCTGTTTAGAATGTAGACAATATTGATGTTTGTAGAGTTGAGATGAATGTTTGGTAGAGTTTGGGGGGATTTTACCTCCTTTTATAGTCCTAACTTCTAAATAGAGACCGGACTGGGAGTGTCGTACGAGAATAAAGATCTCGAAAAACTCTCGAACTCGTTAACCGAGATTTTTGATCGAAATCTCGTCTCGGTCCGGTCTCCTACTTTTATCCATGACATTTGAACCTCGTCTGTAAGATTCGAATTTGAGGAATATTTATAAATCAATTAGCTAATTTGTTTAGCAATTAGCTAATCTGAAGTAAATTCATAATTTTGGCTCAAAATTTTGTTAGGCTTGTTAATTAATCATTTCAAGGTAAAACGATATATATGTATACGTAATCTAGATGTGATTTACAATATACAAGATTTTCACCAGATTTTAAGTATGGCCTAAAATAGGACAAATTTTACCGATTTTTAAAAATTCATAACTTTGCCAAAAATGCTCATTGGCTTCTCAAAATTTACAGATTTGTTAAACAATTTTTGAGCTACAAAAATAAAGAATTGGAAAAAAATCGGGTGGGACGAGAATAAAGATCTGTCGTACGAGAATAAAGATCATAATCCAAGTTTACACGGTTAATCAAGATGTAATTTAACATATAAAAGATTTTCACCAAATTTTAAAATAATGTAATAGTACATAAATACTAGCAAATAACCAACCTTTTGTGTTTTAATTTTTACTAATTTAGCTAATTAAAATTCATTTTACTTTTGGAAGTTAACCTTTGGAAGTTAACTCTCCTTCTTTTGAGAATTAGCAAATACAGTATTTCCTTCAATACTACTCCCGGGAGTACTATCTTTCAACCCTTCTCCAAAGGGGATTAAATATTATTAAAGGGGAGAGTTGTAATTCAGGGGGTGTAAGGAAATATCCGGTGATTATTTATAGTACTCGGCAAAATTTAATACCAAGTACTCGGCAAAATTTAATTTCAAAAATGTGAAAAGTTGAGGAGTTTCATTCAAAATTTAATTTTTGGTTAAAGCTACCCTTTTTTGTGTTTTAATTTTTACTAATTTACCTAATTAAAAAATAAATTAAATTTTATTTAAAAATGATTAGAAAATAATTATTTATTTTTCTAGTCCAAATTCATCTAAAAATCTATTAATTTCACCAAAAATTATTCAATTAAAAATTGAAGAAGATTCTCCTCCAAACAAACAACTAGCTTCATTTGAAATATTAGATCCTGTAAAGCATATAGCTTTTTAATTCCAAAGGCTATGTATGCAGTAGGCGGCGTGATGTAATGGCTAACACATCAGTCCGGTCTACTGAAGATGCTGGTTCGCTCCCAGCCGCCTAATAACTTATTGCACTAGCTAAAGGAGAGAAATAGCTATAGCCCGGCTGCTTTACTATCCAGATTCCCATAAACATAATTGTTATTTAAATGGGCAATTTGCAGATAAATTTAGTCTTATTAATGAAAAGCAAAAGAAAGGGGTAAGTTTAAATTAAAAGTTTTTATTTCCAACCAATATATTTTTAACTTTCAATTGAGATTGTTTAAATGTTTTAGGTAAACAGAAAATTCCATTCGGATTAAAAAAAGGGTAAACAATTTCCTGTTTTGGCTTTTTCATTTCTGAATTCCCACCTCACATTAACTCAAACTCAAATTAATACACTAAAAGCTAACACAAACATTCAGAGCATTTATTTTGGGGTAAATATTTCCCAAATTTTTCCCAACTAAAAAACAATTCGAAACAACAATTTATTTTTTACAAACAAATACAATACAACAGAATATACATATATTACACATGATAGAAAGAACATATGGGTATAGGGAATAAGGAACAATATAGATAAGAACAATATGGACAATATTTATATATAACAAAGGAACAATATATAGAATATTTCATATTTATCTCTCGAGCTTCACCTTTGGACCTTCCGAGACAGGATATCCCCAATGTCAAACTCCTCCTCCTTCGGATAGTGGAACCGAAACGCCATCCTCAACGTTCTCATCAGCCTTTACCTCCTCAACATTCTCAACGACCACCCCCTCGCCGTCCCTTGTCCGATCAAATTCAATTGCAGTTGCTGTCCCATCGATCACGGTGAACGCAGTAATGATGTTATTTCTCTTAAATATATAAATTATAAGTTGGCATTGAGAAAATATTTATCAAAAAATATTTTCACCTTTTTCCATCCCTCGAAGGTCCCAGGTCTTATACGGCCTCTTTTCTTTATTTCCTTGCCGTATTCGCGATCTCTGATCTCCTGGTCATATAGCTTCGCGCACTGGTCTACAATGAACTGCATCTTTTCTTTGGGGGTTTTATTATCTGTTCTATTCCACATTGCAGCAGCCAATTTTTCATACGGAAGCTCGTTCAGTTCGTTATGTTTTCTCTGAAAATTTTGAAAATAGTTTGTTTAATAAATATATTTTTTATTTTTAAACTTACATTCACTTTCCAACCTTCAAATGACCTCATGTTCTTTGGGCCTTTGACTTTTTCCTCAGCTTGGTACAGAGCATACAGTTCTTCCTCATGTTTGACTATAAGCTTCTTCTCTTCAGAATGCCTCTTCATCCAGAACCATGCCAAAACTCCGACGATGACTACACAAACAACAATAACGGCAATCACAATATAAAGCCATCCACGGGATTCTTCCGGGCACTTGTTTTCCGCAGGATCCGCTGATGATAGGATGGCCGCAGTTGTCGTCATTAGTTCGTTGTTGCTGGACAGTGTCAATGCTGCTGGACAAGGAGTACACAATGTTGGTGGACAAGTAGACGATTTTGTTGGACAAGGAGCACTTGTTGAAGTTTCTAGAGTTTTTCCTGGACCCGCTGTACAGTCTTTTTTAGCCGTTGTAGTATTCGGTGACGAAGGAGGAGGGACATAAAGCAGCTCGTAGTCCGGTCTTTTCTAAATTAAATTAATGATTATTTTTAATTTTGTTCAATCCTTACAAATTGAACGAAGAGATCACAATATGGTGGATTTTCAGACGTAATCCCATCGAATACAAAGGTCGCATTCCGTGAAAGCAGGCTGAAGACGAATAGACGTTTATCACGAAAATCCGTGTTCGTGATGGTCCATGCTTCTGGCTTGACAATTTTACAAACGTCCCCCTTCGGATTAAATTCCTGTCTTTTTCTGTAATTCATCGTGAACTTGTCCGCCGTAGTTATCTCCAACTCGAAAGTCATTCCGCTGTCATTGAGTTTCCTGAATTGACTCAGACCTTGTTCTACTTCGCCAACTGGAATAAACATCAAAATTAAATATGAATTTAGATTAATTATTTACTTAGATAGATGTGAGCATAGACCAAATCTTCAGACTCCTGTTTGCTCCACAAAATTTCAAGAGATGTCCACGGCATGCACGATTTGCATTTACACGTTACATTGGAAGAATCGTTTGGTCCACTGTTGAGCCTCTCGATGTCTTCATTGCTCACGCTGTAGACGAAAGGCATACTGTAAAAGTTAAAAAATTGAAACTAGCCTAAACGAACTAAAGAATTCCAAAATTTACCTATTATTATAGCTGTCCTCCACATGCTCACCATCGTCAAGGCATTTTTTGATCCCTCCTCGCTTGTTCTTCACTCCAGCTGTTAACTTGATCTTGTCCTTGTTTGCCTCGTTCGTACTGAGCAAATCCACAATGCATCCCTTGCCGTCCTCGTTGTACTGAATCTCGCTGAAAAATAAAAATAATTTTTATTACAAAATTTCTTACAAATAAGAGGCAATGCAAACTCACATGTAGCCTTTCTCGATCTTGATATTACAGGCATCCCGAAAGCGATATTTGTATTCTGTCAAGTTGAAGTCCTTCTTCTCTGTGACTTTGACAGTGTTCGGGTTGAGCTCCACCTTGTCGTCAGTCCTTTTGTGATTGCCGAGTCCGACGATTTCCTCCTCCACCTTTCCAGGCACTTCACACACAAGGAAGGTTGCGACGATGAGCAGCACCAAGGAGCACAGCGTTAACGACTTCCTTGTCCCAGGGCCGGTGTCAAGTCCAAATGGAAGATGGCAGCGGACGAACATGGAGTGTTGCTGTTTAGAATGTAGACAATATTGATGTTTGTAGAGTTGAGATGAATGTTTGGTAGAGTTTGGGTGGATTTTAACTCCTTTTATAGTCCTAACTTCTAACCATGACGATTCATGTTTGAATCTTGATGATGAGATTCAAATTTGAGGAATATACATAAATACAATTAACTAATTTGTTAAAAGATTTTGAAGCAAATTTAAAATGTTTTGGCTCAAAATTTTGTTAGGCTTGTTAATTAATTATTTTAAGGTAAAACGATATTATAAATATATTAATGGTTTATCACTAAAAAATAAACTCTTCTTCCTTCTAATCTTTTTACTTTTAATATTTTCAATATCCAAGTTTACACATGTAATCTAGATGTGATTTAAAATATTACAAGATTTTCACCAAATTTTTTTGTTATCATTCTTTAGTCTCTATTTACCTCGAAAAGTCCCCCCTTTTAACTTTTAATCATTTACATAAATAAATAAAAATAAAATCAATCAGGCCATTTTACATTTGCAAATAATAAAAAAATTATTATTATGCAAAAAATTTTATGAGAAAAACGAGAGAAAATGAGGAGAGAGTAAATGATTTTTTAACATTTTTTGTCTGGCACCATTTAATTTTAATTAAAAAAAATAATTAAATTTTGAAAATGGATATTTCAACTTCTTCCGAAAATGAAGGTCTTTTAATGAAAATAAATGGAAGATGGATTTGTTTAAGTGATGAATTTGTTAAATCTCATCCTGGAGGTCCCGTAATTGAACAATATAGGTAAAATATAGTTTAATTATCTCCTTTATTTTGGAGATTATCTCTTCATTTTTAATTATTTCTTATTTTATTACCCCTGCTTTTTACTTATCATTTACTTTTAATGTTTAAAATACAACTTTATAGTGTGAACTTTCACTAGGATATACACTCTATCAACCTCTTTCCGACTTCCGAGTTTTGACTTTTGAGCCATTTCCGATTTCCGACAGTCGCATTTCCAATCGACCTCTGCCCTTTATAATTATATTAAACTATTTTTGAGATTTATACGAACAATATAGAAGATATAAATAGAAAGATAGTCCAACCAAAATTTATAAGTCCAATCACATTTTATTAGATTTTATTAAATAATACATTAAAAATGATAGAATTATCTCACTCTAGAGGTCGATTGAAAGAAATAACCCTATGGGGCTATTTTAGAGAAAATACTGTAAATTCTCCTTTGTTTCTTACTTTATGAACCGAAAATTATTGAAAAATATTCTTAAAGAAAATTTATTATTGAAATATTTTTTAAATATTACTTTTAAAAATCTAAATTTCATTAAAAAATTAATTTAGAGGTGCAGACGCTACACATATTTTCCATGCTTTTCATGAAGGTAAACAATTAGTTTAAATTTAAATTAATTTCCAAAAAATTTTTTAAAGGTTCCAAAAAAGCTTATAAACAATTGGAAATACAAAAAGAAGTTAATCAACCTTCAACAACTTTAATTTCAACAAAAATAAATTTCTCCAGGGATAAGGAAATTATTGATGACGATGATTTTGTTGTTATTAATTATGATATTCCTCCAGAAAAAGTGAGAGGACAATTAAACTGAAAAAAAATAATTTAATGGGGGGGGGGGGATAGAAAAAACGGAAAAATGTAAAAGTAAGAAGGAAGTGGAGGAAGCTAGATAAAATTGTCGGTTCTTAACTGAACCGAAGACCGATGATTTTTCAGTTCGGTTTCGGATATCCGAAGAATTTCTAGGAACCGATAACCCCGTAGCAAAACCATATTTTCCAATAATCTTGTCTTTTATGCCGAGAAATGGAACGTGAAGGATCACTTTAAGAAAGTTATCCAAAGATCTTCAATAGATCTTGCCCTTAAACCAAAACAAATTAGTGCAAAAATTTAAGCAGAATCATCCAAATTTTGTAATCTCCAATTTGTCTGTTACCTCAAATTTATTTAAAAAAATTTTCTCTCATTAAATCCTTTAAAAATTTTAATTTTTTTTAGGAAATGAAAATAGTATTAGAATTTGAAGAACTTAGACAGGTAAATTTAGAATTTAATTAAGAAAAAATAATTTTAAAAAAGAAAGTCCATTCTGAAGGCCTTTTACTTCCAAAACCTCTATTTTATGTCAGAAAAATATTTGAAGTTTTTACTTTATTGTTATTTGCTTTTTGGTTACAATACAAAACTTTTTATATTTTTTCTGCTTTAATACTTGGACTTACTTGGCAACAAATGGGATGGTAATTTTTTAAATTAAAAATAAAATATAATAAAATAAATAAAATGTATATTTTTGTTTAGAATTCTTTAAAAATTTGGCAAAATTAACTAATAAAAATTATATATTAATTAGCAATTTAGGCAAACTTATCTCTTTTAACTGGGGACGACCATGAATATGTGTACATAGTTGAATCTAGAGTACGTCGAGTACCGAGTAATTAGGAAAAAACCGAATTCGCGTAGTAAAGACGAAAAAAGTCGAGTAAATTCGAACTCACTCGAACTCGGACGTACTTTAGTTGAATCAAACTTTTTGGGATTAGGAAATTATACCTTATATTAAGGGGCACATTAAATTGCAATCTCTATTAGGTAGCTTTCCCGACCCAATGACCAGGCAAACTTAAAAAATGCATCTTAAAGGAAGAAGTTTTGTGTAGGAAAATTTTTTGGAATATTTTAAAATTTGGGATATTTTTTTACTTGAAAAAAAACTTTCTTTTAAAATACAGGCTTTGTCACGAATGTTGTCATCACCAACCAACCAAAAATCGTCGTATTAATGACTTTTTATCTTTATTTTTGGGTAATTTTTCACAAGGATTCTCAAGGGATTGGTGGAAAGATAAGGTAGAAATTAATTAAATTAAATTTAAAAATTTATTTCAAAGCATAATTTACACCACGCAACAACAAATATTATTTCAAGAGATGGAGATATTGATTTAGCTCCATTATTAGCTTTGGTAAATTAATTTTGTTAACAATCTTTTTTTGGAAAATATTACTATTTTTTGATGTTCCTATACTTTTAATCTTGATATGGGGAAAAAAATTCCTAAAAAACTTTTTTTTGTTAACTTTGGGAGGCTTATAGACATCTTCAATTAAGAACTTTGTAACTTTTGTTATAAGGGCAGTGGAAAATAAGCTTGGATACTTTTGTAGACTATGTTTTGACTAGCTTCCATGATTTTTTAAAATTAACTAATTTTTTATTTTTTAAGGTTCCAGATGATTTATTTAAACAAAAAACTTTAATTTCAAATTTAATTCTTCGTTTAATTATTCCTTACCAATATTTGTAAGTTTTAGAATTTAAATTTCATTTTTTAATAAAAATCCTTTGATTTTTTTGATTAACTTCTCAATCCGACACAGATATAATATATATACTAACTACATCTAAAAGAAAAAAATTTTTAATTTATTAATTTATAATGAGAATTAGAGACGGAGTGGGAGGGTCGTGTGAGAATCAAGATCTTCGCAAATCTCGAAAAACCCAAAAAAATTAGTCGTCTCGATAACCTAGATATTTTTTTTCGAGAGATCTCATCTCGGTCTGATCTTTAATGAGAATTAACTAAACAAAAATTATAAAATTAAAAAAAAAGAAGTTAAATAAAATTTAAAATTTATTCCAGTTATTTTACTTTAATGTATCCACTTCTACGTATTTCTTGGGTTACTCAAAGTATTTTACATTTATTTACTTCATCTAAAAGTAAATATAAAAAACATAGAAATGTTGCTTTATTTGAACAAGTAAATTTAAATTTTTTAATTTAAAAATATTTATAAAGTTTGCTTTATTTGGACATTGGTTTTGGGTATTTTTACAACTTTGGTTATTACCTTCTTTTTATATTAGAATTGTTTATTTTGCTATATCTCAGTTTGGTAATTAATTATGTAATTTTAATCATTTCTTTTTAAATTTATCTGTGTTTATACTAATTGATCATACAGGCACTTTCTAGTTATGTATTCCTTTAGGTGATGTTATAATCTAGATATCAGGGAATTTTTATTGTTTAATAGGAATTCGAGGAATTCAAAAAATTATTGTGAGACAGATCTTGTATTCATCCACTCTGCTTGAACGGATAAGGGACTTAGAAGAAAATAAGATTTTGATTATTAAGAATCAGACCAGGGAAAAAATTTTTTCATCTATCTATAATTCCTTTTTTGCGGGGAATATGGCGGTAATTATTGTTTAAGGAATTCTATCCTAGGTAAAATGTGTATGATCCATCCAAATCAAAATTCTTTTTCCATTTAAAAATTCATTTGAAATTTTTTTAATTAAAAAAAAGTTGCCGGAACATTAATTGCTTTGGTAGTCTCTTACAACCACAACTCTGTACCTAAATTTCCGGAAAATTCTGGGTTATTAAACAATTTTGCAGCTTTACATATTTTAACTACGAGAAATATGAAAAGCTCTCCGTTTGCTTTTTTTACAAAAATAAATTTATTTATTTAATTATTTTTGTAGTTTCGTTGATTGGTTTTGGGGTGGACTTAATTTTCAGGTAAAAATGAACTCTTTAAAATAAAATAATTTAAGTGAGACTTAAATTTTCTTAAATTCAGTCCTTGCTAAAGGATAATCAATCTATTTGAACAATCTATCGCAAGCTTTTTAAAGTTCCTATTAGTTTATGATTTGTCAGTTTATATCCTTTAATACTAAATTAGAAAGATTCTGTGTGTTAAAAAAGCAAAAAAAATTTCTATCTGTTGCTTGAATAAACAAAAATGTTCTTTTGAGGAGCCTTTTCATTATCTTTATTATTTTCCCTGTAACACACCTCATTCACATGGTGTATATCAGGGGTGTGCCGAAACGGATTTTAAAAAGCGAAACGCGAAATGCGAAAAGCGAAATTAAATTTAAAAAGCGAAACGCGAAAAGCGAAAAGCGAAAAGCGAAAGTCATTAAAAAAGCGACACGCGAAAAGCGAAATGCGAAAGTCCAAAAAAGGCGAAAATCCGCGAAATGCGAAAAGCGAAACTCGCACACCCCTGGTGTATATTGTCTTTCCGTTAATAAATTTCGTTAAAAACTTATTTGTGTTCCGAAGGAAACACACTGTTGATTAGCTAGAATCTAACCTGCCCAATAGCTATCCTTAAGTAAGTAATTTAATCGTATTATGTGCCTACATATGTGGCAGAGGACCCCATCAAGTCCATCCACCTTACTAAAATTTATTATTAATTTAATTTAAAAAAAAAGATTGAACACCATTTATTCCCAACAATGCCTAGACCAAATTTGGGAAGATGTTCTCAATTAGTTCGCCAATTTTGTAAAAATAATCAACTTCCTTATATGGAAGATGATTTTTTTACTGGATATTTTGCTAGTTTAAAGTATATAATTTTTTATTTTCTAAATTTATTTTTAATTTTAAAAGGTTATTACATAAAGTTTCTAAACAAGCAATTGAAATTAATAAATCTTCTAAATAAAAAATATTTTTAAAAGAAATTATTGGAATAAATTTATTTTTAAATTAAATTTTCTTGTTATTTTTTGTTAATAAATATTTAATTTAATAAAAGGTTAAAACATTTTAACTCAAGTTTTAATGATTATTAGGTACTTTAAATGATAAATTCTAATAATCTAGAAGCAAATTAATATTTATAAATAAAAATTTAGTTTTTTTTTGTTTTGAGTGTCTTTATATAAAAAAAATATTTTTCCTGATTTAATTAATTTAAAAGCAAACAATCCGGGCTTTTTAAACTGCTTTTAATTATAATTAATATTTTAATTTGAATATTAATGGAGAGGAAAGATTCATAATTCTCGCTTTCGTATTCATTTTTTCCTGTCACTATTAATTTTTCCTCAATTAATTTTTGGTTAAATTTTTTTTATTATACAAAATATAATAGTATTTTTATTGACGCTATATTTGACTATTAAAAAAGGAAAGCTAAAGTAAATTAAAAAAGATTTTAAAAAAGAGAAAGGATTTATAAATGTGTAAGCAAATAATATTGATAAAAGTTAATCCTTTAAGCGAAGGAATTTCACACTATTGGATTTAATAACGTTTGGGGCTCTTATTGAATAAACAAATGAAAAGATAATGATGAAATTTTGTAACTGATTAGTTTACCTAAAAAATATTCTTAACCTAACAGGTAGACGACAAGTCTAAAAGTCAACCCTAATTGCCCCACCTCTAGTTCCAAGAATTAATTCATGGAACTGGAAGGTTTTTGAAAAATTAATTTCTACATCATCATAATTTAATAACTTTTTTTTGAATAGTTACCTAGTTGATTTTTAGCCTTCGGACAAAATTTTCGAGTGTTGCGCTAAAAAAACTAATTATAACTTGTGTATCCAGAATTTCTATTAACCAGTTACTTTATGTCATAACATGACCGCATATATGTACATATATATCTCTACCTAAATCCTCAAAGGAAAGTTATTAAATTCTGATGATGTAAAAAAAATTAATTTAGATACTTTTAGAAATTTATTTATTTAGATGATGTATAATCTTATTTTCCTTCCAATCCTTTTTAAATAAGAAATTTAAAATAATTTAGAAGAAACCCTTTCAAGAAAATTCCAAAAAAGATTTTTAGCTTGACGTAGAATATATAGAATATTATTAAACCAAAAGAAATTTAATTTGCAGAAATAAGGAAATGAAAGTGTTCTTTCCTTTTAAATTCCAAAATTTTATTTAAGAAAAATATTTTTTTTTGCTTTCAAAATTATCTAAATAAATAGTATATTTTCTTTTAAATTTTTAATAAAAAATATTTTTTCTATGATTTTTGGCCTTCCAAAATTTTTTTCTCTTCAAAGACGAGCTTTTTTTCGAAAAATTCCTTCCCTGTTCTCAATTTCATCAACAAATAATTTCAGAATTTGTAAAAATCAAAAAAACTTCGTGACCTATTTCAAATAAATAAATTCCATTTTTTATTAAGAAATGTCTTCAAATAATTTTTATTTTGAAAAATATTTACTTGCAATTTTTGTTGGAATAAGTCAATCATTAATTTCCTTAATTTTGCCAAATATTTTTTTAAAAGACCAACAACAACAATTAATTGTAGTTATTATACATTTAATTAAATATTTTTGTTTAATTTGTGGAAATTGTTTGGTTATTCCTTTTTTGTTTAATAAAAGGTTTGAAAATTTATAAAAAAATTTCTTCCAGAAAATTAGTGTATTTTTAAGTTAAAATGAGATTTATTGAAAACCAAATTAGGTAGTTGAATCTAAAGATGGAGGTATAAAATAGATTAGAATCCCGACCTAAAATTGGAATCGGGATTCAAAATAAGCCGGTATCCCGCCCAATCCCGACCGGGATCCCGATCTCGCTCAACCCTAGTATAAAATCCCGCGGAATTTAAAAATTAAGAGTTGCTGGAAAAGCCATGCCATCTTCATTCCATCTTCAAGCATTCGATTAGTTTAGTGCGACACCCGTTTCAGCTCTCTTTTTTTGTTGAATTATTTTAAGTACTTTAGTTACACATTTAACCAAGAGATATATTTAATAAGTTGTATATAAGGAGGATACGATAAACTAAACCTATGATCAGATTCTGTCTTTTGGAGTTTTGTTAGATAAATATAATGTCTTATTTAAATCGAGATGACGTTACATCAAAATAATGATATTGATGGGTTAATTTCTACAATTTTTAGAACATTAACAAAATTTAATAAACCATTATAATTTATAATTTCTCTTTTTTTAAGTAACCTCCCAACATTAATATTTAATTATTTTATTAAAGAACATCAACAACAACTCTCAATTAATAAAAAAATTAATTTTATTTTATTTTTAATTATTTTATTAAAATTAATTTGTTTGGGATTTTTAATTATTTTAAATGAAGAAATTAATTTATTTTTGTTTTTATTTTCAATTTTTGGTATTTGTTTATCTGATGGAATTATTCAAAGAATTTTGTTTTTTGAATTTGTCGATTTAAATAAAAATGGAAAAAATAAAATTATTTTTGTTTGTCTTTTATTTTTTAAATTTATGAGGGGTTTTTCTTAAGTATTATTTAATTTCTCTTCAAGAATCGAGAAGTCTTTAATCACTTTTGGGGAAAAAATATTAAAAATTTATGATTTCCTAAAATATTTTTTTCTATCAATTTTTGGTTTCCGCAATTTCGTAAGGCATACCTATTTTAAAAATATTTTACACGATTTCTCATTACTGTAAGACCAACAAAGTGTCCTCCCAGTCTTAAAGAAAAAAGCAAAAATAAAAAGCTACGTAGTGTCGAATGGGGAAAAGTTAGTTGATTGGGGGATGGTTGAGCTGTTAAGAAATCTGGATCGGTGAACTCTTATTTGTTAGATCCTTCCAATTCTTTGCTATTTTCTAGGAGGTTGCCTGTTTACTTAACTAAATTCCTGCCTTTAAAATAAATTTTAAAAAATAATTTAGATTTTGCTTCTATTCTCTTTTGGAACATTTTTGTCTTCTTTAATTATTAGCGAGAATCAAACAACGACAAAGTCAATTTATTTAAAAATAAAATTTTTTAAATTTATTTTCATAAATTTTTCAGTTCAACTATTCACCACGAATTTAATATTTTACAAAAATTTCCTTTAATTAAACTTTCAATTAATTTAAATTATTTAATTGGGTTTTTGTTTATTTTTCAAGTTTTTTTCTTAATTATTTTTAATTTTATGATATTTTTTTAAAGTTAATTTTATTAATTCCTTTTTGGCCTCAAAAAGAAAAACAACAACAACAATCTTCTACTACAGAAATTAATTATTTGGTTGATTTAACTAAACAGAAAAATTGTAAGAAAAAATTTCTTTATTCTTTAAATTTGTGGGAGGGATTGGTGTAAGAGGGGTACTCGAAATTTTCTTTTTTTAATTTACCTAGATTTTTGTTTAGTTGTGTATTTATTAGACATGGAATTTTTTCGCGAATTTCTAATCGAGGTTGAAAAGTAAAATTAACAAATGTGTAGACAATGGGTCATTCAAAACCAGATGCTCATCGTATACTTATTTCGAGAACCCCAATTAGAAGAAAATTTTGAAACCTAAACCCATTCCTGTATAAAGATTAAATACACAAATTTCTGTCAAAAGTTAATTTAAATAGATTAAATTAATCTTTTAATTCTAGCTCCGATAAAGAATTGTTAAGGGTTTTAGACTTTAATTTTATTTTTATTCCAACTAAAAAAATTAAAAAGAAAGTTTAATTTTTAATAAAAATAATCTCTTTATTTTTCTAGCCAACAACAACCAAAAACAACAACCACAAAATTATTCTTTTCCAAAACATTTATTATTTTATTTATCAATTTTGTCTTCAATTAATTCAAGTCTTTTTAATTGTTTTGGTTATATTTTATTTGCTTTTGAAGAAAAAAATAATTTGAATAAATCGAGGAATGATTTAATTATTTTTTATGTGAGGAATTTATTTAATTTTTAAAAAAATTTCAAAAAAAATTTTTTTCAAGTTTTTTTCTCTTCTTTCTTTAACATTTTTAACAATATTAAAAGAACAACAACAAAAATTATTTAAAAGAAAATGTTTTTCTTTTTTGTTTTCTCAAAATATTCTTTTACCTATTGCTTTGGTTTGTTTTTTAATTTTGAAAAGAAAAAAATAACTTTTTTAAACAAAGATCAGGAGAGGAGTGAAATTTTAGAAATCTTAACTATTATTTAAAAATAATCAAACTTCTCTGATTGGGTGCCAAAGTAGGCGACTCCATAATTTGCTTCAAGGGTTTCCGAATCTTACCAAAATTAGTATTAAACGATTCCTCATCGAGCTAAAGAGATTGGTACCAAAATTGATAAAGGCCAGAAATTTTCAAGCAAGTTACGGCTTTGTGCCGTTGTGGCCGCGCGATACTTGGGCGTGGCCTCTGATTTTTTTTAATTTATGATTTTCTTCTAGGAATTAAATCATTTAAAATTTTAAAGATTTTTTCTGCCAAGAGTAGGTAATATTAGATAAGATAATTTCTGTATTCTTTTTTGGGCTTTAATGAATAATAATTAAAACCTAAGAGTAAACGGCAGGGTGTCCCTTTTGCCTTATTTACAGGGCATTTGCCCTATTTTTGACCTTTTCGCCCTATTTTTTCCCTATTTTCTCATTTGCCATATTTTTGCCCTATTTTTACCATCTTGTAAAATTTTAAAAATTCTTCGGATTTTATAAAAAAAAATGGTAAAAACGAAGGTTTTCTGACTTCCTGGCCTTCCAAAATCCTCAAAATTTTTGCCTGCGGCGCAAAAATGGAAGAAAGTTGAGTTCTTGAGCTCCAAATTTCAAAAAATTTTCGCCTGCGGCGCTGAAAATTGGACGAAATTCTTCGATTATTGTGCGGGAATTTTGGGATTTGGTCGTGAATCGATGGTACATTTTAGGTGCTATCAAGTTTGGATTATCTGGGATATTTTCTGTTCTTAAGGGTAATTCAACCAACGGTATTCGGGGATTAAAGAGGATATCCCGATGAAATCGATTAGATACAAGTTGATATTTAATGATAAAGAAATTTTTAAATGAAAAGAGACTAATTTTGATAAATTGAAAAGACTAATTCTGAAAAGAGACTAATTTTGATTGCCTTGCGTTTCGTTTTTCTCAGTTGTATCTTGCACAGTTCCTGATCCTGATTAGTTTAAAATAGTGAGAATATGCATAATAGAGCTTTCTTTTTAAAATTTTAAGTATTTTTAAGTGTTTAAAACAATGCCCTATTTTTTGCCCTATTCTTGACAAATTTCGCCCTATTTTTGCCATATTTTTGAGTCGCTTCGCCCTATTTTGGTGTTTTGGAAAGGGACACCCTGGTAAACGGGGAAAAAATAAAGGGACAACAAAGACATTAAAAATAATTTTTCTAATTAATTTAAAATATTTATATCTAGTTTGGTGCCGGTAGTGCTTTGTGTACTCTAAATTCGGAAATATTACATCCATTTTCTGTTTCTTTATTTGGAGCATCTTTAACAATTATTTGGCCAGCTACTTGGTTACAATTTATTGGCGAATTAAATTGTAAAAATTTATTTCCTTTTCTCATTAAAACAAATTTTTTTATTTATTAATTGCCTTAATCCGCGATGCTCAAATTTTTTCTTTTAAATTTTTTGAGATGATTTTATTTATTTAATAATTCCAAATCCTTTAATTACACCAAATAATTTTTGAGGAGCCAATTTATTTTTTTTCGTAAATTTTGGGCGTCTATTAGAGAGTGTGCCTTTTTATTAGAATATTTATTTGTAAAAAATTTTTATTTTAAAGATAACAACATAAAAACAATAAATAATCAAATATCACCAGCTATAACAATAATATTAATTTCTTCACATTTTGGCCCATTCATTTTTCCATTTATTTTAACACAAGTAAATAAATTTTTAAAATTTAAAATTAATTTTTAAATAAATTATTTAAAGATTTATATAATTTATGGAGGTCCAGAACTTTTTACTTCAATAGAATTATTTTTTATATTTTTAATGGTTATTGCTTTTGTTTGTATATTAAATATTCAGGCTAATCAACAACAATCTGGAAGTATTTATAAATTTGTTTTTAAATATATTTTGAGATTACTTTTCCTTTTTAGAAAAGCTATCCAATAGTTAACAATAATAGACATAAATCCCAAACAACCCTCGGACATAAGACAAACAGATAAGGAGCTAACTGTTGGCTGGCTTTTATACTAAACTGTTTAAGGGCTCTCGGCCATACACAACCCTCGGACATGAAACCTTTTTAACAAGCTCTTCCCTAACTAGAAAGTTTAACTAGAAGTTTGACTAAATTAAAAATTAGTTTGCAGACCTCTTATTATTGGATAAGTTAAGTTTAGAAAGGGTTAGATAGAAAGGGTTATGGTTTATGGTGTATTCACATAAAAGAGGTTTTGTGGTATAAAATAGTAATGGAAATGAGGAGAAAACTTCTTTTGAATTGCTATTTTTTCTCGTGAGACATTGAGACTCGAAATATTTTTTAGTTGGCTAACTTGGTTTTTCTAGAAAACAGAAGCCATTTGCTCCTAAGCGAAATATATATTCATAAAAATGCCAACAAATTACAAAGAAAAAATAATTTTTTAAAGGTCAATTTTGGCATTGGTTCCGTGGAGAAGGTGGTCGTCGAACACGCCGTTCTATTCGCCTATTTGTTAATAGTTTTAGAGGAAGTCTTCGACGACGACAAAAGGCTTCACGTAATCGTCAAAATAAAAGAAGAAGAGTTGGAACTGCAGATTCTGCACTTTTAGAAGAGAGTAGTATTTGTGGTGGACATTCAGCTTTAAGTAATTATAATAGTTTTCAGGTAAAATATTTAAATTTAATGAGGTGCTTTATGTAATCTTGCACTATATGTCGAAACCACAAAACGCATTCGGGAGAGTCGTCGACGATGTTATCCGAGTCGGCGACGTCATTGATGGTGTCATGTCGACGTCATTTACTGTAGATGACATCAATTGTGTCAGACGACGTCAATCGTGTCGATACGACACTAACGACATTAATTGTGTCGAGACGACGTCGTCAACGTCTCGACACGGCGTTGACGACATCATTGTGTCGTGCTCACTTCGTCAACATGTCGACACGACATTGATGACATCAAACGTGTCGAGACGACGTCAATCGTGTCGACACATTGAAAACAATTGTGTCGAGACGACGTCGTCAATCGTGTCGACTTTCCACTTTTACAATCCAAAATTTAATTTAATATTTTCCAATTTTTAGACATTAAATGAACGTATTACAAACAACAATAGTCGTCAAAGCAATCAAAATCGTTTATTTTCTAGACAAATGTCTGAACAACAAAAAGAAAATATTAAAAACAATTCAAAACCCATTTCACCCATTTCATTACGTCGAGCACAATTTTCATTGCCTTCTATTGTAATTCATCAAGAAACGCCTACTGGAAGTAGAGGAAGTGTTAATAGTTGAAAACTTATTGAATCCAAGTCCAATCGGATCTCATTATTAGATACATTTAATATTAGATACTCAAAATACTCACGATTTTCAACAGCTTTTCCTTTGGGTACGGCCCACTTAGTCGCGCGGCCACTTAGTCGCAGAGCCATAACTTGCTTTAAGATTTCCGATTCTTTCCAAATTTGGTATTAAACGATTCCTCTCATCGAGCTAAAGAGATTGGTACCAAAATTGATAAGGGCCAGAAATTTTTTAGCAAGTTATGGCTCTGCGACCAAGTGGCCGCGCGACTAAGTGGGCGTGTCCCTTTCCTTTAATTTTATTTAACTCAAAAGATCTACTAAGTCTAAAAAAAGATTTTCTAAATGTATTTAGATGATATTGGAGGTACTTTAAATAAAAAATTACAAGTATTGTGTCAGTGAAGGATTTGATTTATATTTTTTTATTTTCGATAAAGTTCTTTAAACCTTTAAAATTTTTAACAACTCTTGGAGGCATTAACAATATTGGAAATCTTTTTGTATAAAAAGATCTTGAACCTCTTGAATAACGTTTATCCAAAAGAGTGAGGCTATGTAGGAGGTGGCAAGTTGTAATGTTAAAACCGGTAAACTAAAAATGCTAGTTCGCTCTCAGCGGTCGAATTACAATTTTTCTCTTAGAGAAATAGCCCAGTTCAGCTTTTACAAAACAAAGTTTAGAGAGTTACAAGTCTCGCAAAATTAAAATTTTCACCTACAAAATGAAAAATTTTTCACCTAAAATCCCTTAAGCGTTTATCTCAAATTTTTCAACTTAAGGACACAAAAACAAAAATACATATTTATTTACATACAAGAAATCATACAAAAAACATACAAGAAACACAAAATATACAATAATGAGTTCAATACAAGCAAATACACAAGCAAAATACAACAACAATGAATAAGTATATCACTATGCGATATCACAGCAGAATATATTTCTCTCTCCTAGCGTCTCGTCGGCTTGTAGATCCGTCTCGATATCGCTTGTACCAGCCGTTCGACTGCTTCCACGTCCACGTTGATCTTGCCTCTGCTGGCGGTCACAATGTTGCGATTCCTTGATGTCATCGTAGACGGAACAAGTTGAGATGAATGGCAGTGTCGGTCGGTTGTTTGGTCGGTTCTTAGCCTGGCTTTTATACAATTGAAAGGTTAGAAGTGCTGGGTATAAACTCGTGTGACCCCTTCAATTGTATAAAAGCCAGGCTAAGAACCGACCAAACAACCGACCGACACTGCCATTCATCTCAACTAGTTCCGTCTACGATGACATCAAGGAATCGCAACATTGTGACCGCCAGCAGAGGGGACACTCCAAGGGCTCGCCAATCTTCAGGAGACAATCCAAGGACATCGCGCCAATCTTCAGGAAGCACTCCAAGGACAACTCGTCAATCTTCTGGACAACCACGCAGCCGCTCAAGTGTTCGACGCCAGGGAAGACCACGGACTGTGGAGGACAGCAACGAAGACGCAGCGTTCATTGAGCAGCTTCAGGCCTGGGCCCAGGAAACTTCGCGGAAGCAGCTGGCGGACTTGGAGTCCGAGTTCGAGCGCTTGCAGAGCCAGCCGCGACCGGAACCATCAGCTGAATTTACACGGTAATTAATTTATTTATTGTTTTTAAAGCAGAAATAGTTTTTTTACTTTTGTAGTAACCCTACTCTGAACCGCTATCGGGACGTTATCTGTGTCGAGAACAACCGGGTCGCGCTGTCAAACGGACGCTACATTCACGCCAATTGGATCGATAGCCATGGTGAAACTCGGCAAGTTTTAGACAACAAAAATTTATTTTAAGGTGATCGTCGGTACATTTGTACGCAGGGCCCGCTTCCACAGACTGTCGGCGACTTCTGGGAGATGGTTCTGCAGGAGAAAGTTGAGGCGGTTGTGATGCTATGTGACACCATCGAGCTGAATCGTCCCAAGTGTCACCAGTACTGGCCTAAGGATAACACACCAGAATCGGTTAGCCTTTCTGTAGATTGAGGCATTAATTTAATGGTTTTCTTTTTTTGCAGCAAATCACAACCAAGGACGACAACATAAGAGTCCGTTTCGTGGATACCGAGGCACTGGACGACAACCATCTTATCCGGACACGCCTGCAGGTAACCAGCGACAACCCGAAGAGGCAGGCGAATGTTCGACACTTCCATTGGAGACGTTGGCCCGATCGTGGAGTGCCGATGAATCACCTTGCTGCGCTCCGACTGCTCTTCTACATCGGGAAATACAAGCCGATAGTTGTCCACTGTTCGGCAGGTAAATGACTACAATAAAAAAATTAATTTTTGACCAGCTTTTCTGCTTTTAGGTATTGGCAGGACCGGAACCATCGTGATGATCTACTTGGCTCAGAATACGCTGCGCGGTGGACATCGTCTGGACTTCTACGAGTTGGTTGCAGAGTTGCGTCGTCAGCGGGCTGGCAGTGTGCAAACCTTGGACCAGTACCTGTACATCTACAGCGTCTTCCTCCGGTACTGGATAAAATATAAAAAACACACGTGTCAACTCTTAAATTTTTAATTTTTCCTTCCAGATACGCAAAAAACAAGGCTGATGCGGGCAAGATCAACGTGGACGTGGAAGCAGTCGAACGGCTGGTACAAGCGATATCGAGACGGATCTACAAGCCGACGAGACGCTAGGAGAGAGAAATATATTCTGCTGTGATATCGCATAGTGATATACTTATTCATTGTTGTTGTATTTTGCTTGTGTATTTGCTTGTATTGAACTCATTATTGTATATTTTGTGTTTCTTGTATGTTTTTTGTATGTTTTCTTGTATGTAAATAAATATGTATTTTTGTTTTTGTGTCCTTAAGTTGAAAAATTTGAGATAAACGCTTAAGGGATTTTAGGTGAAAAATTTTTCATTTTGTAGGTGAAAATTTTAATTTTGCGAGACTTGTAACTCTCTAAACTTTGTGTTGTAAAAGCTGAACTGGGCTATTTCTCTAAAAGAAAAATTGTAATTCGACCGCCGAGAGCGAACTAGCATTTTTAGTTTACCGGTTTAATTGATATGTACATTACAACTTGCCACCTCCTACATAGCCTCACTCTTTTGGATAAACGTTATTCAAGAGGCCGTCATCTAGTCTCTCCTTCAGAAATATTTCGATATTTATCGTACAAAAAAATTTCCAATATGTTAATGCCTCCAAGAGTTGTTAAGAATTTTAAGGCTAAAGCTAGTTTACCGGACAACGATTCCCCCCGCTTAGCTTTAAGAATTTAATACATAATGAAAAATTTTATCAAAAACAAAAATATTCATCGAGAAAAACAACTAAAAAATCAATTTTAACCTATTTTTGGCATTTAAAGAAAAATAAATTTATGAAAAAAAATAACAAATTAAATTAAATCTGACGTAGAATCGCCCCCAAGAAAACGCATATCTCTTGCATAAAAAGCGAAATTTGAAGGTGAGGTATTTCCATTATTTTTGTGTTCATTTGTTTTATTTTCAAAATCAAAGCGAATACCAAAATCTTTATCAACTTTAAAAAAATATTTTTTTTTATAAAATTTCCATCCCAAACCAACCGCAAAAGACCTTATAACCCTACACCTTTTAGTTCCCGAGATCTTTGATTTGAAAGATGGAACCCCCTTCCTCCTCCCCCCAATTATTTTACCTTTCATTGGCTTTTCTCCACTTGGATCAATATGTACAAGAGCAATTGAAGAACCGGCTCTATAAAATAGAAACATTTTGAACTAATACTTTTCCTAAATTTTAAGAGAGATTGGAACTAAATACATAATTTTTTTCTATTTTGTGAATAATATTTTTAGAAATTTATTGCTATAGCAATGAGAGATGTAAGCATTTTTACAATTATTTCAAGTAGACGGGACAGTATCTTTTATGGAATTTTCTGATCCCGTAATTGGGTTAATGGGGCTTTCCGGGATCAATCTCTGTTGGATCCCAAACTTTAAATAATTTTAAATATTTAATACAAACTCTGCCAATTTTGGAAAGAAATGTTGATCCCAATTGCGAAGAAATGAATTTGAAATGAATAAACGTCTTCCATCTAAAGACAATTGAAGACGACAAGGGCCACCTTCATATATTTTTCCATTTAATTTTATTTGTTCTGTATTGTAACTCTTTTTAAAAGAGGGGGGAAATTAATTAATTAAACAATTTATTTACTCTTTGGGTGCTTGTACTTTTCCCCAAAGGCATTTTGCCTAATTCTGAAATACCAATACATTTGTAAATAATTCCACCAAGAAAGACCTTTAAAAAAATTTTTTATAAAAATTTCAAAAAGGAATTTTAAAATTTCCGAGTTATTTTTAATAATATTCATAATAAATTTGGAAAATTTAATATATAATTTAATTTTTGAAATTATTTTCATCCTAAAAAAGCAAGCAAATATGAAAGCGATCAGTCAGCGATGGGGATTGTATAGCATTTTCAAATTTTCGAATTACCATTAATTATTATTTTTCAATTCCCGATCTACCCGAACCGGGAAGCGGACCCTCTGAACACTAAAAATACTTATTCAGTCAGTGATCCGATCAGTCAGAATGGGATGGTACATATATGGTTAACAATCTTTCATTGCATAGCTGATCAAATCCCCTGCGATCTTTTGCTATTTTCTGGGATAGATTATTTCAATTTAATATTTCCAAAATTTTAAATTTTTTCTCACTTTCTGTGTCAAAGAAGGTCTAAAAGGGTCAGAAATATCTAATTGAGCAACAAATCCATGAAATGCCGCACACACATATAAATTTAAATCGTCCATAGAAATAGCCATATCTGTGAGAAATGCTGGAACTTCTGGACAATTTCCTGGCCAGTCAGTAGGCCCAATTGAGACGGGAGAAAAAGAAACAATTTTATCAGCTATAAATTGTCCACTTCTCGTACATTTGTGTAAATGATAGATTGAACTTCCAATTGAGGTACAAACAAAGCCGTGAGTTAATTCTGCATGATGTAACATTCTAATACATACTGGCCATAATCCTCCCTCTTCTGGATTTAGCCGAATCTTTTTTTTGTTTAAAATAAGTTTTGAATAAAAAAAATCGATTTTTATTTGTTTTTTTTGATTAATTTGTTTTAAAAATATCCATCCCCTTCTAATTCAAAAGTAGTTGAAAAATTGTAATTTTAAGTTGGAATGTTTTAAAAATTATTTTTAACTAATTTTAAAATAAATTAGGCCCAATTTAAGTTAAAATAGAGCTTAAAAGCTAGCAACGGAACAAATGAGATTTTCACGGAATTAATGGCCTATCACACCAAAATTTTGACTTTCCAGAATATAATCTTATTTTTCAATTTCTAATCTACCCGAATCGGGAACCGGAACACTAAAAATACAGGGTGCGGCAAATTTTGCGCCACTTTTGTTTTTGCCATAACTTTCTTCAAAGTCGATGAAAATTGCTAATTCCTTTTTTATTTTATTCCCAACTCTATAAGCAAATTTTTGGTACCAAAATATTCTCTAAATTTTAGAAATTAGCTTGATTATTTTTGATTAAAATTTTGGAAAAATTTTTCGGACCAAAAGTCGTCTGATTTAAAAGCTATGTGCTTTATTTTTGAGAAGTTTATATCATTCGAATAAGCTCTTTAAGCTGATTCGAATGACGTCAAAACCAAGCGATTATCTTGTTCTTGAGCTGAGATATCGGTCTTTGAATGATAGATTAGGAGCAAAATGCTAAATTTCACTTTTTTGTTAAAATTTTCAAAAATGAAATTATAGATATTTCGATGCTCCTCGTCGAGACGAGTCGATTGGTACCAAAATTAGTAAGATTGGATGACTTTGAGCGAAGTTATGTCAAAGTAAACTTTGACATGAAAAAATATTTTTTGATCTGATTCGATCTTTAGACGGGTATATCTTTATTAGCTCTGAACCAAATTTTTATTATTTGGTACCAAAAAATTGCTTAGAGTGTCGGGAATAAAATAAAAAAAGAATTATCAATTTTCATCGACATTGAAGAAAGTTATGCCAAAAATAAAAGTGGCGCAAAATTTGCCGCACCCTGTACTATTTATTTTTAAATAAAATTACTGTTTGAATTAGTTTTCGTCTTCGCATTTCCCAAACTAAAAATTTAATATTTAAAAATATTTCCAACTAATTAATTAATTACCATTAATTCCACAACCATAAATTGTACTTGGCTCATCATTTCCATTTAAATTTTGTTTAAGACTGGGTTTTTGTTGAAATATTTGATCTAGATTACCCCATTCTGTTGAAAATACCTTTAAATTGAAAAATTAATTTTTTTTATTTTATTAGAGACTTGAGAGAATGTATTTTCTATACCTTAATTCTTCCCTTCACCAGTTATTGTATTATATCTCTACACAATTTAAATACCTTCAGATAGTAAAAAAATTTTTTTGGGGAGCTTAAAATAAAGCTCAATCTCTCACTTCCCCCAGTTAATTAAGATTAATTTTCTAGCTATTTGTGTCAGTTTATGGTCATTATCCCTGTCTTTGCCGTCAAAAAATTAATGGTAATTGATTTGTTGGATTGATATTCCCGGTTATATAGCCCCTCAAATGTTATAATTAGAGCCCAGTTAGTTTCATTTAAATATAGAAGAAATCGAGATCGAAAAAATTGAATATAGCTCTTTAACAGTATATGGGTATGGCAAGAATTTAACTCGTTGGAATCAGATCCACGCTGAGCATTGTGTTTTTTCAATATTATTCCCAAATAACCCTAAAAGAATTCTAACTCAAATGTTTGACAACAAAGATAGAGATAATTAACAAAAAATCATTCAAATAATCAGAAAAATGCTTATTGTCAGTTACCCACCACAACTTAAAAACCAGTCTTTAAAAAATCTAAAATTAACAGGCACATAAATATTTCAAAAATAATTTCTTTTAATTTGCACTTACCACTCCATTCCTCAAACTGATTGCTAAAAATTAAAATTAAAAAATATATTCATAAATTTCCCTAACCAAGTGTTCCCCCAAACATTGGAAATTTAAATTTTTGGCCATTAGTTGCGAAAGAATTTGTTGTTGTAGTTGTTGTACTTTCTAAGGAAATAACTGCAGAATTAGAGAATGTAGAAGTCCCCGAATTAATGGAAGATTCTCTTTAAATTAGAAAAAAATTTCAAAAAAAAATATTCAATCTCCACCTATCTTCACTTGTAATAGACCGTTTTCTTCTATCAACTGGACAAAATGTTCGTCTATCCAATCGTAACAAATCACCTATAAAAATTTTAAAAATTGGAAATAATTCTTTTAAAAACCTTTACAATGTCCACTTCTATCAACTGTAGTAACTAAAAGAAGAGGAATGGCATTTGATCGAACAGCACTGTTGGAACAAACACTTAATGGGGCACCTTTGAAAGAAAAAATTTTTTTTGTTAAAGCTTCCTTCAAATTTTTTAGCCCCAACTCAATTAAATTAGTGTGAACTTCTATGATACGCCAATATCGGGATCGACAGATCCGAAGTATGTTGGCGGGATTGCAGTGTATTTTATCCCGTTCTTGGATGTTTCTCACCAACTCTCGTTTTCAATATCCCCATATTTCCTTATTTTAATTTCTATCATTAAAAAAAGTTTTTGGAGGAAAATGTTTTACTTAAGAGAGAAATTTTCCATTGTTTTTATTTTTTGTTGTTTCCATTAATGTTTTATTAACTAAACTGGAAGGGAAACTTCATCGACCTTAAACGATGAACTTTAAGGACCATATAATTAAGGACAAAGTTTAAGGACGATATACACACTATAAAAGCTTGTTTTTAATCCAAGATCAATCTTCTTCTTCTTCTAATCATCGTCAGCTCACCAAACACGAAGGTATCTTCATGTTTATTTTATTCTTCTATTCCTTAAATCCAAATTTATGTCTTTTTAGGCACGGGAATATGTCGGGTCTGAAGGAACGTCCTGTATACAAAGAAATTAAACGCTTCCGCAGCCGTCAAGCATTTCTCTATTGGTGGAAGGATAATGAAGACGTTGGTTGGAGAATCAATTCTCGCAATCCTAGTCGTGAAGGTACTGTTGAATATTGGAAATGCGCGGTAAGTGACTAGAAAAATCTTTTTGACACTTCAAAATTTTTCTCTTTTTTTCAGTTCAAACAGGACAAAGTTTTTGCGTGCTTGGCCAGTTTGCGCATCGTTTTTGGACGTCATGATCGCTTTGTTACTGTTGCTCGCAATATTATGCGTCCACATTGTCACACACAAATACGTGGATTGAAGGTGAGTAAGGCCTGATTTTTGTTGAGGTTTATTGGACCTTTAGTCATGAACTGCCAGTTAATTGTCAGAATATAGAGAAAGGGAGCCTTCCTTTCATTAAAAGATTTAATTTAATCTTGTCTATTTAAGGGTGAGGAAGAAGAACGTATCTTCCAAGAGGTGGCGGCTTTTCCTATGCAAACAGCGGAAATCCTTCGCTTCCCTTCACAACCAGCAGGAACGGAAGGACTTCCTGAAAACCCTACAGCCGATTCCGCACTTCCCACTGCAATCGCGATTGAGATGGATGGCCCGTCAACATCAGCGACCAATCAGCCTCAGACGGGAATGTTGCTTGGAGCGCCATTTGCTGGACCCTCGGGAGCGTCATAATAACGGCAATAGTACTTAGGCTTCTACAACGACTCATGCTTCTTGGTGATGATAGAAAGAATAGGCAAAAACTAAGGAAGAGAATAAAAAGACATATGTAAATAGTCTGTATATAAATTGTATGTATGTAAATATTCCTTGTTATGTAAATTGTAATATATGTGTAGTAAAAATTGTATTGCAATAAGATTTTTATTAAAATGACATCCTTTAGTAGAACATTGAATGGGTTGCATTGAAAAGGTATAACAGGTTTTACGGTATACCAAATTTTTTATATTCTAGAAAAGAATGGAGTAGAATGTTAAAATTCACAATCCGAGACCTTCGGTTGATAAAACTAATCTGACTGATAGAAAAATTTTAAGCCGAGCTTGGCATTTAAAGAGAAACTTTTCCCTTTAAAGGGTTTAGTTTTTCTCTCTTTTAAACTCAATTTTTAAAAAAATTTATTTACCTAAATCCCATCTAGACAATTCCTCTCGTGTAATGCACTAAAAAAATTTGTAAAATTAATTTGTTCATTTATTTGCCTCCCCACCAGAGAACCTTTTGAATTCGTATATGTGTAGATATTGCTGAAGAGGAACTTTCATTATTTGCTGCTTGTTTTTGGGCTTTTAAACTTCCATTTTCTGACCCATTATTTAATGTTGCATCCATTAATTTAAGTATATAAATTCTTGAATGTGAAGGGACGGGGACTATTAACTTTTTTGAAAAAAGAGAGATTAATTTCAGTTTCAGTTACAGTATATACTTTTAATTACCCTGGGTAATTGTTTCGACCTCTCTGGAGAGGGTAGTTGATAGAGGCGGGGTGATTAATAGAGGTTATTTTAGGAAGGATAATTATAACTATTTTTAGAGGTAATTATTGTTTCAACCTTTCGCTGTAGGGGGAAATTAATAAAGGTGGGGTAATTATTTGAGGAAGGGTAATTAATAGAGTATATACGGTAGTCTTCTAAATATTTTAAATACCGTAAATTGTTGATTGTTTTGTTGAATATTAATATCTGTTTCGTCTGAGTGTAATAAAGATTGTGAATTTCTTATACAAGCGAGTGAATATAGCTAAAAAAAGGAATTGGGGTAATAAAGTCTTTGTTAAATTTTAATTTTTTCACCTCCTCTCCAGGCATTGGCAAACTTAAACGACAAATAATTTTTCCAAAATTTGAGCTAGCCAAGTCAACATCAATCAAAACTAATTGTGACGGATTTTCTATATTACAGCTAACCAATAAAACAACCATTCTTTTTTCTCTTTCAAATATTGACTTGAAAAAAATTTTTTAAAGCTTTTAATAAAAAGACACTCTCTAATAAAAAGGGAAATTTTGAGGGAGAATGGGTATCAGGGAAAATGCCGTCTAGATTTCCGATAATCTGGGATTTATTCTTAATGTCAACGCTTTCCTTGTTATTATATTTACTAGGACAGTGTTCTACTGATAGCGACGATTATTGCTGATATCGAATGATATAAATGACTAGTTGCCAAATTTATGAATTATATAGCTTCCTTTAACCAGAAATACAAACCCCATATAAGGGCAGCTTTTTCTAAATCCTTGGCCAATCATTCCCCCCCCCCCATTTTCCCCTTTTGGTGTTTTTAAATTCAAATATAAAAACCTCATCAGAAACAATATTGGCTATATTTTTTTGTAAATCATTTGTTGGTAACAAATTTAAATCCGAATCTTTCTTTTCTAATTTAGAATCTAATTTATTTATTGTATTCTTTTTAATTAATAAAGGTTTTTCTTTAAGTATTGGTGATAATTTTAATGAGGAAGTTTGCCTGACAATTAAACGTTTTTTTGTTGACTTGAAAAAATTAAATTTAAAGTTAAAAAAAATTTAATTTTACCGAACAAACACCCATTTTTTGTATTTTTTATATTTTAAAGGCACACTTCAAAAATTAATATTTTTGGCTTAAATTATGTTTTGAAATTATGTACTGAAAAATAAAAAAAAATTTTTTAAAGTTGTTTAAATTAATTTTGGGTTCTGAAAGGAATTCTTTGTGGAAAAAATGAAATTTTAGAGAGACTAAATCAAAATAAATTTAGGTATGTTTAATTTTAAAATATGTATGAGTTGTGGAGGTATGAGAACGTTTTTACGAAGTCACAATGAGGTTAATTAATAGAGTTTCACCGGAAGTTCCGGTTCCGGAAAGCTCCGACGTTTTTTGGCTCCTGTTCCGGTTCCACGACTATTGTTTCTTTTACATAGAAACAACTGGTTATTTGGATCAAATTGGATCCGGTTCCGGCCAAAATTCGGTTCCGGCGAAACACTATTAATTAAAGAGAGAAAGAGTTGACCCCATAAGCATAAACTCCAATTTTACTTGTTTTACAATTATTTTTGGTTAAAAAGACGTGGTTTTAGAAGAATATTACTTAGGTTGTGTCATAAATAATTAGCCCCCCTTGAGTAAGGTTAAATAAATATTTATTAAAATTCAACTAAATGTTTTCAGAATTCGAATTATATTTTTCTATGATCCTAAGAGAATTGCCTATTTTCTGGCAAAAAATCAGAATCCTAGGATTAAGTTGGCAGGAGTTAGAGGTAAAATACTAAAACTTGTATTTTTGAAACAAGGCAAATTCTTTTTGATTTTTCTCTGCAAAATTGATGAGTAAGAATGAAAATTTAAATAGATTCTGATAGAGCAGAATCTGATGAATACAATGATATAATAAATTCCCCTGGAAAACAACTGGCTGATTTTTAGAGGGTCACATTTGTGACAAGGGGCTAGCATTATGCTGTTTTAGGATAACCCTCGCGCGAAAATGCCCAGCGAGGACAGGTGACAAGATTTTTTGATGGACTCGATCAATATGAGAATAATACTATTTGGGGGTAATAGTTTAGCCAGTTTAAACTAAATTCCAATGATTACCCAGCCGCGACACCACCAAATACATAACAGATCACGCTGTTGGACCAGTCTTGATTAAAGGTCGAAATTGATGGTTAACTAGGATGAGCCGTTCCTTTTTGTTTACAGAATTTATGAAGGCAATTCTTATCTATCGTTGGTTGGGATCCAAGACGTTCTTTGTCTTTCAGCTCCTCTCTACCTTTCTTTTATTTGGAGAACCAACTTTTTTCTGTGGAATACGAGATAACATCCCAATACTTCGCTATGCATATTTTGCGGCATGATTCCTTTTCCGAATGTCCAAGTTCAATCTCATATCTGAACTGGACGCTAATTTCATAATTTTGCCTTAAACTTTAAAAATTCATAAAAAATTTTTAAATAAAGAAAAAATTTCAAATCTTTCAGAAAATGAAGAAGGCATTATTGTGAATATATGACAGAAAAATTAATTAGATTGGAGATCTGAACATTGAGATATAAAGCTTAAACTAAACATGGTTTTAGGGGGGCTAATTATTTATGACACAACCTAAGTAATTTAAAAAACCCCCCACAGTTTAGCCTTGTAAAAGAGAAAACTGCAAAATTAAAAAGAACTAAAAAACGCGAAAAATACAAATCTCTTCCAGGCCTACTTAGTCATCAAAAATATTAAAAAATAATTTAGAAAATAATTTTATTTATTAAAAATAATTTAGTAAAATAAATAATAAAATAATTTTTTTAAATAAAATTTGATTTAAATATTTAGTAAAAAAAAGGCGCTTACATAAATAAAGCAATTTATTTAATTGACACCCTCACATTCTTTTTAAATAAAAAATATTTTTTAAATTAACTAAAAAGCTGCCCAGGAATGTAGATAATGGAATTAAGGAGATATTTAGAGGATTAAATTTTAAAAGAATGTGTGTGGAGGGAGAGTGAGGGGAGGGGGAAGAGGGGAGGGGAGGGAGGGAAGAGGTTTATTTTTTTTAATTAAAGTTGTAAATATTTATTAATTACCTTATTAAAAAGATGAAAAAAAATTTTTATTTAAAAAACCAATTAACTAATGGATATTTGTTTTGTTAATCCTATTTTGGGAAGTAAAAAAAAAGAAAAATTTTTAGATTAAAGGGCTAAATTAGAAAAAAGATTTTAATGAGTTGGAAAGATAGTAAACATTTACAGTAATTTTTGGGAGTTTAGTTGGAGAATTTAACCTTAAGAGGGAAGATAGGGAGGAGATCAACGAAATCATTAAAAGAAATTTTGATTTTTCAGGCAAAAAACTAACAATTTGAATTCCAAACAAAATTCATTTGACTCCTTAAATCTACAATATTTAGAGATACGATCGGGACGATATCTCGAACGAAAATAAAGGTTATTGAGATCGAGATTTCCCAAGCTATGTATCTCGCACGATTCTCGTACGACACTCCCAGTCCAGTATCTAAATCTTTAATGTAGAGATAATTTTGTTTTCACTCTCTGATTGCTACTATCACGAAGATAAAACTAAAATAGTACCTTTAAGAATGATTCAAAAAAATTTTTTCCTTGTTGCTCTTTTAAATAAAAATTTAAAAACAAGAAATAGAAAAAAAAACTCTAAATTCTTTAAAGGATATTTAAATATTAAATAACTTTTATTAGAAGAAATAAAAAGAATTAATGTGTGTATGTGTTAATCCGCTTTTTCTTGCTAATAACGGTTCGGCGCTGACAATTTGGCGCAAACTTTTCTCATCCGGCTTTAACTCCGCTCCGTTGCCAATATTGCCAAATACTAATTTTTATTTTATATGACATTTGAAAGCTCTAATTATCGAGCTTATTTTTCTGAAAGGATCAATCTGGTCCAAGCATTCCTTAAAGAGTTGTATTCTGAGACGTGACGTCAGTCGTGACTTTCTTAGCTTTTCGGTTTACAACTTTTCAATTATTTTAGGATTACTTATGTCCTTTTAGAAGAAAAAATTTACTATTCAAAAGCTTTCAAATAATAAAAGAAAAATAAAAAAGAAAAGAAATTATGTATTTTTAATTAATTAATTAATTAATTAAATTTATTTCTCAACATTAATTCCTGCGCCAAGACATCCCCCTTAACTTTTTCTTTGGTTTTTACATTACTTTTATTTAATATACGGGGCTTTAATGTATTGAAGATTTTGTATAAAAAATATATTTTTATTAAATTTATTTTCTAATTGATTTTTAAAAAACAATTTTTAAATCCTAAAAAAACAAAAATCTCTTCCAAAAAAATCAACAAAAATTAATTAAAGTTCTTTTTTCTGTTGCTTTTCTTCACTTTCTTTTTTAATAAGCTCCTTCAATTCTATTTGAAAATTAAGCCAAGAATTTGGAGGTATGGAAGGGGATCTCCCTTTTTCTCCATAAGCTTTAAAATAATTTTTGAAAATATTTTTAGACTTCTCCGCCAACAAAGTTTTGGTTATAGACCAAATAAATTATAATTTTTATTCAGAAATTTGCTTGCCGAATCTACCGCATTTAAAAAAGGGAACCCGAGGGATGAAAGCGACACAAGATAAAAGGCGTTCAGGTGGAATGTTGAAGCAGAAAGGTCAAAAAAGGTGGAAAGCGTAAGCGGAAGGGAGCCATCCCTGACAGTGAGCCTTGTAGGGAGCCCTCATCCTGAAAGACAAATAAATTCCCGGTTCTACCTATAAATCGAGACAGCATATCCTTGGTATATTATACAATATATTTTTGCCCAAGGAAAATTAAATTTTATAAATTTATTTGTTCACTAAAATAACCCTCCCCTTTTTTATTCACTTTTTAAATTTATTAATAATTTTCCTCACCCAATTCTGGCGGAATTACTAAACGTCTTCGTTCACCTTCACACATTCCAGTCATTGCTCTATCCATTCCTTCAATAACTTGCCCCATACCTAATCTACAAAAATATTTTTTTAAATATTTTTTAAAAATCCTTTTTTCTACCTAAAATCAAAAGTAACTCCACTATCATGTGAAGAGCCAACATAAGTTCCATCATTTAAAAATACTGTATAATGTTGTTTCAGAAAATCGCCTTTTTCTGCACGTTTTCCTTTACATTCTTCTTCCGGTGGTTGGTGTGTTATCTAAATTGAATTTATTTATTCTAATAAACGCTCATCTCTAATTAGATGCTTTTTTGATTAAATACACCTCACTAATAGCTGCATAATCATAAACTATTCTGCTCTGATACTCGACAACCTCTAATAACCCCCCCCTTCCACCCCCTAATACACTTCCACCAATCACTGATCTGTGACCATCTCTAATATCACCTACAGAGATGCCCCTTAAAGATTACATTCTTGGGGCGTTTATTAGAATAATAATTTATTTTAGATAAGTAGCATATATTTCACCTCAATACTAAGCCCATCATCATCAATCCATTTGTCTCCAGGAATGGGTCGAAAAATAGATTTTAGTTCAACAAAGTAATGAAGTGATTGTCCTTCAGGAGCACCTTGTGGACGTTCATCATCCCCAAAAGCACCTTCTGGTATAATAACTCTTCGCTGTTCACCAACACACATATCGGTCATTGCAGAATCCATAGCTCGCATTGCTTGGCCTTGGCCAAGAGAGAATTTATAGCTAAAAAACAAAATGAAAACGAGAGATTTTTAAAGAGTTTAGTAAACGTTGGGGGAAGTTTTATCAACAAAATTTTTTAAAAATGTGTCTAATAGTGTTAACTATCTTCACTATAAATTTCATAATTTTTGGTTAAATGTTTTACAAGTTATGGGCAAAGAATTAATCAAAGTCGGCTTTCTTCTAAAATTCCAACTTGTCATCCAAGCATTGGCACGCAAAACGCCAAAACTTCTAAATTCCTAGAGATCTATTAGAGTTCGTACCGAGACGAGATCCCAATCAGAATTCTCGGTTATTGAGATTGAAATTTTTTCGAGATATCGATCTCGATTCTCATACAACCGTCCCTCAAAGTCTCT